GCTTGTCGGGGTCGCTGTGGGCTGTGGCGTGGCCGGAAGGCGGTAAGGACATGGAGACGGATTGTGTACGGTGACCCGTTGAAGTGTCGCCGGCAGAATCTTTCTAGGATTTTAACTCACATATGGCCCAGTGGAGAAGATGCTCCATGGAAAGCGCATCATCGCCGGCGTCTTCGCCCATTAGCGCGGAGGACAGGTCGACAGCTTCATCGAGAATGGCTTGGCCAAAATCGGCCTGGGATACAGTAACGCATAAACTTCCTATCGAGAGTCCTATCAATAGGAAACAACTTCGTCGCATCTCGCTTGCTCGTCACAGATGTTTCCAGAGGGAACTACGTTAATGATCACCAAGCTGGCTCTTCTAATATTAGATTCAAAAGGTAATTTCATTGAACATTCATGAATATGGGCTCCCCTGGTCTCTTGGTCCTTCCACGTTGTCTCGCTTATTAATCGTACAGTGCGACGTCGGCAAAGGACACGACAGCAGCTACCGGGACACATGTAATAGGATCAATACTCTTCATCATATCTTTTCGAGAGGTTTGCACAATATTGCTGGGAGGAGAGCCAGCTCTTTCTATTTGGGCCGGCACTCCAAGAGCCAAGGCACGACGGCAAATAATCTCAGCTCCTTCAGCAGGCCGATAATTAATATACCTGGCTTTGCAAATGTCCGAGCGACCTTCGAAAACTATTCACCGTTCCGCAACACCTGCCAGATTAGGTTATATCCCGGAGGGGTCCAACCATTTGCCATCCCTAAGACTACTTTGCACAACGAGCTTTTTGACGAACAACGAACTGAAACGCTTTGCCCCACATCGCAAGTGCCGTCGATTTTCCTCCGTTCCGAAACCAGATAGGGCTTGACAAATACCGATGCCAAAACACCAGCTCAAGCAACACTTTCACCTCTTCTTGTATACGCATGCCTTCAGCTCCGGCCAGGGAATTTCCCTGCTGCTGCCGCCGCTTCGCTGCTTTCCGCCCGCTTTACTGCCCTCACACTTTCGCAACACCCACACCACAAACATCCTGTTGCCGGCATCTTCGCTCACAAGCCTCAGCCCCAGGCGCTTCAGACAGGACAGGAAGGGCTGAAAGTCCTCCTCACCGCCGCCGCCAGCATTAGCTCCTGCTCGTGCGCCGCCGTCCTCGTCGCTGTTCCCGGCCCCCCGGCTGAAACGACTGCGAACCTGCGAGGATGACACGGGCGGCGAGGACGAGACGGCGGTGGTGAAGGATCACCGTATATATGTGTAATACGCCTTGAGTTGCGTTACTCCCCGAAGGTGAGCCGTGATGGAGGAGGAGCTGGTCGTTGTTGTGGTAGCTATATGGAATGGCGCGGCGGCAAGCGTTCAATCGATGGCGCCCTCAACCTCAGCAACAACGGCGCACAACCTCCTCGCCCACACCTCCCTCTCAGCACAAGTCCACTCCCATCCGGCCCCACACGTGCGCAGTCTGCAGTGCCCCTCCTCCCCCCAGCCCACAGGTATCTCGCCATCCACCCTCCAAAATCCTACACATACCTACCTACATACATACCTACACACCTACCTCAGCAATCCACAGCCAGCCCTTTGGCTTGAGGACGCGAACAGCCTCCTGCGTACATTGTTAGATATACATACAGAGTTACCCCTTGTGTTTGTCCGGGGGCCTGGGCCTTCCTCCCAGGGCTCGTATGTATGTGTGTATGTATGTACGGGACGTTAGGCCACCTTAAAGACGCCACATCAGAAGGTGCAACATGTATACACACAGATACCGTGTACCAATGATCCCTTCTGACATATACATACATACATAACGACAAAGGCTCAATGTGTTCCACTAAAATGGCTATCTTCGCGGCTTGCGCTGGTGCCTGTTAAAGCCACGCATGAAAACAACGGTAGGAGGGTTATTTTGTATGCTGTGTGGAACAGGGAGGTCATATCTTAACCCTGCGGCCGCTACCCGGCAGACCCTGCCTTCCCCGGTATTTCGTGGCACCCTCATCCATTCACCCTAGTCAACTTCTCAGTGGATCGCTTAGGTTCCGCACCCATCACCGGCACCCAACGGAATCTGCCGGGTCGACAGCGGCCCAACTCCATTCCTGGTCAGCTCGCAGGTCAACTTTATCCCAGGTCACCACCGTCCATCGACTAGGGGCACTTTTACCTTCCATCATCGGAAGGATTTTCGACCCTGACAGGTCTCGATCCCAAACGTATGGTGGTTGGGCCCCAGTCTTCCCCATTCAAAGACACAGGGCTCCCCCGGTGCCGTACCTCGAGGAAGCTGCCGTAGTCCGTACCCATGAGCGCCAGAGAGAAAATAGCCGCGTCCACTGCCTCGTCCGGCAATGGTACGGCAGACATGTTGCAGGCGATGACTCCAGGGGCGGAGGCCACCAAGTCGAATGAGTGGACCGTCTGTGGAACCGTAATCCAAATCCAGATCCAGACATCCGGTCATACATTCAAAATCCAAACCAAATACACCAGATCCATGTCGAGGTGGTTGCAGGGGCACATCATGGGAAGGGTGATTCGTGTCGCCGGTGTGTATGTGTGGAACTCACCAGGCGGCGTGTATAGCACGGCGACGTGCACACCTCCACCCCTTACCGCCCAGGTCCCCTGGCCCCCCCGATACGGCTTCGATTGACAGTTCCCACCCACCTGGGGCACGCTGGCGGCGACCTTGGCGTCCCCGCAACCAAAGTCAGCAACCACCTTAATCTCCGACCTGCAATACATACATACATACATACATACATACATACATACATACATACATACATACATACATACATACATACATACATACATACATACATACATACATACATACATATATAGGGTTTGGCACCACTGATAAGGCGCGACCATTGCCCCGGGAGATCCCGGGATCGATACCCGTTAGGGTCAAAGTCCTTCTAATGGTGGAAGGCATTGCGCCCCTAGTTGATGGACGGTGGTGACCTGGGATAAAGTTAACCTGCGAGCCGACCAGGAATGGAGTTGCGCCGCTGTCGACCCGGCAGATTCCGTTGGATGCTGGTGGTGGGTGCGGAACCTGAGCGATCCACTGAGAAGTTGACTAGGGTGACTGGATGAGGGTGCCCCGAAATACCGGGGAAGGCAGGGTTTCGCAGGGTAACTGCCACGGGCGAAGATACACCCCCCTGTTTCACACATCATACGCAAGAGGAGGACATAAGAGAGACCGACCTCCAGACGTCCAGATAGAAACAGTTCACTATATCGCGCTCCAGTTGAACCCCCAGCATAACTTCCGCGCGAATAAGACTCCGTGTGCAGATACAGCCACACTCGGGAATACGTGGTCAAGTACATTCGCGCGTTAGCTCCCCGCCAGCCTTCCTGTGGTTGCTCCTTATCCCGTTGCTGGCCCCCCCCCCCGGCCCCCTCCCCCCTGTTACCCCCACCTTTTGGACCTGAGCCACCCGATGGCGACATCCACAGGCTGCTTGGGCCACCCCCGGGTCTGCCTCTGAAAGCCCTCATGATATTGAGAGAACAACTCCGGTTGGGACTGCCGTACAAGAGAGGGTTGAGGGGCGGGGGAGGGGGGAGATGGGTGAGGGAAAGGGAGAGGGGAGGAGGGGAACGAGGGGCAAACGATCCGAGGCGTTAGCCGATCATGGAGGATCATGGACACGACTGCGAATGGCCCTTCCGGGGCGACAGGGGAAATGGGGGAACGGCAGGGGGCCAGGGGCACCCTCGAACCCTAAGTTGACCGTTGACCAGGCACACCGGCCGCGCAGTCATTACCGAATGGTGCAGTGCAGTGCAGTGCAGTAGCAAAAGAAATCGTCCTTACATAGCTTACAGTGTTACAGTCTACAGTCACCTCCCTTACTGGGCTTTTAGACCGCCCTTGCGCCTCCCAGTGCGCCCACGGCCACTGCTACTGCTGCTGCTTTTGTTACTGCCACTGCCCGGGGGTTTCATTCCCCGGGCCCCACTACCTGCATCCCCCCTATTTTACAACTTTGCTTCTTACATAATATGGCACCCGCCCCCCCCCCACCCCCATCCACCCATCACACATGGCATCGAACACGCACACGTACACATGCGCACCTGCATCATCGCGAAGGCATCTCCGCCGCTGCGAGTGTACAGCTCTTCATTCAGGTAGCGGAACCGACCTCCAGCCAACTTGGCGCGCATCTTGTCCAGAAAGCCGCCACCGGCCGCCTTCCTGCCACTCGCCACCGCCGCCGCCACCTTTTGGCCAGGCTGGCCCAGCCGCGAGCCGGCGGCGGTGGTCCCCGCCTCGTTTCGGTCACTATCGTCGTCGCCGGGGCCCGACAGCGGCGGCTGCGCCGCTGCCGCTGCTGCGTTCCGCTGCTGCAAGGCTGCGAGGGCGGTGGCGTGGGTCATTTTCGGGGCGGCTGGCGCCGTCGCTGACGTCACGACAGCAGCGGATCCCGTCACCCCCCCACGAGCAATTGCACCGCCGGCGGCTGCGGCCCGGCCGCCGAGGGCCGCCGCGAGGCTTGCAGCTGCCATGGGCTGAAGGCGCTGAGGCTCACCATGCTGTACGGCAGCATCTAGAGCATTCACGACTGACCCACGGGTCTTCGTGTGTACGGGGCCCTCAGTGCCGCCCTCGCAAGACCTCCCTGTGTTGGCTACCTTGATGACCTCAGGCCGCTGCTGCTGCTGCTGTTGCTGCTCCGGATTGTGTTTCGACGTCCCTCCCTCTCCCTCTTTCCTTCCTCCTCTTCCCCCCTTTCCAAGGGATAGCGGCTGCCCTGCCTCCCTCTGCTCTTCCTTCGCCTGCCGCTGCCGCTGCTTCCCGGCCTCCGCCTTCTTCCCCTCCTTGGCGCCGTTCACCGCCCCCGCGTCCTTCTCTTCCTTCTCCTGCTGCCGGTGCTGCTGCTGATGATGAACTTGCGTTCCCACATTCCCTCCTTGCGCTCCTCCGGCTCCGTGTTCGCCCGTCCCGCGGGGTAGCGGACTCTGCTGCTGGTGCCGCTGCTGGTCCCCCCCCGGGACCTCCTCGCCCTCTCCGACAAGCCCTTTACCTGCTTGCCTCTGCTTCTTCTGCTTTTCTACATGCTGCTGCCCCTGTTCCTGTAGCTGGCGCTTTAGGTCCTGCTGCTGCTGTTGTTGTTGCTGCTGCTGCTGTTGTTGTTGTTGCTGCTGTTGTTGTTGCTGCTGCTGTTGTTGTTGCTGCTGCTGTTTTTGTTGTTGCCGCCTGAGGGCCTTCGTATTCGCCGGGGCCCCAGGCGCTGACTCCTTCGCAGCTCTGCCAGAAGAGAAGGGCAGTTCCTCCTCCACCTTCCCCTCCTCCACCTTCTCCAGTTCCTGCGGGATGTCGGCCTCGCTCAGCCGGGGTTTCTTAGAAGCCCGCTGCGGGGCCGCCTCACACACCTTCGCCGCGACCCGCGATTCGTCCGGGCCAGCTGCGTCAGTCGCATTGGCGGCGCTGCGGCGGCGACCTTCCCCCAGTCTGTTGGCGGCAACCACTCCATGGGCCGTTTCCGAAGCATCTAATTCCGGCTTCCGCGTCAATTGTTGTTGTTGTTGTTGCTGTTGTTGTTGTTGTTGTTGTTGTTGTTGTTGTTGCTGTTGTTGTTGTTTGGAAGGAGGCCGAGTGGGCGGCGGTGTTGAAGACTCCTTTCGCGTCTTCGCGTGGACTTTGGCGGGCTGGTGCGGCTGCGGCTGTGCCAAAGTAGGGACACTGGCGTTTCGCTGCGCCAGGGGGTCGTCGTGTTCCGTGACTGCAACGCCGGCTGCGGCGGCGGCGGCCCCATCCCCGGTGCCGGTCGGGCCTTTCCGAAGCTTCTTGCCCCGGGGGCCGTTGGATCCAGCGCCCGCCGCACCGACAGCCCCCGGGGCGGCCGCCCCGGGTGCTTCTGCACCGCTGTAAGTGCTTGTCGCTGCCCCAGATGGAGCAACTGCAGGTGTAGCAGCTGTGGATGCGGGGTCTTTAGAAGTGGCGAGGGCCTTCGCTCCACGCTTCCTGTTGGTCTGGGGAGCTGCCCCGTCGGTCTGCACGTCCTCGCGCCCTACACCGGCCGCCGCGCCGCCTGCTGCCTGTGTCGCCGGCGCCTTTGCCGCTGCCTGATCCGGTACCAGTCTAGCTGAATTGCCGAGCTGATCAATTCCACGCAAGCTCACTGGCTTATTGAGGAGCTCTTGCAGCTGGTGTTGAGATAAGGCCTTGTTCGATTTTTTCTTTCCATCTGGCCTAACGCTGATCAATCTTTTTGGAGCAGACGGATAAAGGCCTGCATTTTCAGGAAAAGAATTTGTCCCTTCAAAGTCCCAGGTTCCGAATTCCAACACATCCCAAGCTTCGACTTCGTTCATGTCAGGAAAGATTCGTTAGAACGTTCTGAAGGTACGTGGCCTCGCACATTCAGACATACGAGCTTGCCGTTGCCTGGAAAGCGCAGCATCCCGTACGATTTCGGAGCCTTGACGTGCATGATGTCCTATCCTCGGGAGCTGAGAAACATCATGACCCCAAAGACTGCGAGGGGTGCATGGAAACCCTAGATAGAACGCCGGGAAACGTCCAAGTCGCTCCGAAACACCGGCGGGCGTTCGGTTTCCGTCCCGTTGTTTTGGTACGTTTTTGCGCGTCATCAGTCCAGGATACATGTAATATTTTCATACTTGTCCCACTATAGACCCTGCCATCTTGAGTTTCTCCAGTTTTGCAGTATCCTCGACACATCGAGGTAATAATTTTAGTTGTGCATCTAAGATAGTGTTACCTCCACACCGGCTACATTAATGATATTATACTAGTTTGTAGCTGCTTGCGCCCTCACGGCGTCAAGGGACGCCGGCGGAGCGCCAGCGACTAAATTTGGCGGGCGGGTTGGATGAGTGGAAGAGCGACTTGCTATCACGACGACATGGCTTATATGCATCTGAGCAATCTCGGTGATACATTTCTTACTGCAACTTGTGCGATGCGGAACGGTTCACTGCATGTTCTCGTCCTCGCTGGACTGGACCCGCAAAGCGAGACGCCGATGGCATCCCAGCTTTCAACAGGTGAATAATTAACCTACAAATCTAATTTTACCCATGTCTTATCTACGTTTGCCCTTTGATGGAGGATTCTGGCAGTCGCCTTCCGTGCTTCCAACGCGACTGGAACTTTAACCCGTTGCCCAGTCCTACTGCTTCAAAATGTTCCGTCTCAATTTGTAATTTTCACATGCGCAGGCAATGGTCAACTAGCAAGACTGGATCCGTTGTGCCAACAGCTGCGGCCACACGCGTGCCAACTACAAGGGCGAAGCGGCCGTAAACGATCAAGACAAGAATTTGGAGAAGATGAAATTTTGGCGTGAAATCAAAGGCGTGTATTGCGGCGATGGAACCACGTAGGGTTGTTGCGCGCTCGGGCAGCAACAGCGGAGTCAGAGGGGCGGTTGCGCCTGCGTCTTTCCCTTCCCTACCTGGAAAGAGCGTTAGCACAGAGCATGTCATGACGCATATAATCCACGAGCATCTCGTCACCTAATTTCGCTTTCACGGGCAAAGCGGCAGAGCAGTGTGTACCTGCTTCACAGGACTGGCCAGCAAGGGCCCGCGTGTCCTACCGGAATACGGTTCACACGGCCGTTAGTGCCGCCGGTTCCGAACGCGCGCCTTGCCAAAGCGTTCCCTCGCTATATGAAATGCTTTTATATTTTCCTAGATGGCGATGTTTTTCCTTAGCTGCATAGCCGGATTGACCGCCTGGCACTTTAAACTCCGAGCCGCACACCGTTACCTCGCCTACCCATAACAAAGCCTGGCAAGCAGCACGGATAGACCCACTAGACATGGCGATGATCCAGGCGTGGGTATGGCGCTTATCCAAGCTTATCTTTGCTACGTGGGAGTTGTAGGTGCGTTGGTACTTTCCACACCACGGCTTACCTGGTTACACGCCAACAAGGAGGCTCATGGATAGAAGGGCAGAGGGCGCTAGGTAGCGGTGGATGGGCGCGAACGGATGGCTTGATGTACCGATTGGATGGGGGGCGGGTATCACCCCATTGAATCGTATCATTTGGGAGCTGCCGAGTCAGGCAGTTTAATAACGCCCTGCTGTTAGCATCGCCGCGGTTAGTCCGGGCCACGCGGTAAGGTTTCTTGCATCTTGCCCTACTTGTCGACTAGCAGCTTCCTGCCGTACGTATAGCTGTTGCATGCGACGTTGTATAGATGTTTGTTGGCCATTTATGGTTATATGTTCTGCAATCTGCATTTGCCTATAATGTCGATGTCCAGGCTGAGTATTTTGTTGATTGATCAGGTGTTGGGTTGCCGCTGCTGGTTGCCGCTCCAAAGCGCACTTTTGTGTCGCACGTGTAATTCAGCAATGCGGACAGAGCTGTTCCTCTCCACTGATGACCAGCATTTGATATGCGTATGACGGGGCGGAGTCTGGCATGTATTCGAAAAGGGAACAGCGCCCAGATGAATGCTTTCCTTGTCTTGCACAGCGGCCACATTACTAGGCACCTGCTCCTGACTCCGATCCCCCTTATTCGACTCACGTGAAGGGGGTGGGCACGGAAGTTTTTACTACGCTGTAGTAGGTACTGAACTAAGTTGTAGTCCTTTATCGTGAGCTGCCCACGACCAACCAGCCGTCGTAGTTCCGCAGGAGCTACCCGGCCCTCCCGGACCGGATCTCCCTGGGCAGCTGGCATGCCAGGGCGGTGCAGCACAAAGCGGTGCGTAGGGGAATGCAGAGCGAGGAGCAGCACGATGAAAGTGACAGAACAGTGCTGTGCAATTTGGTATGGGGCCAAAAGACAAGATAGGAGAGGGTGCGCCGCTGCCTGCCTGCCACGCATTTGCCTGCCCGGGCGCTTATGCGCTTCCCAAGTGCGCCGCCCAAGAGTGTTGCCACACAGACCACGTATCAGCAGCAGCAGCAGCAGCATTTGTTTCTCTAGAATCAAACGCTTCTTGCAGTGGCCTTTGGAGGCGGTGTCGACCCTAGTGGTCCCATCGCCTCGCCAACTTCCCCCAACACACAGTGCCCACCAATCCAACCCAATATTCAGTATCCAGTAGCCACTCGTCGTCGTCATCGTCTTCATGTGTTGTTACGGGCATGGCGCGACGCAGCGTTGGTGCGACCGCCTGTGGTGTGCCGCTGCTTGTCTGCGGCAAGGTGTGCGCATGGCGACCTCGGCCACGCAAACAAACAGGTCGATATGTAGCGTCTAATGGAAATCACCAGCGCAGTGGCCGAACCCCTGCCCCATTACTGCCAACATGCATGTCCACCTTGCTCTGATTCTAACCTCCCCTCGGACCCTCACAGCGCGGCATGCGGACCCGTGGATCGACCTCACCACGACCGAGGTTGTGGCAACACATGCGGATAGGCCTGTTTCCATACTCCCCCTTTGCGCTGCCTTACTGCGGTACATCCCACTAACGACCATCAACGTTTCATTTCATCACTTTATGCACCTACTACCTCTCTTTAAAGCCTACATAAAGCATCCGTGCTTTCTGATCCTCCGAACACACCGATGTGATTGAACCATTAGTGCATCCTCGCTACCTCTCTTCTGTCCCGGACGTCTACCGTGGGTGGGGCACACAAACACTCAAGCAACCATCACCCACCCTTACAGCAAAGCATCCACCGGCTCGCAAAAATAGCCCCTCCTACTCGCCGTTTGATACACGGTTCTCTCGCCCTCCTCTGTGGCCCAACGAAGGAGCCCCCTCCACTTGGAAACCAAATGGCGTTGCACACAGGGACAACCCCGGCCCCAGCGCGCAACAGTAGTCTGCCTACCAGCAACCGTGGCGCCTATCCCAGACAAGCAGAATCCTCTTCTGAAATAAACCGCAACATATCTGGAGCATTGCACCGCTAATTATGAGACGCAGACGCAAACGTGTAAGACTCGTTTCTAAGGTAGCGTTTAAAGGGATTCGCAATTACACGCATCTAGCCGACACGGGAGACCAAAGGGGGGTAAATCTGCATGTATGTTTTCCACGTATATAAGTATGTGTGAGGCTCTTCGTCTACTTGACGCCCGCGCCCCACGTGCGATAGGGGAAAACGAAATAACTGAATAGCAAACTTGCCTACTTGAAAAACCGCGGCTTGGACTGCAGCCCGGTTCGATGTGGCTTATTGGGCCCTACATGCGGCAGCCCCCGCGGTGGCACTGCGCCGCCTGAGGACTTCGGTGAGCCCAATCCGCCGGCACCACCGTTGATGCTGCCATTGGAGCTGCCCGGGGCGCTGCCGTACTGCTGCTGCTGTGCCTGCTGTAGCTGTAGCTGCTGCTGCGCCTGTAGCAGCGCAGTCTGAAGCGCCTCGATCTGCTGCAGCAGCTCCCGTCGCTCGTCCAAACCTGCCTGTATGCGCAACCCCGGCAGGCAGCAGGTCCCCCGGCCGCGGGTGCATGGCGGGTCCAAAGGCAATAGGGGGAAAGCTGAAAAAGGAACCTGACGCGCGGGGCAGACAAGAACCCTAAAATTCGTACCAAATCCATGTAAAACAGAATGGGTGCTCCATATATGCTCCATGGAGCGAGCTTGGCACACCAACCCCCGTATTAGCGTTTCCTCCACGTTGTGAGGCGTTTGTTTGTTGGGAGGAGCTACCCACCCCGCTCGTTAGCATGGACGAAAGGCGGCAGCCCGGCAATAAATCCTTATAAAATAAGTCCTCACACTTCCTTTGTTACATTCTCCTGGCCGCGAGCTAGTTGCTAGTGCTGGGAGGCACTGCAACAGACACCCTCAACTGCTCGCTCCACCGCAAAGCCGCCCAGCGCAGTTTCCCCCCAGCCCACAGCAATCGCAATAAACGTTTCCCCATTCAACCGCACCTGCAACGCCGCTCGCATCTGCGCCAACTCCCCCTCCCTGGCGCGAATGATGTCCGAAAGCCGTCCCAACTGCCCCTCCATCATGTTCAGCATGCCTATGTCGACTGCAGGCGCCTCCGCGACCTCCTTCGTAGCTGCCGGAGCTGGAGGCGGCTCCTTTTGCTGCTGCTGCTGCTGCTGCTGTGCCTCTTTCAGCTGCTGTTGCGTGTTCGCCAGCTGGGCCTCCAGATCCTTCACCCGGGCCTTTAGAGCCTTCTCGCTAAACTGCGAGCTCGTCAGCTGCGATCGACACGACTCTGCTTCGGATTGTGCCTGCTTCAACTTGCCCTGTGCACGGCGGGTAAAGTGCCGTTAGTACGGCATGAGCGGCCACAGTAAAAAGGAGCAGGGGGCCCCCCTGTGTGGATCACACTTCCACGCACCCCTGTTGGGGCCCACCTGAAGCTCCGTGCAAGAGGCCTGTGCCGTCTCTAGTTGCTGACGCAGAGAAGCCGCATCCGCTTCAGCTCGTTGCAGCCGCTGTGCGTTTTGCTGCTCCAACTGCAGAAGCATTACAAGCAGCAGTAGCAGCAGTAGCAGCGCCATTACCAGCAGCAGCCGCAACAACAACAGCAGGGGGCCAAGGAAAGCAGAAAACCCCACGGATTGAAATGAATGGGCGCGGTCGCTGTGTAGTACATGGTACGACGTGACACCCGGCGTAAAATCTAGGATTAGCAGTCATAGGTTTAGAACTCAGCCCGTGCGCTGTGTTGTGCCAATCGTGCCATAACATCTTCCTGGGTAGAATCCATCCATGACCTCGCACGGCTACGATACGGATCGCACTCCCTCTGCCGGCTCCGTGGCTCCGTGCTTCAAGCCTAGCCGCCGCTGTTGTCGCTATCGCCGTCGGTGCTCGCCCCTATCGCCGTCCCAGCCCACCCGCCAGCAGCTTTGCCGTCATGCCATCCTCCCTGGACCCTCCTTACCGCCGCCGCGCCCGCCCGCGGCCCCGTCCGTGCTTGCGCTTGCGCATCCGCTGACGCCGCCGCCCTGGCCGCGGCCACCGCCTGCTCCAGCTGCTGCTGGTGCATCCTCCGCATGTCCGCAATCTTATTACTGAAGGTGTCCTGCGTTTAACCAGGCCATCAAGAAAAATCAGACCATCAAGAAAGAAATACGTACAGACGTCCACGCAGCGGCCACCACAGAGGCCTTCCCAGGGCGCAAGACCAAGGACGCGAAAATGGGATGAACAAAGAAAAACACACAATGAAAATGATTGCACTGTTAAATTTCCTGGTACTGCTTAAGTGCGACCTTGTTTACTAAGGCACGTGGAGGAAAGCACGTGGCGGAGGACGAGCTTTTTTGGGGTTTCCCGTCCCTTTTATTTTATGCACGCAGGACGCAGCACGTGAGTCGGCACGGTGTCCTCTCCGTTGTAACGCTGTTGCGCACAACCGATTGCTCCGTTCGTTTTTTCACATGTGATTTCCCTCCCTCTCGAAAACACAGCACGTGCCTGCATCTCGCTGAGTCGCGTGGCCGCTGCGGTCATCTGGTTTGTCAGCTCCATTTCCGCGCGCTGCAGCTGTCCGGTGCGGCCCTCCAGCTCGGCCCTCAGGCGGTAGATCTCCGCGTTGGGACCGTCCACCGCAGAAGTGGTCACCACTGCCTGGCGCTGCTGGGCCCTACGGCAGTTGGACAGGTTGGGCGGTCAGCGTGAGCCGTAAGGTTAGGGAGGGCATGTGGGTGATCGAGCGTGTCTGCCGAAGTGGATAGGAGGGTCTGCTTATGGGTGTTGGATAGCTGGGTTGGGCAGGTAGCCGGAAATGTGGGTGAGGGTGGGTGTGTGCCGTAAGGTTGGGCCGACAGCTAGTCATGCGGGCAGGGGAATTGGGGCAAATGGTAATTTGGGCAAACGCGCTTTGGGGTTTTACGCCAAGGATGGGCAAGGTTACGTATGCCGACACGCGACAGACACACACACACACACACACACACACACACACACACACACACACACACACCAACGCACACACAAGCAGACACACACACAAAGACGCACACACATCGTTCGCTGCAACATACCGACTAGAACGTACTTATTCAGCGCCAGGGCCTCTTGTAGCTGAGCTTGCAAAGAGGCAATTTCGGTCACCTGGGACTCGTGGGCCTGTTAGAGGTCAGGAACGCAGGGCAGCAGGGAGTCCAAGAAGGGTAGGGTAGGGTAGTACCTACTAGGTACATCATTGAAACAAGAGAGAAGAGAGAAAAGGGGGCAATCGAAGGGGCTCGGGCCAGGTGTAAGGGGACGTGACCCAGATCAGATTTTAATAAACAAGATTCACTAGCTAGTACTGGTGCTGGTTGAAATATGTTATGATGGGAAAGTGCACAGAAATAAAGCAGGCGAACAGGTGATCAAGGATTGGGTATGGGCCAACCAAGCGGTCGGGTGGATAGGCAGGCGGAGGGCCGGGAAATCAGGATGCAAGTACACACATGCTTAGGGATTGACAGACAGAGCTGACCTGCGTAGAGCTGGCGAGTGCCTGACGCATCCGATTGATTTCAGCACGGAGTCGCACCACCTCCGCCTCCCGCTCGCTGGCGATGGTCTGCCAGTCCTGCCCAGTTTTCTGCCTGCGCAGGTCGCCAGGCGCGTGAAATGTGATCTGTCCCAGGTGTTATTTGCGTAAGGGAGGCTGACTTGGCGACCATGCTTAAGCTTCCATGACCCGTTCCACTCATGTAACCCAGGAGCTGTCACATGGGCCGCACCTGGCCGCCGCTGCCTGCTTGTGCATGTCCAGCTCCTGTTTTAACGTAAGCACAGCTGACTGCGCCCGAGCAAGCACATCAGGCGACGCCGCACCATCGAGAGAGGCAAGGCAGCGCTCTAGCTCCTCCATGTTGCCGCTGGAATGTATCACCTTGCCCAGCAGCTTAGTTTTTCCAAAGATTATTTGATTTTGTCCCCAAGTGTATATGCATACTCAGTTTCCAGTGCTCACAAAAATGCAAAGCCTGAAGGGACATGGGGCCGTCTATCTGCGCAACCTGCACCACCTGACAGAAGCGACTTTCGCAAGGTGTTTTATAATATTTGGATTTTAGTTAACGCGACTGTTGTTCGTTTCCGAACAGTTGATCTAACGTTTGACGTACAGCGGGCAACCGGCCTCTTGCCCAAGTTCATGAGCATCAATCGATAACCCAGCATTGGGATGCTGTTGCTATACATAAATAAAGTGAAACTTTACGTTGCTCAAGGCTGCCTCTATGTGGCGCGGCAACTGTCCAACTGCCATCCTCTTCTTGTTAGCCCTCACAATCGTCCTAGCTCAGTATGAGTATCCTATGGGCACAAACGATGTAAGTCTCAAGTCCACGTCATGCCCAGATGCACCATTCTGATTGCCAAGCTTTTCACGACGCGTTCTGGAAACAACCCGGTCTGGATTCGTAGTTGGCCTCTGACGACGGGATCGGGGATGCCGTTACCATCAAGCTGCTTCCTCTTGAGAAGCGGAAAAAGGTCAGGCATTTGGCAATTGATGGAGACGAAAGCCTTTCCAGGAACCCCGGCCAGCTTAAAACTTAACCCACAGACAGACATATAGCACAGATACAAACACGCGCGAAATCATTCTTCCCAAGCCGCTGAGCCTCTTCGCTACTGCAGGGCGACCTGAAGGCCCTGGTGGAGCGGTTCAAGTCACTTCCCGAGCTGCGAGGCTCCTCAGTCGTCGCCGCATCCCCCGACCTGCTCGTCCTTATCCCGACCCCAGGCCAAAGCCTTGCCCAGGTAGCGCCATGTCCTTATTAATGATAGAAACCACTACACGGCCGGTCCTATCCGCAACACACTGTGTGTGTGGACTGCCCAAGTCACCCGTACAGCACATGAAAGCCCCCAGACATACAAACTTGCGCTCTCATCCCAATGCTCGGGAGGAGCTCATTGGCCAACAGCGACCGAATGCGAATTTGCCGCGCCCAGCTTCCGTGATGGTGGTCACCACTGCCATACCCTCTCCACGTAAGCATCATCCCACTCTGCTCCACACTTCACGCAGATCCGGGCGGCGCTGCTGCAGCAGCCCGAGGTGTATGAACTGGAGGTGCGGGATGAGACGCATCGACGAGAGGGCAACGAAAAGCCGTACGAGGTGCTTCGCAAGGAGCGGCTAGCACAGGTGGGAACCCGCACAACCTCCCACCTTCCCCACAGGGCCGCGCCACCAACCTTTTGCTGCATCCTGCTGAATCTCACTGCCCTTACCGACCCTGGAGTCATCATGTGTGTCTCTCGCAGTCTAAAACAAGGTGCTTCAGTCCGGCAAATTCCAGGCTGCCTCCTGGATACTGCATCTCCCTCCTTCCCAGGACTTTCACCGAAATCTCAGATGATTTTCATCCGACGACCTAGCGATCTGATGACTTTATTTTTGGATATCTTTGCACAGCAGTGAGAGGGAGAAGCCCTTGGTACACCCCCTGGCGGACCCGAAGAACTAAACTCGCAAAACGCTGTTGCGATCGGATGGGGATGCGCTGAGCGATGCACGGCGCATTTGGCATTTCCATGGGCTGTCTGCGCCGCATCTGGCACTTGTGCGAGTCTGGTTATCAGTTTCGTATCACTCCCGGGAACCTGAAGCTGGTGTGCCGATGTGCTGGTGGTTGGGGTTAGGATGATGGTGATGGTTGCGTTTGGGGTGATTGCTTTAGCAATGGACTTGAGTCCTGGTGCGCTGCTGCGCAGGTCCTTTCAAGTACCAGGAGCAGGATCCAAGACCGGATTCGAGAGAAGCTGCGGCAGCTGCTGAAGGGCATCAAGCGGAAGCAACGCCGCAGCGTCGGCAGTGGTGCCGCGGGCGGCGGCGGATTGGATGGGACGGGGCAAGGAGCTGAGGGGGTCAACACAGGAGAGCTGGATGCAAAGGCGACAAGAAAGGCAGTGGCGCGCGCAGTTAGGCGGGCTGCTAAGCGCGCGGCCCTCAAGGGGAAGGGGAAGGGGAAGGCGACGGCGAAGCGCGCAGGGATGGGGCCCGGGGGCGGGAAGAGGAAGCGGGACGGCCAGGCGGGAGAGTTGTAATGATGTGGTTTCTGGTATTCGGTTGACTGCATACATAAGGGACAAACATATCATACATACATGCACACATACATGACAACGGTGTGCGGAACACTCACTAGAGAACTCTCCTCATGCCGATGTCGCTGGAAAAGCGAGCGCCTGATCAAGCCGTTGAAGAGATCGTGTATCCCTTACAAAAACCGCCCACGCATACCTACGGATAAGAACCAAACCGCATGCTTCCGGCGATTCAAATGCTTAATAAGTTTTTATTAGGTAGTCAGCATATGGTACGTTGTGATTGCAAAGTAAAACTGAAATCCACCGCCGCCTACACTAGCCAGAGATTACCCTCAGCACCTCATTGTTCACCGCACCCACGGCCCAAGTCTCGTGGCCGAGCTGCATCCGTCCACCGCAACAATGCGCCCGCCCAAACTTATCTGGACATCAATAAAAACAACACTCTGCAACAAAGCAGAGGCGCTGACAGTCTCAATCTCATTCCCGCACAACAGCACCGCCTGAGCGGCCTGAGATGTGTGCGACAGGGGGTTCATATCTTTTCCGTGGCCGCTACCCTGCAAAACCCTACCTTCCCCAGTAATTCGGGGCACCCTCATCCATTCGGGGCACCCTCATCCATTCGGGGCACCATCATCCATTCGGGGCACCCTCATCCACTCGGGATACGCTCTAATCCAGTCACACAGCCAACACGTCACCAGGCATCGCTCAGGTTCAGCACCTACCACCGGTATCCAACAGAATCAACGACGGCTCAACTCCGTTCCTGGTCAACTCGCAGGTTTAGTAAATCCCAGGTCACCACCATCCATCCATTAGGATGTGCACTATTATCTTGCAATATCGGAAAAATTTTTCGACACTGACTGATCTCGATTCCGAAACTTCCTGGGGCTTCAAAGTGTGATTTATCAGTAGTGCCTGACAGTGTTTGATGTGTGAAACAGGAGGGTGAATCTTCGCCCGTGGCAGCTACCCTGCGAAACCCTGCCTTCCTCGGTATTTCGGGGCACCCTCATCTAGACACCCTAGTCAACTTCTCAGTGGATCGCTCAGGTTCCGCACCCATCACCAGCATCCAACGGAATCTACCGGATCGACAGTGGCGCAACTACATTCCTGGTCGGCTCGCGAGTTACCTTTATCCCAGGTTACCACCGTCCATCACCTAGGGGCGCAAGGCCTTCCACCATCGGAAAGGCTTTTGGCTCTTACGAATATCGATCCCGGGATTTCCCGGGGGCAATGGTCGCGCGTTACCAGTAGTGCCAAACCCTGTATGTGTATGTATGCATGTTTGTGGGTATGCATGAATGACGCCAGGTCGATCAGTATACATACATATGTATGTATATGTGTGTGTGTTACACCTCGGTTGCATCGCCCAGGGAGACGTAACGAGCCCATACGAGCTCAGAGGCCCAACGAAGAGCCCAGGAGCCACAAGTTCGATAAGTAGGTGGGTGATAATGAGCTGCCCGATGTGGCCCTGCATAGCATGTCAGAGTTGCCGGCTGACCATCTCGCCCTCGTGTATGCATGATGGACTGACTACGTTTACTACTGCTGCCGGCTCGGGCAAGCCGAGCTCTTCCCCTGCCTGCTGACATACAGATACAGCATTACAGCACTATCGTAGAGGAGTTGGGAAACACTGGGAAGGGAAGGGAGCAAGCAAAGAGGCGTGGAGGGAGGGGAGGGATAGGAGAGTTTGTGGATAAGCTAAGGGACGAAGACAGTGGGAGCACAAAAACGGGCAATGGAGGATAGGAAAGACGGATAGAAGAGGGGTTGGAAAGGGTGGGCGGGAAGAGGTGAGGAAGGAAGGAAGGAGGGAGGGAGGGTGGGCGGGAAAAAGGGGGGCACAGGGCAAGCGGACCCTTACACGCCACACACTTCCCCGTACTCGTGCAAAAGAGTCGTAATAATGCCTCATCCATACACGTTATGTTCCGTCCGGTACCCCCCCCCCCCGAGCACCATGATCCGTACAAGCATCCGCATCATCAACAGCCAGTCACCAACAGTCAACCAACAACCTCAAACCGGCAGGTTTCAGCACGGGCATGCTCCCTCACCATTTTTGAGGAAATACATGTCGGTAGCGATGTTCCCAGGCTCTCGGTAACGACAGGTTACTATCTTGCAGGTGGAGTTGACGGTGCCCATCGGAAGCTTCAACGGCGTCTGCACGATGGCGACACCGCAGCCAACAAACGAAGTACTCCGCCAAACCTACGAAACCCCCAGGACGACGGGGGGGAGACTTTGAGGGAAGTGGAGATGAGCGGGAGGAGGTGGCTGGGAACCAATGGACCTGGAGACGTGCAACAGTCACACGCGGGAGGGAAGGAATGTGGAGCATCCAGGGCTTATCACGGGATCTGCATCCGCCTATCGGTACTTTTCTGAAGTCGTGGTGTAACAGATTGATAAATAACGCGACAACTTCGGGCCCGAGGGCCTGCCAGTAGCAGGGCCATTCGCTGCGACGGGAAGCCAATGGCTGGAGAGGTGCTATAGGCAGGGAATGTCATCACAAGAAACAATGCTAGCAAGCACAAAGTCACGAGCGTCACGTATGCGAAAAAGGCCCCAGAAAGGGGGGCCGCATGTATGGGTACGTAAAATGGTATTAAGGTGCATATGGCTACATGGCGCCTTATCGACTCGGGAAAGGTACGACCAGAGGGTTGCAAAAACGGTCTAATCCCCCAATCCCGGGGGGTGGTAGTGGTCAGCCATCCCCCCATCCTGGCTGGGGTGACCGACTCCCATCTCCCATCTTAGGGGCCCGGTGCTAATCCCATCCTTTGAGACAGGTTTCCCATCCTGCCAGCCTGGGTCCCATCCCCAATCCTATGGCCAGGGTTTCCAATCCCATCCTGCAGCTGTGTTCCCCCAATCCTCATCCTGCCAGCCAGGGTCCCTTCCCAATCCCTTCGACCAGGGCCATCCCCATCCTGCAGCTGTGTTCAGATCCGAAAGCTGTCAGCCAGGGTCCCATCCCCATCCCTTGCCAGCTACAAACCTACTCCTTACGTTTACACAGGTGCTGTAATATCGGCTTTCTCTTTAGGCGTAAATCAGGGGAATGACCAGGGTTATTTTCTATTTCCGCGAGATATTTTTCTCTTGCTCTATGGCTTATTTCCTCTAGCGTCAAATTCCGCCCGGCTGTGTTCGTTCCGAAGCAGACTGAAGCGACAAACGCTCGTTGAAGCGGATCTCGACTGAGGAAGAACTCGCATCACAGAGGTCTACGTATCTAATTGCACACTGGCTGCTATTGCAAATCGCGCGTCCTAAGGGGGGAAGGACTGTTATGTTCGAAGGACGGCCACAGCAACAAATTATAATGCTGTGGTTAGAATGGCAGAACGTACAAGGGTGTTCTGTCAAAATGTCCATGGCTGGGAACGTGCACCATTGGTTCAGGTTCATAGCGCAGGAGTTCAGCTGCACATTCCGGCGCCAACATTCCACGTTGGGTGCGCCAAAGCGCTACGATAAACAACCTGATAACATTACATCAAGCCAGACAGTCCAATTGGAATGCTTTTGAGTCGACTTGGACTTCTGCGCAAGAATTGCTCCTATGCACTATAATGTGCAGAGTTACGTGGAGTTGTGCCACAACAAAACAATAAAGACTGCAAACTTTCTCAGAGTTGTGCATACTGGCTTGGGAATGCGGTGCGGCATGATGCGGCCAGCATCTTCGCGCCTTGCAACTTCAGCTCAGCTTGCATGAATATAACCAATAAAATATCACAGTACTAGAGAAGCAGTTTGTATGAGGAAGTAACATGAAAGCTTAACAACTAACTCCAGGGTGGGCCTCACTTTGAGCCAGGACCCCCAAAGCGGCTTGCTGTTGATAACGTTTTGTTGGCTTAGATGCGACGGAGCGAAGCGACCGGATCGTCTAAGGCTGGTTCTGTGGTGCTGTCGTACAACTGGGTCGCAGTGGCGACTTCATTCTTGCTGCTCTCCTGGTGAAGTCATTATGCCTTCACGCAGAAGAGCATACAGCCTTGTCCAACTAGTCAGCGTGACAGGCTGTACTTGGACCCCCAAACCGGCTTGCTGTTGATAACGTCTTGCATGTTGATACGCCTCCTGCGGACTTGTCCCCCAGTAGGGTCTGCAGATTGCATACAGATTACGTTCGGGTCTTATTCAAAGTGTCCCAAACTTCGTCTTGGAAGACGCCCACCTTCTTAAGCGCAAGCTATTAACAGCCCGACGACCGTTTGTTATCTCTTCCAGAATGGCATCCGATGGTGCCCTGGGTGTGGATGTGCATGGGCCGGACAAGGTAAGAACGGGGTTGGACTGCGTCTGACTGAAGAACTGGCACCAATGGTGCACGTTTCTCACATTTACACCAAGTCGCGTTCCATGCCTGTTCTATTCCCAATGGTGTTAACCTTCTGCAGAAGCGTCAAAAGCTGGCAAAATTGACGGGGTTGGGCTTCGCCAGGGACATGGCCGAAGTCATCATGGAAACGCTTGGGATGGACCCCATCGGGCAGTCGGCCGATGCCGGAGCAGGACTTCCTTGTGTTTGAGTTTGGTTAGCTATGGGACGCGACTTATAAGCAGAACTTCCTTGTGTTTGAGTTTGGTTTGCTATGGGACGCGACTTGCAAGCAGGACTTCCTTGTGTTTGAGTTTGGTTAGCTATGGGACGCGACTTATAAGCAGAACTTCCTTGTGTTTGAGTTTGGTTAGCTATGGGAAGCGACTTGCAAGCAGGACTTCGTTGTGTTTGAGTTTGGTTAGCTATGGGACGCGACTTATAAGCAGAACTTCCTTGTGTTTGAGTTTGGTTAGCTATGGGAAGCGACTTGCAAGCAGGACTTCGTTGTGTTTGAGTTTGGTTAGCTATGGGACGCGACTTGCAAGCAGAACTTCCTTGTGTTTGAGTTTGGTTTGCTATGGGACGCGACTTGTAAGCAGAACTTCCTTGTGTTTGAGTTTGGTTAGCTATGGGACGCGACTTATAAGCAGAACTTCCTTGTGTTTGAGTTTGGTTAGCTATGGGAAGCGACTTGTAAGCAGAACTTCCTTGTGTTTGAGTTTGGTTAGCTATGGGACGCGACTTGCAAGCAGAACTTCCTTGTGTTTGAGTTTGGTTTGCTATGGGACGCGCCTTATATGCAGGACTTCCTTGTGTTTGAGTTTGGTTTGCTATGGGACGCGACTTGCAAGCAGGACTTCCTTGTGTTTGAGTTTGGTTTGCTATGGGACGCGACTTGCAAGCAGAACTTCCTTGTGTTTGAGTTTGGTTTGCTATGGGACGCAACTTGCAAGCAGAACTTCCTTGTGTTTGAGTTTGGTTTGCTATGGGACGCGACTTGCAAGCAGAACCTCCTTGTGTTTGTTTGAGTTTCCATGTAAGCAACTATGGACAACTAAACCATCCATCCTTGGCCTGTTTTGCAGTCCTGTCAGTTTCCAAGTTCTGCACCTGCAGCCTCATTTTACAGCAGAACACCCAATTCTAATCCTCCAACTGTGTTCCCAATCCTATGGCAGCGACCTCATCCTAAACTTGCGAAAGCCTGCAATCCCCGTCCTGTCGACCAGGGTCCCATCCCCATCCCTGGCCAGGGCTCCCAATCCCCTCCTTGGTCAAGGTTGCAATCCCCATCCCTCAGACAGGGATCCCATCCCCATCCTCACCCCCGACAGCAATCCCCATCCCAAAAGTAGTGTAGCACGCCTAATCCCTAATCCTCGCCCTGGGCCCCACATCCCATCCTGACGTCGTCAACCCTATTCCCCATCCCGCCTGACCAGTACCTGCCCCCAATCCCCCATCTCTGCAACCCTCTGGTACGACAGCAGCGACCTGGTCGGTTCCGCTACCGCTATTAAGGCATGCTAGGCTAACCTAACTTAAAAAAGGTGTTGTGGCCAGAGCACTTTTGTAAACACCTACCACTTGTGTGAAGTGGCCGATAACGTTTTGCTTGTTTTCGGTGTACGGAAGTGTCGCGAAGAAGTTGTATTTGAAAACCTCTTCATACCATGCCCTGACCGCCGTCGTGCACGTGTAATTGTATGTAGGGGGTGATGACAGTTGCTGTGGGTACATAGGTCAACGTGGTGAAAACAGCGCCGGAATTGGTAAAATTGAGATCTGTCGCAACTGCAGAAGAGAGAAGGGGTGACCCAAATTGGAAGCTGTGCGACCACGGGCGGGATGACTGGATTCCAGTGGATTGGAGGGCCCGACTCGGGGAACTGCCAGTACAGCAGATACCGGACTGCCACAACTGCTTTACCGATTGAGACAAAGCAGTAAGGTAGGCGAACATGTAGTTGGGAAAGCAGGCAGGCAGTCGGGCAGGCAGTGGGGCAGGAAGGCCGGCAGGCAGATACACAGGCAGGCAGCGAGGCAGGTATAGTAGTCAGGCAGGTAGGCGGCCAGGAAGGATTCGCGGCGCTGGCGGAGAGCTTAGATGGCCACATGATCTTCTGACCCTCTTTTGGTAAAAGGGCGGTGGCGGGATGGATTGCGCATGATAAGGAGCCACTGCGGGCGGGCGGGGCCCAAGTCCCTGGGGCTTTTTAAGAATGCCTGCCCAACCCAGCTCGGGTCGTCAGAAGCCCCGAGCACCTTGAACAGGTTCTCGCCGAAAGCCCTACTGCCTGTATGCTGCAAATTGCAACCGGCTTTGGCCAGCCGAAGGGCGTATTCTGCAGAGGACGCGGCCAGGCCCGCATCCCACCGAAGAGGCAGTGCTTGGTGGTTTCCACGGTACATGTTGTGCTTGTCCAGGGCTTCCTTCGCATCCGGACAGGTGACACCTGTGGGCATGGCATAGGGACAGGGAAAAGGGGCAGGAGAAGCGGAAAGGAATGCTGGATCTCGCAACAGCTGGGGATGAGGGGAGGGAACAATTCGAAAGTTCGGCACGAAAGGTTCGAGTTACGGCGTACGATATGGAACATTGCAGGCAGGATAGTGTCATACATGCCTACGATTATTTTGGCCAAATCCCATCGACCAAACAATCCCGGAGTTGCCTAATCAAGCCATTAAAGCCATCCTACGGCGAACACACCTCCGCCTGTGTTCGATCATCACGCATACATGACGCCGTGACCTGCCTGCAAGGCTCCCCTGAGCCAGCCGACCAGCCTCATATCAATAAACCTTATGGCTATTCCAGTCCCACATGAATATATCATGGCGTAAGGACAGTATTGCAAGCGCTCTGTCTGAACCCTGCCGGGTTTGCTGTTTAGGCATATATTTGTACTTGGGCCCATAGTACAAGCTATCCGACAAGAAGATGCTGATATCAACATATACCACGCCAACGAACTCAGGATTTTGAGCATTGCGACTGTGCTGCACTAACCTTGACTCTTGGGATTTGGGGGAGACGGCGGCTTAGGAGACGGCTTGGATGGCGACGGTGGTGGCCGCAACGGCGGTGGTGAGGCCATCACGCGTGGCGGTGGGGAGAGCACGCGAGGACTTGGTGGCCTTGGTGACGGAGACAGCCTAACAGGGCTTGGTGAATTGACAGCTTTCGCCCGTGGGGGGCGCCGCTTGCCCTTATCCGCAACTGCGGTGCGTACACGTAAGGAATGCATAGGTGACATACATACGCATGGCTGAGTCTAAGTCAAATACACGTGCATGAGCGTTACGGGCTTGCATCTCCTAGCTTTGTGTTGCGAATCGTCGCGAGCTAGCAATTTAGCCTCCTTAAGAACTTAAGACTGTTCGCTACCTTTGCTGTCAGGTCCAGAGCCCGACGGCTGGTCCTATCCTAACTTAACCGTGAACCTCGACATGTGTAAAACCCACTTACTGTTGCTATCACCTTGGGCAATTGTCTGCTGCGAAAGCAGCAGGGAGACCAATACCAGGGCCGCTACAGTCAGGGGCACGGCGAGCTGGGGTCGAGCCATGATGGCGCAGCTCAGCGGCCGGTCTTTAGGGAGGGAAAAGGTGCTCTGTTCGAAATAGCCGGTTTTCAACTTGTATTTAACCTTTATAGGTATACTTAATCTCCGGGGCTCCGTCAAAAATCATAGACTCTGCGTTCAGAGCCTGCTAAACTTCCCGTGCATGGGGCCAACAATTTGTGCATGTGGAACACAAGCGCCCTTAGGCTCGCGCCGGTTCGCAGGTGATGTCGTCCTAGGGCTACTAGATAGATCTGCTTTACTGGATCATCCATATCCCTAAGTTGTCGTGAGCGCTTTTAGTCAACATTGAGCACTGACATGCACGACCTTATGCCTGCTTCCGGGTTCGCGGACTTTTGGGCGCTGCATACCTGTCCGGCAGGCAGCGCCCATCCGGCCCTCCCCGTCAATAAACAGGTTCGTTAATATGTAATTCATAGTCCGTTTAACAGGACGTATGTTTTTTGTCTTTGCCTAACTGGGTAGGATAGCGTTGGACGAGCAGCGGACTAGCAAGAGGTAGGCAGGGGATGGCAAGGCGCTGGCAAGCCGTGGCCGTTATTACTATTGCATAAAGCCTAAACAAAACGTCGAAGCATGAAAGATTCGACAATGTGTCAGGTGTAAGTGATGCTGTGTCTGTGTGCTGTTGCACATTAGCTACAGCGGCACACAGCGGACCCATAGGAGCGCTGATCTTGCAAGCGACCACATCCCGTCTGACCGTCAGGTGCCGCCTTGTTTGCGGCAAGCTCTGGTTCAGGCCAAGTGGAAAGAAGCACATTTAGAATTCGGGACTGACTGATTCGGATCGGCCGACGACTTAAGGTGCTGAAGCCACAAAAGTTGGACCAGACGAAGAGCCGTCCGGGAAGCGCCGCAGAGATCAGCGAAAACGAAGCGAAGTACAATCTATCCTGAATGACATACTTCTCTTCAAGGCCGCTACTTATGCCAAACCGACTTTTAAATCAAGGAGAGTCTGTCCGCAAAACGCAGCACATGAATGCTGCCCTTCCGTTCCTGACGGGTGTCTCTCCAAGGTCTGCGCCCACATAAACTGGTGAGCCTGTAGCTACCTTATCGCTTCTTTTCTCATGGAGTTCAAGTATTGCGGCAGCGGACATGTTATCAGCTTGTTGGGTACGTTGAGCTAGGAACATGCGAATATCTATAGTCCAGATCCTGTCGGTAGCGTCTTTAATATATATTACATTTATTTAAAATATCGTAACTCATCCATAGCTTCATCGTCTTCTTGTTTGCTAGAAATGAAGACACCAGCCATTCAATGTACCTAGCTCCTTTGTCGAGAAAGATATATAAAAATACAAATGTAGATACTGGCTACAACAAAGCTTTAAAGTCGTGCATGATGATGTAAAGCCAAGTCGTAGTCCGCTTGGTTTGAGTCATACAATGGGATGAAGACACTTTTGCCGATTATTAATTTGGTCATAGAAATCTTAGATCTTCAGCCGCGATGAGGGCTTACTAAAGGTCGGTGCGAAGGGAGCAAACAGAGGAGATGCAGCGTGCGTGCGAAGACGCGTTAGAGCATGAGTTTTATGAGAGGACGGAAAACTGAGGGCAACAGAGATGGATCCTGCACTAACCGGAGATAATGTCGGGTCGTGCCTGCCTGATCTGTCGCTTCGACGGAAGAAGTGTTTGTTTAAGTCGTTGCTGCGCTCATAGGAACAATCATATTCCCTGAGTGCATACGTCACAACCGTGAATGCCAATATGCCAGCTTAATTGGCAGATCCCCCCATGCCACTGTCGACCACATATCCATCAAGGCTACATCGCCAGTTTCCGGTCAGCGGTCACCAGCATACAGATGCAGCGAGAACATGGCTTTAGAACGTCGGCACTACACAGCTTAACTCCGCTTAAAGGAAATGATGTAACCACGTGGGCAGATGGACGGTGTTTCAGCACAACATGGGACACCCCAAGCGTAGCTGAAAACGGCACTTACATTGCCGACCAGGATCATGACCACAACCGGTGCTAAGATCCCCCAACTGCGTGCGGGTCTAGGAAGGTAAATCTGTATGTATGTGGTTATGCATGCATATCGGCCGGTCGGTCAGTATACATGCATGTGTGACACACACATATATGTCTGTATATGTGCATATATGTGTGTGTTACACCTCGGTTGCATCGCCCAGGGAGACGTAACGAGCCCATACAGGCTCAGAGGCCCAACGAAGAGCCCAGGAGCCACAAGTTCGATAAGTAGGTGGGTGATAATGAGCTGCCCGATGTGGCCCTGCAGAGCATGTCAGAGTTGCCGGCTGACCATCTCGCCCTCGTGTATGCATGATGGACTGACTACGTTCACTACTGCTGCCGGCTCGGGCAAGCCGAGCTCTTCCCCTGCCTGCTGACATACAGACACAGCATTACAGCACTATCGTAGTGGAGTTGGAAAGCACTGGGAAGGGAAGGGAGCAAGCAAAGAGGCATGGAGGGAGGGGAGGGATAGGAGAGTTTGTGGATAAGCAAAGGGACGAAGACAGTGGGAGCACAAAAACGGGCAATGGAGGATAGGAAAGACGGAGAGACGAGGGGTTGGAAAGGGTGGGCGGGAAGAGGTGAGGAAGGAAGGAAGGAGGGAGGGATGGTGGGCGGGAAAAAGGGGGGCACAGGGGAAGCGGGCCCTTACACGCCACACACTCTCCCGTACTCGTGCAAAAGAGTCGTAATAATGCCTCATCCATGCACGTTATGTTCCGTCCGGTACCCCCCCCCCCCGAGCAACATGATCCGTACAAGCATCCGCATCATCAACAGCCAGTCACCAACAGTCAACTAGCAACCTAAAGCCGGCAGGTTTCAGCACGGGCATGCTCCCTCACCATTTTTGAGGAAATACATGTCGGTAGCGATGTTCCCAGGCTCTCGGTAGCGACAGGTTACTATCTTGCAGGTGGAGTTGACGGTGCCCATCGGAAGCTTCAACGGCGTCTGGACGATGGCAACACCGCAGCCCACAAACGAAGTACTCCGCCAAACCTACGAAACCCCCAGGACGACGGGGGGGAGACTGTGAGGGAAGTGGAGATGAGCGGGAGGAGGTGGCTGGGAACCAATGGACCTGGAGGCGTGCAACAGTCACGATGTGTCCTGTAAGCATGAAGATATTGTGGCCAGTGCGCTTTCATAAGAACTCACAACTTGCGTGAAGTGGCCGACAAAGTTTGGTTTGTTGTCGTAATACGGCTGTGCTGCGAAAAAATTGTAATTGAAAACCTCTTCGTACCATACCCTGACCGCCGTCGTGCACGTGTAGTCGTTTTGAGGGGGTGATACCTGAACCTGTGTGTGCGTAGGTCAGCGTCGTGAAAACAGCGCCGGAATGGGTAAAATTGAGATCTGTTGCAATGCCAACTGCAGAAGAGAGAAGGTTTGACCTGGTGACACTATTGTCATTTTCGGTTTAAGGTCATGGATTAGATTCCCGGGGAGACCCCAACAATATCGGAAACGTGAATTTAAGGCTACCTATTGAGATATGGAGTTGAGGTCATAGTTGATGAACCGAGATTCGTACGCTGGATTGGTGGCGATTGATGAACCCTCTGTCTCTGCGGGTTCGGGTAACTGGATGAGGAGGGATCCTAGAAGGCGGGATCAACCGCCTTGGACTTCCAGTTCGTAAGGCGTAGTACAGTGTGGTAATGGTGGATGGTGCTGTATGGTGATAAACCGTAGAATGAGTTCAAGTGGCCATGGAGCCTCCCACTCTGTAACGAAATAAATATATACATAAAAGACGAGAGAAGGGGTGACCCAAATTGGAAGCTGTGCGACCACGGGCGGGATGAGTGGATTCTAGTGGATTGGGTTTTTTAAGATGGGGCTTTTTAAGGATGCCTGCCCAACCCAACCCTGCTCAGGTCGTCAGACGGCCCCAGCAGAGCACACACCGCATACAGGTTCTCGCCGAAGGCCCTACTGCCTGAATGCTGTATACTGCAGTCGGCTTTGGCCAGCCGAAGGGCGTATTCTGCAGAGGACGCGGCCAGGCTCGCGTCCCACCGAAGAGGCAGTGCTCGATGGTTTTCACGGTACATGTTGTGCTTGTCCAGGACTTCCTTCGCATCCGGACAGGTGACACCTGTGGGCATGGCATAGGGACAGGGAGAAGCGGAAAGGAATGCTGGATCTCGCAACAGCTGGGGATGAGGGGAGGGAACAATTCGAAAGTTCGGCACGAAAGGTTCGAGTTACGGCGTACGATATGGAACATTGCAGGCAGGATGGTGTCGTACATGCCTACGGTTATTTTGGCCAAATCCCATCGACCAAACAATCCCGGAATTGCCTAATCAAGCCATTAAAGCCATCCTACGGCGAACACACCTCCGCCTGTGTTCGATCATCACGCATACATGACGCCGTGACCTGCCTGCAAGGCTCCCCTGAACCAGCCGACCAGCCTCATATCAATAAACCTTATTGCTACTATTCCAGTCCCACATGAATATGTCATGGCGTAAGGACAGTATTGCGAGCGCTCTGTCTGCACCCTGCCGGGTTTGCTGGTTCGGCATGTATTTGTACTTGGGCCCATAATACAAGCTATCCGACAAGAAGGTGCTGATGTCAACATATACAACGCCAACGAACTCGGAATTTTGAGCATTGCGACTGTGCTGCACTAACCTTGATCATAGGAGTTTGAGGGAGATGGGGACTTAGGAGACGGCTTGGATGGCGACGGTGGTGGCCGCAACGGCGGTGGTGAGGGTGGTGACGGCGACAGCCTAACAGGGCTTGGTGGATTGACAGCTTTCGCCCGTGGGGGGCGCCGCTTGCCCTTATCCGCAACTGCGGTGCGTACACGGAAGGAATGCATAGGTGACAACAATAACACACACATACGCTTCCATGCATGTCTGAGTCTAAGTCAAATATACGTGCTTCGAGAATTCCGACACAGAGGGCGTTACGGGCTTGCAGCTCCTAGCTTTGTGTTGCGAATCGTCGCGAGCTAGCAATTTAGCCTCCTTAAGAACTTAAGACTGTTCGCTACCTTTGCTGTCAGGTCCAGAGCCCGACGGCTGGTCCTATCCTAACTTAACCGTGAACCTCGACATGTGTAAAACCCACTTACTGTTGCTATCGCCTTGGGCAATTGTCTGCTGCGAAAGCAGCAGGGAGACCAATACCAGGGCCGCTACAGTCAGGGGCACGGCGAGCTGGGGTCGAGCCATGATGGCGCTACAGCAGCTCAGCGGCCGGTCTTTAGGGAGGGAAAAGGTGCTCTGTTTGGAATAGCCGTTTTTTAACTTGTACTTACCCTTTATAGGTCTACTTCACGTCCAGGCCTCCGTCAAAAATCATAGACTCTGCGTTCCGAGCCTGCTAAACTTCCCGTGCATGGCGCCAAAATTTTGTGCCTGTTGAACACAAGCGCCCTTCGGCTCGGGCCGGTTCGCAGGTGGTGCCGCCCTAGGGCTACTAGATAGATCTGCTTTACTGGATCATCCATATCCCTAAGTTGTCGTGAGCGCTTTTAGTCAACATTGAGCACTGACATGCACGACCTTCCGGGTTCGCGGACTTTTGCGCGTTGCATACCTGTCCGGCAGGCAGCGCCCATCCGGCCCTCCCCGTCAATAAACAGGTTCGTTAATATGTAATTCATAGTCCGTTTAACAGGACGTATGTTTTTTGTCTTTGCCTAACTGGGTAGGATAGCGTTGGACGAGCAGCGGACTAGCAAGAGGTAGGCAGGGGATGGCAAGGCGCTGGCAAGCCGTGGCCGTTATTACTATTGCATAAAGCCTAAACAAAACGTCGAAGCATGAAAGATTCGACAATGTGTCAGGTGTAAGTGATGCTGTGTCTGTGTGCTGTTGCACATTAGCTACAGCGGCACACAGCGGACCCATAGGAGCGCTGATCTTGCAAGCGACCACATCCCGTCTGACCGTCAGGTGCCGCCTTGTTTGCGGCAACCTCTGGTTCAGGCCAAGTGGAACGAAGCACATCTAGAATTCGGGACTGACTCATTCGGATCGGCCGACGACTTTAGCTCTGGGTATGTGACCGCTGTACAGTGAAGTGCTGAAGCCAGAAAAGTGGGACCAGACGAAGAGCCGCCCGGGAAACGCCGCAGAGATCAGCGAAAGCGAAGCGAAATACGGGCCCAATCTATCCTGAATGACATCCTTCACGCCAAGGCCGCTACTTATACCATTCTGAGCTTGAAATCCAGGAGAGGCTGTCCGCACATGAAGGCTGCCCTTCCGTTCCTGAAGGGTGTCTCTCCAAGGTCTGCGCCCCCATAAACTCGTAGTGCGCCGATTGATGAGCCTGTAGCTACCTAATTGTTTCTCATTGAGTTCAAGTTTTGCTGCAGCGGACATGTTATCAGCTTGTTACGTGCACCAGCTAGAAACATGCGAATGTCTATAGTCCAGATCCTGTCGGTAGCCCCATTAACATAGATAAATGTGTTTAAATTTATCTTGACTCATCCTTAGGTTCATCGTCTTTCTTGTCTGCGAGAAATGAAGACCTATCCAGTCACCGATCACTCAAGTCACCTAGCTCCTTCCTCGAGAAAGATGTATCAAAATAAAACTATTAATCCTAACTATTACAAACCTTGAAAGTCGCGCATGATGATGTAAAGCCAAGTCGTGGTCCGCTTGGTTTGAGTCATACGATGGGATGAAGACATTTTTGTCGAAACATACCCGTGGCTACGGCTTAATAATTTGAGCACTTAAGTCTTAATTCCGCAGCCGCGATGAGGGCTTACTAAAGGTCGGTGCAAAGGGAGCAAACAGCGGAGATGCATTATGCGTGCGAAGACGCGTTAGAGCGTTAGTTTTATGAGAGGACGGAAAACTGAGGGCAACAGAGATGGATCCTGCACTAACCGGTGATAATGTCGGGCCGTGTCTGCCTAATCTGTTGCTTCGACGGAAGAAGTGCTTCTTTAAGTCGTTGCTGCGCTGATAGGATCAACCATATTCCCTGAGTGCATGCCTTTGTATCAGTACGCCAACTTAATCCGACCGCTATGCGAGCAAGTTCATCCCGTACCGTACCGTACTACCGTAACTTGGCAGCGAGCCTATCCCACGGCTAAGGGGTCAAGCTGTTGTCACGCGCGACGGCGCGTGATACGTTATCGTTCTCACGTGAGAGCAATTTTCGCGCGGTGCCGATAGCCAACCGGGCAGGTTCGATCTCATCAATGCCTATTTCCAGTCCACGCGACTTGTTCGAGAGTATGTGCGTCATTTTGCATAGACTTTGCCCTCGGCAGTCATAACGTAGTAGCTGGCCGCTGAAAAGGCCTCTCGAGATGCTGGTGGACGCGCTTAGAGTGTATTTATAGTTGTTCACGGTGCCGTACGGTGTGCCGGCTACTACACATACAGTCGTGGGTGACGTGGCAGTCATGCAGGCGCGGGTGACCACTACGGTCAGTTTCCGACCCTTCCGGCTACTGCCAAGCTGGCTGCTGGATCATAGACGCAGCCGATGAACACGCCAAAACGCGCAAGCTTTTAGCAACCTTTGTGTGCTAAACAGCCTAAGCAGCAGTGTCGCATTGTATCATAGCGTGTCAGGTGACATGAGAGCAATGGTGTTAAATACGTTTACAGTTATTGACTTATGTACTAGAAGAAGTTTCGACCGAGTCTGGCTCGAGTTTCGCGGGTTGCATGACAGGGCATGATCGCATGAATATCTGCTGTTACCTGCCTAAGGACCCGTTTATTTAGCAAAGGAAAGTACGGGTTAAAAGGTTTTCAAAACAGGCAGTAGACAAGGAGCTGACGAGGTGCAGAGAAGTCGCTGAGTTGCGAACAGAGCGGAAGCTTGTCGCTCTGGTCAGGTGTGGTACGTCATTATAACTGTTCGCGCACCTGTTCCGCACCTTAGCCGTTGAATTCCGCTGACCAACATTACGTCCCAAATGCCATACTTATACAGGGACCGCGTGACGAAGGCATTGGATGGCCAATATCCTCTGTCACGCCGAAAAAAAGCCGCTGCAACCAGATCACCGTTTCGAGAGCATTATCATCAAATCCCCTGTAACCATACGTGTCTACGTAAGGGTTACAAGACTGCAATCTTCGTGTCCGTCCCTCCTGGTTCTGGAGCAAGACGACAACTTCGGCCAGTCCAAGCATAGTCGCAAACGGTACTGCTGACCGTTACCATCTCTTCTTGCTTTCTAGGCTGACTTAAGCATCCAGCTTAAAGCCTGGCTTCAAAACTACAAAAAACAGCCTCTAGGCGTCGAGCCTCCATTTTTGAAACAGAGTGAATACATGGATAATGCTGGCGATCCAAGTGCGCGGTGTCGCATAAGATGGATCGTGGATCTGGAGGCCGAGGAGTTGTCTGGCAGTTTCCAGCGTCGGTTGGAGCTCCTTCCTGTGCACGAGCAGCAACAGGTACGGGCTTGACCGAGCGCGGAGCGAGCGTTTTCCGACATGTTTCTCAAAAGTCCTTTTTTACCGAGTTTGCAGTTGCTATGCTGGAAGTACTATAATCATCAGAAACATTTAGTACAAAATATCCGAGGAAGTGTCAGGGCCGTATCCTTGACTTCGGGGCGCGCGGTATACCCCTCGCTGCCTGCCGCGCATGACCCCGTGCGTGCGTAGGATCGCAGTGCTTCCGATAAGACTTGGGAAATATTGATGTATTAAGCAAAAAAATGTGTGTGAACATGTGCGTCCGTCCTCGGTGCCCAGGTCCTGGCTTTCATGCGGCAGACAGACCAGCAGCGGGCGCTAATCAGCCGGCTGCTACAGCGCTGCTGCGTGTGCTCCGCCCTAGGCGTGCAGTGGGCTGACGTGGCGCTCTCGCTGACTAAGGGCCGCAAGCCCTTCACCACCAACGCCAAGCCCGCCCATGCACCTAACTTCAATTTTAACGTGTCCCACGAGGTAAAGCACGACATCAACAAAAATGCAGCCAAGATTTCGCTTGCAATCCAGCACCTTTGGGGATTGGTGATCTACCGGTCGCCTGCAGTCCGGGCCCATCCCCGTGTACCTGGCCGCGTGTGGCCAAGTCCATCTTCTATGTTTGATGGCCGCACCAGTCACGAGTCTCCCTCATCTGCGGATCTGGAGCTATGTTGAGGGGGTGGGGAGGAAGACCCTGCCTCGCCCGTACCCGGTGATGCTTGTCTTTACACACACGTTGACACGTTTTAGGGGCGCTACGTGGCACTGGCTGCTGACCCCCTGTACCTCGTGGGCGTGGACATGGCAGCGCCGCGGCGCTGGCGGCCGGGCCCTGGCCCAGGGTCCGTGGCACGGTCCCTGGACCAGTACCTGCAGTCTTTCCGTGGCCAGCTGGCAGATAGCGAGGTGAGGTGGGGATCACAACGCACATGTGCGCTAAGGCAGACTGCAACACTGACAGTGCCAATCTGCACTCCATAGCTTGGGCCTTTCTAGCCATGTCCCAGCTGTGCCTTGGCGGCATAGCTGGCCGGTGTATGCACCGCTCTTATTTATGTCTGGATTGGGGCGGACATGCTGTGGAATTCTCTGAACCCTTCCCAGTTGCGTTCCAGTTCTGGGCTCCGGTCATGTCAGGCACCGGTTGTCACATACATGGCAACCTGAAATGCACGCGGCCTCATCTCCTCGGAAATATCCCAGCACGCTGCATCCTCGGGTACAATGACGTCTGGGTTGCAGTGGGCGCTTTTAGAGCGGCTTGGGGTGGACGAGGAGCGACGGGAGGCCGCCTTCCAGCGCCTGTGGAGCCTCAAGGAGGTGGGTATGGTGTGCGGCCTGGCGGTGAAGATAATCTGTCAGATAATCTATTCAGAACTTGGCCCATTGAAATCTGGTAACGCACGACTCAATGTGCGCTTATTCACTAAGCAGCATTGGCGGCGACGGTGCTGATTCGCAGCGGCAATGGGGAAGTACGGAAGCACGCCCTTCCACCTTAGACGTGTAAACAACATATGCGGATGCATGCCGTGCTCTATTCAACATTACAAAGAGGCCGTGGATGTATGTGTACCTACCACGCCACCTTTCGGCCGCTGTCGGACCCGGCCCAAAACACGTTTTCCTTATGGTGTTCCCTTCGGTGAACCTCCTGTGTAGGCTTTCGTGAAGGCGCGTGGGGATGGCCTTGGTTTCCCTCAGCTGAACAGGGCTGCATTCCAATTTCCCGGAGGTGACCCTTGGGCCACAACCGCACAGCTGGTGCTGGATGGCCATGTCCAGAACAGGTAGGCCAGTGCCCAAACGTAGGCCGTGTGTGCCCGTGCCAACATATTTGTATTGTGCTTAGGAATATCTGCTGTAAGTTAGACGACCGCTGCGCATCCGCATGCATGCGCATCAAGTGGTAGATGGGAAATTACCCAGTGATTCACCTGAACCTTCAGACGTGTCAAGCCGCCCGCCCGTTAACCGCCTATGTTCACCTTGGGTTTACCGCTAAAAAAGCCATGGGCCAGCGTGCGTCTATCGGTGGCGTAAACTGAACGCGGAAGTAGCATTAGCGTTGCGACACAGTTTACCTGTAGCTTGTTTGAAACAGGTGTCATAGCAAGCGCAGCTGGCCACGGGGAGAGCGCAGCGTATTATGTAAACTGCGTTCGGCACGATTGACGCTTGTGCTTGGTTGTGCACCCACTGTCCCGGCCTTACGAAATTTCTCCTGCATGCGCCCATGTAAAGCTGGTGCTTCACGCTGGAGCAACTACCGCATGGCCATTGTGTCTGCGTCGCACACGGGCCTGCTGTTGCCGCTGTGGACCAGCTTGGGGTAAGTAATGGATACCAATACAGTGATCTACATTTACACCATCAATATCAGCCCGTTATGTTGCCCAGGTCTTCCGAGCTACACTACACAACGAGCTCGCAGCCCCTGAATCCAACAGCTGCTCTCAATCTTTTCAATTCGTGAAATTGGGCGACTTGCTTCATGAGTTTCAAGACTCGCCTCTTACTTGAGGCCGGCCGGCCGGCCCCTGCTGGTAAGCGGCCGCATAACGAGGGATTGCAATTGATTGTTGTGCAGGAAGCCATGACCAACAGATCGGGAGTGGCTCCAAGTACTTTATAGCTGCGCCTGCCTTCGCGTGGTTGTTGCTCGCGGAAGGCGCTTGCAGCTCTACCCATGGTACAAGTGCATAGTTCACCTTCAGGATAGCAACAGAATATATGTAAATTAAATTTTATCACAGCCAGATAGTGTCCGGACGAAACGCTGACCCGCTGTACGTGCTTCCTGTACGACTTCTTCGCAGAATAAGACGCGAGCTTCCCACAACCAATTATCATATTTTTTACTAAATCGCAGTTCGACGTCTGGTCGTTTACAACCTGATAGCGGACCAAGCATCTGAGGCCAGCGGGATTGCCTTCTAGGTTGTCATCTTGAAGTGGAGTGAATCAACTGTATAACTCTTCCGGAATGGTGATCACACGGATTGGCTTTCTACGAGATCTACAGACTATGCATATTTTGCGCTAGCAGTTTGCCTACTCTGCGCATATTTTACTGGCCTTCCTTGACATGACCGCGGCTTTAAAGCCTGCGCGCATAGGAGTGGATCAGCTTGTAAACATAGAAAGCGATTTGGATACACGAGTAGAAGGCCTGGTGTTATCTGATACTTTAACCGATAGCGCTGAGCGCACGGATTGGCATCAGCAAGGCAGAGATGGCATCTGTGCTCTGGTTGAGGAATGTAGAAGTGTGGCAAGAAGTTCAGCGACCGCTGCGGAAGGTCTTCTGACCCAAGAACCGAGTCTCAAGGACGTGACTGGTGTCCTGGTGGATGACGTTCCATCGGAGGATTCCAGTCAAAGTACCGTGACATGTAGTGGTCCATCTACGCCAGAGCAAGCTGATACAGTGGGAGCTCAAGAGCTGGACGATTGCGAGAAACCTAGCTCATCGGGCGTAGATACAGTTGCTTCAGCACATCAACGTGCTTCCGGTAATACCAACACCAATGACGATGTTACTTGTACAACTTCCGCTGCTTCGTGGGATGAATGTGGCCCCTTCTCTTCGACAGCGGCACGGGCCACCGAAAGCCCAGGGAAAGAGGACATCGCAACGAAGGAAACTGCTGCCGCCACATCTGTGGAGGAATTCATGCCACCTTGCTCGGATTCCCTTCCAACGTCAGAGTCATGCAAACACATCTCTTCCGTGCCTGAATCCATCGCGGCTGTCAAAGCTGAAGTGGACGCCCTCTCAGCCTCCCAATCATCAAGCGCGGACTCAGATCGCACGCCAACCAGTTCGCTGATTGCGCCTAGTTCGTTATCTCCTCACAGCCTCTCTACGTCGGCTCCTGACCGCGCGTGTGGCGACGAGCCTGTTACTCCAAGCACGCCACGGCAGCCGCTTAACATCCCCCTGCTACCACCGCCTACAGACCCACAGCGGATGACACTTGTGCTGGTGAGCATCGTAGCGGCGGAGGAGCCGCACAATGGTGGGGCATGGGATATACGTTGTTATTCAAGAGGTTTTCTAGGTCTACTAAAGCAACTGAGGCGTGAAGGAATCTGTGACTGGAGCGCGGTCACTTTTGTCGCGGCAGGACGGTGCTGATGCTGTGCCGTTAGTAAGCCAGGTATCTTGTATAGCGTTCAGGCAGAGCACGTTTTTGTCACAATGTACATCAGCGTCGCACGATACCTGCATTGCGTCGCAGGTATCGTTCGCGCTGCAGTACTGCTTGATAGCTCACCGGCCAAAAGCATACATCCCCGAACATTGTGTTTACCAGTTTACTAATAAAGCGTCCAAGAGTCACAACCTGTCACAGGTTCTAATCCACGTGCGCGTGTTGGCACTTGATTTTATTATAACCCCTGTCCGCCCACCCGCCACCTAGGATTTGGATGGCACACTAATCGCCAGCGAGGATGAGCCGCACGCTCCGGTGCCGTTCGACTACTGCGTGGACGAAGAGCGCTTCGTGTGGCTGCGGCCCGGGCTACGCCGGTTCCTCGACTCTGTGCGACCGCACTTCGAGGTGGTCCTGTGAGTAGGGTACGGCGGTCTCAGGCTCACGCAGATATGAGAGGCGCTACGGGTGCGTCGCGGACGGTATCCGAGAGGGCTGTCTATTCACTATTGTGGTTGCAACCCGCTGCCGCGGCCAGAGCGTTACCTGACAATGTTAACCGTCACAGGGACTGCGGTATGTGGCGGGCGTAGTGCGACGCCTTGCTACTTCACTTCCGGGCTACATGGAAGCCGCCTCTAGTAGACCACGAAGATTATGTCTGTCCGTACTGATACGGAGGGCCGTCCGCATGTGGGCTTACACTCCTGCGTTCTGCAGCAGGCTTATAGTATTAGGAAATTCCAGCGTTGAGGGCTCGACAGAATGATCCCTGGGATCCCGGGATCGAGTCCAAGCTACAGCAGAATGCGAGGGTGCTACTAGTGTGCCCGCTTGCTCCTCGTTTTGCCACTAAATTCGTACAAGTCGGCCAAGGTGAATTGTTTCGGCCGTCCCCAAGCAAAAGGGAAGAGTGATTTAAAACAAAGGGGAAGGCAATGATTCACCGGGAATGGAAGCGATGGCGGGTGATGCTACAAACCCCTGCCCTCACGCACATATGGGCGTAAGTTCAGCACTCGCAAATGCGTGTTTCAGTGCTGACAAAACTCATCCTTGTCGGCATAACGTGCAGCTCATCCTCCCTTTTTGGCTGCTGCTCCGTATCCATGGTCTTGCCCTAAAGGTTTACAGCCGCTGGAGAGAGCTGGGCCACCTCGGCGCTTCAGCGGATTGATCCAGATGGCGTTATCTTTGACAGCAGGTAAGAGAGAGTCCTGATCTATCAACCTTCTCGTGTTGCTTTCGTTCACTACGCTTGAGGTGGAGGTGGCAGTGGCCGGGTTGGGATGAAGGACATTGCGCGCCTAAGGAAATGCAGTTTGTACTGCGGTCGCTTTGAGTTTTCTTCCCAAATGGCTGCTAATGAGGGACGCGAGGGGCCGAGCGGTTTAGGTAGTGCCTGGTTTGTCCTAACCCGCACGCACCTTGAACTGACTTATTCATGTTACACCGTGTGAAAGACGTGAGCGAGAATACTTCGACGCGCAACAACTGGGCGGGGATTCCCGTTGCAGCCCGACGGTACGTGAGGATAGAGGAAATGTTGACGCATGCGGCCATCGCAGCCATCGCGGTTGCCGTAGACTTGTCCGCGTATGCGCATGTTGTATTCCCATCCATGTTTAATGCCGATGGGCACCTACTGGGTCTTTCCTGCTCCCTGAACGCAGTTGCGGCTGCAGTTTCATGAGAACCTTTGCAGCGCCGCTGCCACAACTTATCTATTTGTCCGCCTGCCGCATAACAGGCTGTACAGGGACCACACCGTATCACACGATGATTGGCCCTGGGTCAAGGACCTGTCCCGGCTGGGCCGCGACCTAGCGCGTGTGGTGATTGTGGACGACAACCCACTCATGTTCATGTACCAGCCGGATAATGCGCTGCATGTGGCGGCGTATGATCCTCAGGTAGGAGGTAGGATTGCTGAACGTCTCAATGGAGCCGCAAAGGCGGCAGCAGCATAATGATTATAGAAAATAGTTTATTTGTGCGCCAGTTGCATGACACCTGGATGTATAACCGTGTCTTGCGTTGTGGAGCAAACTTGTAACCCTACTTGAGACCATACATAAAAAACCTTTTCAATCCTACTGTGCTGCTTCGGTGCCGACAGCTGACGGGCCACAACGATGATGTCTTGGAGCAGGCCTTGGACGTCTTAATGCACAAGGTAAGGAGCGGTTAAGAGCCGCACGCTATTCTTAGCCAAACGCTCTGCTACTGCTCACGCCGCAGTATGTCAGCGACTGCTGCGTCCAGAAGTCAGATGCGGCAATGCAGTGGTCCGACGACCTTTTGCAATCATATAGTGGTTGTTTTGAGCCGTGTATGTATCCACCAGCAGCCGTTTTCGACAATCGCCACTTCTGTTTTGTAATTGACTATTAGAGAATAACCTACCTTTGTGGGTAATTGTGAATTCGCAGGTGCTGATCGCAAATGACGTGCGAGAGGTCCTCCGGAGCATTAAGGAGCCTATTACAGCCTCCTGCATGGCAGCAAGGCACGCGGCCGCAAAGGCTCTGGCGGCGGCCTCCCTTGGGCACGTGGCTGTGCCGCGACTTGGGTCGGCACCTGGGCTGCAAGGGCGCAAGAGCGACGGTGTGGCAGCGGCACTGCTACCGCTATCGGGCTCGGCAGCGCCGTCCACAAAACCTGGAGCCTCGGCCCTTGCGTCGGGCGACCAGCCCAGCACAGGGCCAGCAGGTGCCGCGCGATTGTCGAGGCGGAGGCGGCGCTACTACAAGCGGCAACAGCAGCACGACTCGGCAGCAGCTCCTGGGAAACCGCAGGTGCCTGCGTCGGCATCATCTCCGCAGCCACAATCCGAGAAACGACACCAACGAACGAGGTCTCGGAGGGGTGGCGGTTCCGGATCTGGTGCCAGCGTCGATGCCACGGCAGACGCCACCGCCGCCGGGCCCGCTGCGCCAACTGCTGCATGCGTGCAGGCACCAGCCGTCCCTGCCGGGAATCTCTTGCCGGCAGGCCCCAGTCATACTGCAGCGGCTCGGCGGCCCCCGGGCACGATCGGTCGCGCTCGGGGTCCTAAACAGACGTTGTCGGGCGGTGTGACGAAGCTAACGGGGCCGTCACTTTTCCAGCAGCCTGAGCAGCAACTGCAGCTGAAGCTCAAGCTGCTGCAGGTGCAGCGCGAGCAGGAAGAGGAGGAGGAACAGGCACGTGAGGAGGCTGGGGAGGGTGCCGCATTGGGGGGCAGCCCCGCGCCGTCCTCCACCTGTAGCTCATGCGGGCCCCAAGAGTTGGCTGCGCCGAGCAGAAGCACAGGCCAGAAAGAACGTGCGTTGGACGGGAAATCCCGCGAAGCGTTGCTCCCGTTGCGCCCCCGGGATGGCGAGAGTCCGGACGGGACGCCGGTGCTGACATCGGTTCCCACACCCATCTCTGCTACTGGGGCTGGGTCGGAATCCAGTGACAAACAGGAGCCCGCTCCAGGAAGAGGGCAAGGGGCCCCGCAAGGGTGCAGTGTTTTGCCTGCTGCAGACGTGGATCCCGTTCCGGGCCCTGCGCCGGCTGCTGCGGCCGGTTGTACTGACCCGGCTGCTTTATTACTCGGTGCTGCTGTCCCAGCCGTTGCGGAACGGGGAGCTAAGACAGGCGCCGCCAGTCGACGGCGGAGGCGGAGGCGTGCAGCGGAAGCAGTGAGCCAGGATGACGGCGGGGGCTCAACCGGCAAAGTCAGTGAACCCTTGCCTGCCGATGCGCAGTCGGGGAGTTTTACCAACGGGGAGAAAAACCTACTTGCTACTGCCGCCAGGCGCGTGCTGCTGGAGCGGTCAGGGCAGGAATAAACAGCTCAATAGTAGGGCACTCATTCGTGCGTGCAATTTCGTGGCCCTGATACCTGATATAGGTAGGGCCTGCAGAAAACAACAGGATTGTGCCGCCGAGTCAGGCCGTGGAGGCATGCCTGCATCTGGCAGCATAACCCAACGGGCCGACGGTGGGCGGCAGGAATTCTTCAAAGCTTTCGTCCAAATGGATGGCTGTTGTTGAAGGATTGGGATCCGCCTGGGACAGCAAGGCACGCTAGGCTTTTGCCGCGTTGTTCATAGTCGCTCGGCTGTTATTGCTTGCCCACCTTGGGAGGCTTTGCCGAGGCGTCGGGGGATTTAGCTCTCAACGCAGAGAGCTTATTTAACAGCGACTGCACAGAAGGCGAGGGTAATAGCGTAGCCTGCTAAACCGACACTGTTCTGGATGCGTCAGAGAGAGTGACCGTCGCGTTGAACCCGTTGCATGGCTGAGCAAGCATTTCTTTGCTGCGGTGGTGTGGTGTGTGATATAAAATGGTGAGATAGTGGACAGCTATGAAGGATATGGCAGTGTGGGCTGCCATCTGGCTCATGATGCGCAGCACAAACAAATGGCTTGGAAGCGGCTAGGAAGGATGTCCCCGCACATGCTGGCGATGCCGCAGTGCTTCTGCATGTGTGTGTTGTGTGGTTCTTTCCTTTATTCTTCCTCTTACACTCCTAGGAACGAGCACTTTGTATAGCTGTTCAGGCTGCGTGCTTTCACGCAATGGGGGCGTGCTTGCGGATATACTGGGGAGCGAGTGGCTTGTGCCATCGGCGTTCTCTGCGATTTTTGCAGTCAGCTCAACCGCAATCGGTATTGTATCCACGGGTGCTTTATGTGATCACACTTGCGTAACCTCTTATGCGCAGGTTGCAAGGCTACTCGATATAGTCACTGTTTGATTAAGGCAGCTGGTGATAGGCTTTAGAATACTCTGCCGCAACCCGTGGGGTCAGGTATATAGCTGCAGAATCGAAGGGAAATGTGATTTCCAGGTATAAATGAGTGTCCAGGCAGGTCGTGGTGTGAGTACAGCCTTTACAAATTTGTGGATCGAGTTTATGTATCACTGTGTCTTCACTTGTTTAGTGAGAGGTGTCAAAATTTCAAGTTATGCAGAAGTCCTCGGAAGCCTCGCAACACCCACATATGAAGTGATGGCCGGGGGAGAAGAGAGAGTATTCCCGGAATCCGTGCTGTGTGACACCAGCGATACAGGCGAGCTGGTTTCCCCACAATGATGTAGTTGTCCTTTCAGCTGACGTGTAGATTCAAGAAAACTTGTAGTAGAGTCAAGAGGATGCGGAGCTTGTCATCCTGGATGACGGTGTAAGCAATCTAGCACGGGGCTGTTTAAAGGTATTAATTGGTATCCTTACTTCTCGGCTCTTAATGCTTGTCACGGATTTGGGCGTACGTCTGCCACTCGCTGTAACCCCCTGAGCCACCGATTCAACACAATTGCCGCACACTTGCACTGCTGCGCATTGCTGCGAGCTCGGAAGGACACATGTCGAAACATGAGAGCCTAATACTCCAGCGCGCTATGGTTGTTTGACTTTCCAAAAAGCCGTAAAAAAGGTCTCAGGCCGCCTGGTAAACCAGCATTCGCAACGTATGGTGGTATGATGCTGATACTTACGAAACAGCGAAATCCAAACGGGCTGAAAAGCCGTAGGCTAAAGCTGCGGCCTCTGGTGGCTGTGCAGGGTGTGCTGACACCCAAAAAGACTCAATGGGGCACCAGTAAATACCTGCCCAAGCCTTGATAAACATTGAGTTCAGTTGTTGATGTAGTGGGACAGCCTCCAGCAACAAATTGTGACCCAAGGGTCTAATATTGGGGCAGTTGGAGCCCCAGGTGGGTCCCAGACATTACACCAAACAATATACAGATAAATCAAATAAAAGGTTCTGGACTCGATTATGTAGTCAGTCGCAACGTTCGCCCCTCTGCGCCAAACTCGAGTTAATGCTGCAAAATTGTAAGCCCTCGCGGAGCTTTTTAAATGACCACGACTTCTTCATATAATTTCAAAACATTAACTGATTAAACGTGTAATTTGTCCTAAGCGAAGTGCTCCACGTCGCATAGGCCGCTGCATTTAGAAACCCTGTCGGATGCAAGAAGAGTAGCAACAAAAGCGATACAATTTATCATAGCGCTCAATAGCTGTTTCATTATTTGGCTGTCGCATAGAAGAAAGTTTGTTTACTGTACGTCATATTGCGAGATTGCCTTCCTTGAAATGAATGCCCCTGCGCCGGCATCTGCGTGGATACATTCCAAATATAGACATAACTGTTTGCAATAAACAATTTTATTACCGAAACATCTTTTCATATCAATACAACCCAGGCATAGTGCGCAGGGGTGGAGCGGCGTCGGTGTGCATTTTGGCTCAAACAGTGCACTGCCTTACTGGCATTGTGCTGAAGGAGTCAAGTGAAGGCAGGGAAGCTGGCCTGCACGAGGTGCGCACGCCCCGGGGGGGAAAACGCGTTTTTCCGATTTGCTCCAACGCCGTCTTTGCGTCTGCAATCTGCTGTCCGAGGTCATCTGTGTGTTGTCGCCATGTGTCGCGTCTGTTTTAGGGAGTTTTCAGCTTAACGATTTGCCAGGGCCCAGAGTCAGCTAGCCAGTAGCTATCCCTTTTGTGTGATACAAGTGATTATTGAAGCGGTGATCATTACCCATGCCCATATTGCTTTCATTTACATGGCAGCCTAGGGGAAGAACCCGGCGGAGTAGCATTTACAGTCGTCTGGCTTGTGCTGTTTCCTGGTGACGTATTGCGCATTTCCCTATAAATCGAAGGTTTACCTTTCTTAAGAGCTTTCGTGGTCAGGGGCCGGGCGTTGGCTTCCACGTTTACAGGCCAGCGCTGTGTCCCCGTCGCGTTGCAGGCATCAATGACCTCCATCGTGGACGATTGCGCTCATCAATGCCTTCTTCCCGATGGCCAAGCCACAATTTGTGATTCCCTGCCGCCCTTTGACGAGGAGCTCGTCGGGGATGTTACAGTCGAAGAGCTTTCTCTGCCTGCGCCCTCTGAGACGCTTGACGACAACCAAGTCACCTCTGGCTCATCACTCCCTGCAACTCCCGCGGAGCGACCGTGCACTTTTTGCCCAAGCTCCTTGCCGTTGCCTCCCGCATCGTGTCCAGCGCGCGCGACGCTGGTGCTGGTAAGCTGCAATGGATTATTGGTCGAACTTTCTAGCCTAACAGCTTAAAGGTCTTCGTGGAAGGAAGGGGTTTGTGGTTACTCTGCCAGGGGTTGCACATGACAAGCTCACAAACGATATGCGCGAAACCACGTTCCGAAACGCCTATCCTGAAATCTACACAGCCGTGAGGCGTTCATGCGGCGCGTTTCGTTGTATGTGTTCATCTGCACACCCAGCTATCGTCCAGTTGGCCACCCTTGTCTAGATGTTGACGTTGGGAGTTGCATCTGTCCTCCCGTAGGACCTGGACGGCACTCTGATTGCTAGCGAAGAGCTTAATGCCGCAAACTCCGCGTACCTATGGAACACGCCTGCTGGAGCCCGCGCGCCTGACTACGAGGCGATGGGACGCCGTGTGTGGCTACGCCCAGGTGTAAGGGAGTTCTTGTCAGGTGTCAGGCCTCACTTCGAGGTTGTGCTGTTTACGGCTGCGACCCAGAACTGGGCGGCGGCAGCAATCGAGCAGTTGGACCCGGCAGCGGAGCTCTTTGACGTAATGTAGGTGTTGAGCTCCCGGTTGTGGTGAAGATGGCAGCACTTGCGCATTTAGCGAATCAGTCTTCGGCACCTGCATCGGGACCCATCGTCTGCATCCGCACGCGCATCATGGCAAGGATGGTTTTGGATGGCGATGGATTGTGGTTGCTTCCAATTTTCCGTACGCTTGTTCTCCGTACGCTTGCTTCTGTGTCGACATAGCTGACGTTGTTGGTGGGCTTCCTTACAGGCTGCATCGGGACCATACAACGTCCGATTTGATGTGGGACTACGTCAAGGACTTATCCCGGTTGGGCCGAGACCTTGCGCGCGTGGTAATTGTGGACGACAACCCGCTAATGTTCATGTACCAGCCCGATAACGCGCTTCATATCGGGGCGTACGAAGCTTCCATCGCGGGCGGCCCCGACAATGTGTTGCCACGAGTGTCGGAAGTACTCATAAACCAGGTGAATCACTTTGCCATTGTGCCTGTTCATGCCTCTATGGCTTGTCGAGGGCGAAGTCTTGCTTCTGTTGGGTTAAACGAACGCTGCACTACTGCCAAAGCTCTCCACCACGTCATGAATGTAACTTGCTCACTTAGGTGTGAAAGACTTGGCCATGGCTTTTAGGACATCTTCAGCCAGAAGTGCTGGCTGGCTGGCATTTCCTGATCTTTTTTGGCCCCTCAACAGATCGCGTCTACCAAGCCTTTCTGCATGTATGCGATACTTTTGGACTGAAAATGCATCGGCGGGCTGTAGGCCTTGTTTATTAATACTACCGGTGGCATTTCACCGACAAGTGGCTCACCAGCTGATGCGCGACTTAAATATTAAACAACGGCAATCGCATACGTGCAGAAGCAGCATTGGTCGTTGCCTGAGCAAAGCCCGATATGGATTCACCTGCTGTAGTGTATATGCGGAATTGGTCCGCCGGTTTGACTATCTGGGGAGGATTGGGGCACATGAAGCTAGATTTTCTGGAACTGCAAGGTAGGGCAGTTGCCGTCGTGTGGCTGCCTGTCAGACAGGCAGGCAGCTTCATCATGCGCATGGTCCAATCCAGTAAGATGTGGTGTATGCCCCGCGGTGGTTAATGGTCATTCCTAGGTGGCGCATGCCAACGACGTCCGGGAAATTCTAGGACCCATGGCCGCTGCCAAGTGCTGTATCACGTCGACAGTTTCGACGGCCGATGCGGCTACCCAGGCGGATGTGCAGCAGCATGGTTCCGCCGCCGCCGGGGTGATGACTGGAACGAGCGCTGAACAGGCGGAGAGGGACTATGGGTCCAGCAGTGGCGACCACAGTATGGTTGATGCGGCTGATCACGAGGTCAGCTGCTGTGCAGCCGAGGTACATGATGGGGAACGCGTGCAGGGTGATGCTGCAATGGACGGCAATTGGGTCGTCGGGGGTTATGCGGGCACCCAGGTACCTCACGATGGGCAAGGCACGCAGGAGCAGGCACAGCAGCGGCAGCCTGAGGATAGCCAGTGGAGTAATGGGCTTAGTAACGGTTGTGAGTCTGAAGGCTCGCTTGCTGACAACGCGGAGAAGGATCTTGAGTGGGAGGGGGATGATGAAGGTGCTGAAACGTTTGACGAGCACGGTGCAGCGGCACAGCTGGGAGCGGACGTTGTGGGAAATAGCCATCGCCATCGTACCTGGGATGAACCGCGTTGCAGTCGTAAGGCCAGCGAAGCAGCAGCCACGGAGACAGCAGGGGTATCTGCTGCCGTGGTGCAGGAGAGTGGAGAGCAGGACAGCGACGCATGTCCTGAGGAGCATAGCGCCAATAGCAGTGAGGACTTCGAAGCTCTTATGGATGATGCGATGGCGGAGTACGATAGTGATGCATACGAGAGTCCGTACTGCGCCGGGACCGAGTACGACTATTCCTGCTCAGCCGGGAAACCCGCATCTGGTGCGATCCTTCCGAGAAGTCCGATCCGCGCAGCTGATCACGCAGCTGGTAACGGCAACGCTGGCACCGACGGCATCTGCCAAGCTTTTCCCAGCAGCTGCAGTCATCGTCCATGCGCCTTTCAGGTGCCCTGTGCTCTCGGTAGCGAGGCCGCCACGGATCTTGTGGTGTACAGCCGTATTGAAGCTGCTGCTGAGCAGCCGGTCGCTTATGCACGGGTGGACAGCATAGACGCTAGTTTCGATGGCAGCAACTCGATAGTATCCGTTCCTATTGAGACTGCTTGTATTGCAGCAGGCGCTGCCGCAGCTGAGACTTCGACGAATTCTGGTCGACCGTCGCTGATGGTCTGCGCTGATGCTGCGGGATTATCTAATCAGCACCCATGTCACATCCTAGAGGATGCGCAGGCGCAGCCACGACAGCCACCGCTTCCGACAGGGATGGTTTTCCTAACGGACCTTAATCCGGCGTTTGGTGCTGGATGCGCCACCCCAGATGCCGCTCCGGCATCGCCCGGAGGTTACGAAGCTATTGCCTTGTCGGCGTCGGCAGCTCCTGCGGGAGGAGACATCTCCCGGAAAATGGGTTCCCTAGGCTGCAAACGTATGCGGGCGGAGACCGAGGGAAGCAGCGATGTGTCGGACGGGGCAAGGGAGGTTGCAGCTAAGTTGTGGTGCCATAGCACTCCCCACAGCACTCGGATGCACCTTTCACGCTGCGATGCCCACGCTGGCGACACTCTGGCGGCGAGCGTTGCTGTCGGCTCATGCTCTGTTCTCCCAGCTGCTGAGGCGGTAGTGCTCGCTGGTGCATCCTCTTAGCGTTTGCTGTGTTGCTTGAAGCCCACGATTGTAGAAGAGCTGTTTTTCTGGAAGCTCTGACGGTAGCCTAGCAGTCCTTCCGCCGACGGAACGTGATAACGGTGTCTCTGCAAAGTGTGGGGTGTGGCCATCATCGGGATTCTGCATTTTGGCAGCCTTGACCCGATACTTGCCGATTGTGTACAAATCCTTGCATTGGGTGCGCATAACAGGGCGCGAGGTCAGTGCCCGGCGTGTCCTAATGGCTGTTTGAGCTGCAGACATGGAGAGTTCAGATTCGGACAAGGAAGGTCGATGGGCGGGAAAATAGGCCATCGCTATGTTGCCCGTATGTGGTGGCTACGTGAGCTGAGTGCGTTCGGTGCAGGTGCCCACGTGTTGTCCTTCAACGGTGCGTTCACATGCTCTGTAATTAGTCGAGATGTGGCAATGGTGGTGTGCGAATCCACCACCATGCTCAGTTCCCACCAAAGGCTCAATTTGATGGATGGTGGCGTTGTTTAAATGTTGGGCTAATTACTAATGGCACCTTTTGTGCATTATTGCGCCTGTCGCACGTTCGTGCAGTGTCGCATCGTTTTGTTAGTCGGTATTCATCTGAGCAATGCCGTCGTGCACCATTTTGAGGAGCAAATCTGGGTGGTAGATGCGGGCCGGAGGTGGTGTTATGTGCTGGAGTGTCGATATCAACAAATATGGTGTGGCGTATGCAGTTTAGTATTCGTAACAGATGTTATCCCTTTCAATATGAGAAGACATAAAATGGTACCACGGTCAGGTGCAGCACAAGGGTTGTATTTGGTCTCGTACCTGTTGGGAAAAGCGCGCGGGCTCCGATCAGACATAGACGGGCACGTGTCGATATTTTTGCCAAAAGGTGTTAGTGACTTAATGTATTTCGTCTGTCGTAGGCAGGACAAAGACATGCGCACGGGAGCGGTTTGCCTAGGGGGCGCTCCTCACTGCTGGCCTCGTCTGTGTGAAGTGTGCGCCCCTCGTGTTTTGTGCCGCTTTTGGCCTTTGCAATCGTTCTCATTTGTGTTGGTTGTGTAGTCCTTGTTTTCCCTTGAGATGTTGTAGGCGTGCTCGCACCCGACATTTGTAGTTCGGGCAGGCGGCTATCCTGTTATGGAAAGCTTAGAGCAGAATGCAGTGTCTCGCCATGGTCGTAGGTGCTGCGAGCAATTACGGTCAAAACAGAAACATTGCTTTTAAAAAGAGACACAAGGATGTAGGTCAAGTTTTCGGACGCAACAGATCACGGGCTGTATGTGTTATGGTACGGTCAGGCGGTTAAAGCGACCGCTGTCTTCTGTGGTGTGCGTTTTCGGTGTATCGCGCGCAGGTGGGGCCCGTATGAGAAGCCCTAGGGGGCAGACCGATGTACGTGCGCCCCGTCGGTCCAAAATAGTGGGAAAAGGTTACGTACAGCATCCATGGGCTTAGTCCGGTGAGTATTCTATGTTACATTGTGCCGCCTGGCGGAGCTGTGTTTTTTTACCCAGATGTAGGCTAATACGATTTTTGTTCGTATGGAATTGCGCTGGTATGACCATCGTCGCTCCATTCAGGCTCCACGACGGGCCGGACTGGGGAACTTATTGCCCGCCATGATGGACTTATCTCTTTCCTCCTTTTTAGGTAGCTGCTTGTAGAATTAGGCCAGTCACATGCACTTTCTGCTTCGCGGCGCTTGAAGTTCTCATTGGCGCAGCACTGAGAGTGTCCCGTGCGTGCAATGCGTTGGGGTTTGCCACACGTGTTACCGGAACATTTATGTTCCAGGGCTGATACGAGCTGCGTGTGTCATCATAGGCTTTAGGAAAGGAGCCTGTTTGGGTCTTGAGCCTAGAGCAGGGAAGGTCTGCCACGATTTAGGCCAGGTTCGTGGCAACTTGTGAGGTAACCACCCCTGCTATCCTGATGATGTTCACGGTGATGTATTAGATCTCACTGGGTTACATCGAGCAGGTTGCAGCTGCTTCTATGTTTATGGTGTGCCCGGATGGTATTGTATGGGTCTCTTCTTTACCCCACCCCTCATGAAGGGTGTACTCACGGATCGTAGGCGACGGGGTTCAGATGGGACCTATCTCCCTGCCTGACTTCAGTGATATGGCGCCCCGTCGACCTGCAACAGCTGTAACATTTGCTGTTCCCAATCACTAAAAAGAACACATGACGTTAGGTAAGCGTCCGTACTATGCCACAGTACTACTGTAGTATGCCATGGTGGTGGTGATACTTGGAATGTGCAGTGTGATACGAGCCACGACGGGTACATGAGCCTCACACGCCTCCCAACAAGTAGCCGCGAAGCACAACAGCGCTGCCTCGTGAGCAAGGATGCTGTTGCCTGTTTGGACAGTTCCAAAAAACGCCCACTTGCTAACAGGGGTTCCCCGTTCAGATATACAATGCGGCACACAACCTGGCAAATAATATCCATGGAGATGTCGCAAGCCTCTAATCCACGCTCTGCGGAAAGCGGTGCGCAAAAGGTCTATCGCAACCAGCAGAATGGACTGTGGTTAGGTCTTGTTTGGCCTTTTCCCCGACACCACAGCGGCCTCGCCTGCCATGGATATGACCCCCGGCATCTGCATCGCCGGCTGAGGCGCCCCGACTCCGCCGCCCCTAACGCCAGGAGCAAGCTTGTAAAGCACCTCCTGTAGGGATACAATGTCCGACCGGTATGCAAACGTGGGGAGGTGTCAACCCGAGGGGCCCGGCCTCACATCCGCACACTTGTTTTTCACTGCATTAAGCCGGGCAATTGCGTATCAAAACATGAAAATCACAAGTGCACAAACTCGCACAATCCATGTATCCACTCGGTGTTCGCACTGCGGGTAGTATTGGAGGAGTGCGTCCTCTTCGACACGTGCACCAACACATGGCCGTGGGTGGGCCGGCAACACCACACGCACCGTGCGTATGACATACTTGGACCCACGGGTCACGGCGCTTCCCTCGTGCACCAGGCTGCCCTGTGTGTCGCCGTGTGGAAAGACCAAAATGTTTCCAGCCACCGGCTTGACGCTGTGCGCCGCGAGGCAGCATCCACTGCCTATGTTCGCCAGTACGATGGGTTACGCAGTGGGACCGACCAGAACTACTTAAGCACGAAAACACTTCCCGGCATAAGCAAAGGGGGGAATAAAAAAGGAAAACCAAAACAATCAGGCGCAAGGCGATGGAAGACGTAGTCGTCAGCCGGGCTTCTGAGGCGCACGAGCAGGCGTTGCACTGGTCTTGAAGGGCCAGTTGCGGGCCGGAAGCACATAATGGCGGGCTCATAACAAAGCGGTTCTGCGCCGCATTCCACTACCTGTATTTCCCGACAGTGGTGCCCGGTCGCTACACAACAGTAGTCTACTACCGATCATCCAGCTGCATCACCAGTGCCCAATGTCTGAGCGCACCTGGCGGTGCTGGGGTGTAAAAGGTTGTCGCTCCGCCTTCAAAATCGTCGTTCAGATAGACCAGAAAAGTGAGCCTGAGCACACATCGGGGGCACAGGCAGTGCAGCGTGCGGGTGGCGGCTGAAGCGACAGCGGCGTCGACAGAACGCGACGACGGATAGCACAGTCCTAACCAATGCGTGATCCCTTGGTTCAAGGGGAGTTGCTGCTTTCGCCATGTGAACATATCAACATATTACGACATCAGGGAGGCGGAAACCATATTTGCAAGGTCCACGACGAAAGGACACATCAAGAGGGGTTCCCGTACCTGGACCACCTGTCTCCATACGCGTCGAACTCGTACCGCCCGTCCTTGAGGCCGCTGCCAGGCCACGCGCCATCTACATGGGGCCGATACACGGCTCCCTTGTCGTACCTGTACAGCCGCCAACGAGCGTTGATGCCGGCCAGATCACCACCGCAGAGGCGCTGCGGCAGTAGGTGCGCGACTCGGTCGTATAACGGCCCCTGAGGCATGCCGTACACAAACCCTGTACGATTAAAATGCTCAGGACTAGAGAGTTACTGCTCATATTTGTTAGAACGCCACGGCATCCCTCTTAGCCAATTCCATTTAGCGCATCTGTGCGTGGTTAGGACCCCAAACCCCCATATTTGTTGTATGTCCCATATGTAGGGGAAAAGGAGTTGCCTTGTGGAACCAGACCCCGTGAAAACACCCCTCCTAGTCGGCACGGGCCTGTGTCTAACGCGTGTGTCTAGGCAGTCCCAAGCCATGCTTAGCCCTTGTGGCTTGGTAACTGGGTTACAAAGCGGTCGTTCGTGAATGGGGATCCACCTGCAGCGTCTCATCCGCGAGCCATACGCAGCCAGCCGCGCCGCGTTCACCCAAGCCGGCACCACCGCTACGAGCAGCACTGCTGGTGTTGCTCGCGGCCAGGCCTGCACCCGCAGCCGCGGCGCGCGCGGCCGCAGAGAAGGTGTAGTCCGGGTCAACGGTGTAGCCCATCTCCTCTGCACACGTCACGATCTGCATGCATTCGCGCCGCGACAATGCCCCCACTAGTGTAAAGGCCCCAGGTACGAATGGCACCTCTACACGAACCACTGGCGGGCGCGAGGCGTCGTACTGAATTGTTCCGGGTTCAGTGCAAAACATGGTCAGGTCGCGGGCGATGTTTGGGAGCGTGGTGCCGCTGTCAGCAGCAGCTCTGGCAGCGGCCATGCCCGCGGTGCTGCCATTCGCGTTGGTGCCCGCATACTCGGGAGGCAGCGGTACGACAGCGAAGCGGCCAATATACGGTCCTGGGGCCGGCGCCATTGTGCCCCCGGCCTGCAGGGCTCTGTCCCCGTCCGCATGTGCGGCGCCACCAGATGTGGTGGCTATATCGCCCGGCGCGGCATCTGGCGGACGCCAGGGCGGAAAGCGCCGTACAGGGAGCATAGTGCCAGCGTTGTCGCGATCAGCGGCGTTGGGGCCCGCGGCGGCGGCCGCGGCGTCTGGGTTTGCGTCCGAGGCGGCAGGGTGGGGCTGCGGCCCCGCCGCAACGCGCATGATGGCGGCCAAAAGCTTGGCAGCCACGGCTTCCGTGCCCGCCAGGTCCGCTGCCCTGACCCAGCGCATGATTGCGCCCAGCTTGGGAACCTCGGCCTCAGCAGCGTGCTGCATCCGTTCCAGCATTTCAAGGAGTTCTTGCGCCTCTGACCATGCCTTTGCGTTCAGCGCATCGCTGATGATAGGAACCAGCTTGACTTTCTTTTTGGGGTTGGTCGGGAGCTTGTACTTAAGCCGCTTTGCGATGACTGCCAAAGGCCCACCGTGAAGGGTGTTGCTGACCCCGTTCTTCACATTTTCTTGTAATTCTCTTGCAGCCTTTTTCCTAGCTTTTGCCAGGGTCTTGCCCATAGTGAACCTTGTTACTCCCACGCTATTATAATACCGACATACAAGTTACACGTTTCTATCCCGCAAAAAGAGAGAAATTTCGCAAACTGTACTATAGTTCGCTTGGAAAAGAATTCTCATCATATAATGTTACGATGGGACGCATCGCTGCATACAGTCCTCGACAGCATTTTTGCCCAGTATCACATCTTAGGCGCCACATAAGGGTTACATACATGTCGTGAACTGCCCATCAGTCGTTCGCGACTATTTTGATGCCGTCCTTAGCAGACGCGACATCTGAAGGCCCTTCTTGACCTCGTTTGGTAAAACAGCGGAGCATGTCAAGGGCAACATATGTATCTTACGTCTAATATAGAAATTGGCCTGAGCGAGTGTGGAATTGAATTACAGTAATGGCAGACGAATGGCCGCGCGCACGACGACGTGTCTGTAGACCAAGCTTGTTGCTGTGCCCGGTTCAAGTGCCGGCAGCTTTGGCTAAGCAAAAAAGTGGGCAGTGCCGTGCATCTCGCCAGATAGGGTCTGTTCACGAAACAGGGGTCCACTGCAAACATCGCAAACCGTTCACGAAACCGCTGAAATGCCGATATTTAAGGAGGCCTATCTCCTAATTGACGCAGCGCGACGATATCTTTACTCCGTGCGACCATTGGACGTGGTGGGATGCCTGCGGGATGGCCAAGACACAGGGAAGGAGAAGGTCGGCCATTTAACTGTCGAAATCCGCAACCCTGGGCTCTTGGACTGCATCCTACCTACCCCTGCAGTCCCTTACAATCGTGTCCAGCAGCTCTTGTACAGGCTACTCGAGGCAATTTGCCTTGGACAGCTCGATGCCACCCTATATCAACAGTGCTCGTACACCCCGCACACCAACTACTACACCATTCGCAATGCCCCTCACGATTATTCCAAAATCGCGCCGTTTCATGTTGCCATGTTGCCACACGTGCGTGCAGGCCCCGCCTGCCTATGCACCACTCGCACATCTATGTTTATCACCCTCTTCAGCAGCATCACCATTTCTACGCGAGTCAGGCTTAGCCAGCAACCAAAGGCAGTGCAGAGCCAAAGACCCCTTGTCCGTACCTGCCACCTGCAAGCGGTGTACTTTCATGCATGCTGCCGCTGCCCGGCTCAGGACAGGCACTGCACCTGAACCTCCTCCACCGTCGTGACACCCCTCAAATAGTCTTCGGCGGCCTTTCTGTACCGTGGGTCATTTGTACAGTCGATATACTTGGCGAAGGGCAGCAGCTGTGAACGAGGCCGGGTACGGCCCCAAGGAGGCATGAGGGAGGGGGCCGCGAAGGGTGAGAACACTTGAAGCCGGCCATGCGGCTGCCGCTGGCGGTTAATGTGGCTGAGAATGTGCGAAGGGTTGAGGTGTCCACCACCCTGCGGTGACCCGCTGGCGGACCTCATGCTTTGATGTTGACGGAACTACACTAAGGCCTGTGCTAGGCCTAAAGTCGTAGCACCATGACGCACCTAGCTGCTGCACCGGGAGCCTGAGGGATTGAGCGATTCCGCTCTCGGGATACTAGGGGCGATTAGTCTTTGGAGGGAGCACAGCCCGGTGGACGAAACACGGCGGCCCCAGGGAGGGTGCAGGCACATCGGCGCACGCGGCCCTGTGCCCCTGCTCACCTTGCGGCAACACTCCGGAGAAATGGGCTTTTTCTCGGCGCACTTCCGGAAGGCGGTTATGGCTGGATTGCGAGGGAGCTCCAGCGCGGCGTCCCTGCATCGGGGGTCGGCTGTGCAAAGGAGTCCAAATAAATAATATGTCAGTGACATGGTGGTCACCCTACGCCGCTGCCCTTGATGGCCTGCCTGATGTCTCTTATGCTATATCTCTAACGCCAAACGCTGACAACAGTAACAAAGTCATAGCGGAAGCGGCAATGCAGATGGCACTCTGAGGTGATCCAGGCGCATCGCTTCACATACAGTTGCACCAATGCGGGACATGGGGCGCTAATCAGTCGGGAGCCATGAGCTGCACCGCATGGAGCACCAGTAAATTAAATGTGCGAGGGAGAGGGGACATGAACCCCACAATAGAGGCAGGGAGGATGGGGTTGTCCTGTATGTGTTACGGGGAGGTTTCCACCCGAAAACAATAAGCTGTCCACATCACAGTCCGGCGATATGGGCTCAATGTTTCGCTACGTGGGATCGCTGACCAGGGGTTGCGCGCTTGTGGGCTGTGGCTTATAGGCGTTCAGTCAGTGGACTACTTCGTCCCATTGCCTTTTCAGGCAAGGACATGCGGAGCCGTATTACTCTAGGCGCTGAATCGGCCCAACAGTGGGGTAAAACTAACTACTATTCTCTAAACCCAGATCACGTTCCCTGTTATTGGGGTGAACAATCCAACGCTTGGTGAATGCTGCTTCACAGTGATAGGATAGGGCCGACATCGAAGGATCAAAGAGCGTCGTTATGAGCGCCTCGCGTTCTGTAATGAAGTAGCACTCGATCCTGAGCTCTGTGCATTTGCATCGCCAAGCCCCGCATAGCTCACCGCGAACGCTGTGCGCCAACGGTGCAGCCAGCAGCAGCGCCGCCAACAGCCCTGCTCGCACGTGACCCATGTGCTATGGAAGCCTTGGCGGAGAAGCAGCGGGAAGCGATACTTCAATAATGCTAAAATCCCAATTTATTAACACAGTGGAAATTTTCTATTGTTGCAAGTCCTGCCGAGGGACCAAAGAAAACGGGGCCCACGAGTATGACCGTCTCCGTGAGACCTCTCAAACTTTCCGAGGGCGAAACGAAGTTTGGGCAGATGTTGTGAGCCCTCGCATCCCGAACTGGAATCTTTAGTAAAATACGAGGTACGGAAGCAATAAAACTTTGGACACTCTGTATGTGAGGTTGCGGCTTTTAGAACTTGTAACCGGTTCATTAAGGGTGCCTGCAGCGAGCTGGTTTCTTGCCCCAAGAACGTAAACATTATTGTGATCTTTACCATCAAATTTATGCACGACGTCGCCCAATTATGTTGTATCCTATGTCCAATCACGTTACGACCATGTCGGAACCGTAAGTTAATTACGTACGATGACTCCGGTGAGCCCAGGAGCCGAACCGCTTTTCAGCAGCCAGGGCCGCTTTAACTTATTATTCCCTTGCATGCCTGACACGTGGCCGCAACAAGTCATGGTCCTGCACGCATTCCATTCCTTCGTGGTGTCACGCTCAAGCAAGTCGTGCGAGGGATCTGGCTGCATGTAATTGATACGTTACAGTGCGTCCGACGATGACTAGGAGAAAGCCACAGGGCGTATGTTGGTATGTACCTCATGCAGACTCCCCCATTACACACCTACTACGAAGGCCCACACACCGCGGAAGTGCGGCCCAGGACTCTCGAAAGCTTGTCTGGGCACGGAGTGCTCATGGCGCACACCTAGACATGACTGAACGTTTTCAGGGCTGGCGCCGAAAACGCTTTCAAGAGAACGCCGGGGGGAGGGGGGAGATGTAGACTACCTCTACGTAAGCAACATTACACACACAGATACACAGACATCTGCGAATGTCCAACTCCTGAGATAAATACTGGGCTTTGGAATATAGAGACCTACAACCAACAATTGCCACCAGGCGACGTGTCGCACACATTTCGCTTTAACTATCAACAACGGGTATTACGTGTTAACCAAGTACCATATTTGCCCCTGAACTCTCCCCCATGACCACGTACGTTTAGGAAGAGGAAGAGGGCTGCACAATCGTTTTATGGATAATCCATCCTTGAGTCGCACGTCCAAAGCAAATAAATAACCTCGCAACCACTACTCAAGCTCGTTAGACGCAACCGCTTCCTGGTGGCAAAAGTGTATATACCCATAGAGGCCAAAATTGGAAGCACATCCTGTCACACGGAGGACATTTCCGCGCACTCACTCAGACCACTCATCTCTGACTGTCACTCTTTACAAAGCCCTATCAAAGATCCTTACATAGCATCACTCGTACCACCCCTAGGCACCACGCTTGGAGACCTGATCTCTACGATATGCAGGCCTTCTCCACCTCGGCCACGGTAGTCACGCCCTTCAGAAACGTGTCCACCTCGGTGCGGTACGAGGGTACGCTCAGACAGTCGTAGTACTTGGCGAATGGCATCAGCTGCACGATTAAGGAGATTGGGAAGAGCGTATCGATTAACGAAAGCCGGCGGAGAGCTGGGAACAACCTACAGATGCGGAGGCGACATATACAGCTCGGCAGATGGATAAATAAAGGGCTATGCTTGCCGCGCTGCTTGATACGCCGTTGGCCGCAATGTGCACACACGGCAGCACGGCGGCACCACAAGGGAGACTGGGTGATGAGGCGGCTGATCCTGGAGTGCGGGTTACTGTGCGACATGGCGACTGCTGAGCGCCGTTGCTGGAAGTCAGTCCTGGAACACCGACAAATGAAAGCAGAAGCAGCGGATGACAACAGACGCGGAGCAGCAGTGTGCACGATATACTCCACAGATAGATACCGTACAGCTGCGGTGTTTGTGCAACACCACTGTCCCTCGCCTAGTGCGTGGGAGTTCTGCACTAGCTATTTAGTTGCCGTTACAGGGTGAGGAGCTTATGAGCTTGCCGCGGTTGTGTACATACATACGCACATACCAATCAGGAAACCAGCATAAGCGGTGAACAACATATGCGGGAATGTGAGTAGAAGGTTACTGCGGGCGGGATAAGTCAATCGTTTTCCCGCTCAAGCCGGGATACCGCAGTCACACGCACCTTGCGGCAGCAGGGGACACTGATGGGCTTGTCATTCGCACATTTCCTGAAGGCCGCTATGTCTGGATTGGAAGGCAGGGTCGTACGAGCCGCCTCGCAATTCGCCGTGTCGGCCGGCGGTGCAGCTGCACGAGTGGGCATTGTTGCCAGGGCGAAGGGAGGCAGACACACATTGATAAAGCCTCCCAGCCAAAATCGCGCTCGTTCGAAGCATAACGCCTTCATTACAGAAAAATCTCGGGTTCGTTCCCTAATCTGTGGTCCTTGATACACGGTTGCTTAGAATGTGTGGGGCAGTGGTTACCGCCCGCCATTCTTCTCGTGGCAGGCTTGCTGCCTGTCCGATCCGCTAGGCTGCCCTCCGTATACAGACCGGCGCCAGGCCTATTGCAGGCGGCACACAGTGTTGATGCGTCGCAACACCCATTAGAGCTACAGAGTACGATACGAGTGGCATACCATTCGCGACTTGAGATATCATCGCCAGCAGTGTCAACGCGGCGAGGAGGCCGGTAATGAAGGAATGGTGGCGATCCATGATTGCGTGAGCGACTTGCAGCTGCAGGTCTAATGCTTACTTTACATGTACTGTTAGCCCAAAATCTGTCGCAAGTATGTTCATGCCTCATGCCTGATAATGTGCATGTTGATTCTCCAAGGTTCGCTCGCTGGCACTGACGGATTTGTGAGGACCCATCAAAACGCCGTCGTTGGTGGCCTCGGACCCCTTGGACCCCATCCACTACCCCTTCTGCGCCGACCAGTTTGCATCTCAACACTGTCATGCGAAACAGCTTTGATACTAGTCGCATAGGCCATGCTTCGAGAAACGTTGTTTCTGTTTTCCGCGCGTTTTGTGAAACGAGGTTCGCTGCCACGTAGTTTTGTAAAAAGTGTTCCACCGTCACGATACCGTGATTTAGATTTTGCATATTTCATTAGTTTATCAATCTGCACAATTTACTTTATTGGAATCTTTCACCCCTTTTGCTGTCTTGTGATTGCACGTTCAACCCGATGCACTGATTAGCAAAGCACAAGTTTTATTCCATAAAAAGGTTCTCTTTGCTGGAGCCGCAAGCCACTGCGGGATTAGGAACTTTAGTAAGGCCTTAGTCATTGGCTTGGGACACGGCGGTCGTCGTGTTCTTAGGCCCATATTGTTACAATATATATACTTTTGATAATTCTTTGAAGTCAATATGGCAAATCCCCTAAATCCTACACTTCTAACATTATGGCCTTCGCTGATGCGAGCTTAGGATGCTTATGGCTGCCCAAAGAATTGCCGCGTCCTGCATTTAAAGATTGTCAATATGAATATGTTTGCACTGATAGGCTTGGCATCAGTCTCTTGCGCATTCCCAAGGCCTCACAAGTTGACCATATGAGTTTGTGCACCCTCTAGTCTCTCTAGTGCGGAATAGATACTGTGCAATCTTGTGGTTTCAGATGCATGCAATCTGCATAATAATAACTAGTCAAGCGGCAGATTATCTCACTAAGTCTGAGGCGAAGATTGAAAACAAGAGCTCAGTTCCTGTTTGACAGGTGCACTCTTTTGACAGAAACCCTATTAAACGGTGACAGGCGCAAGCTTCACTGGATAACGGTTGCAGGTTCCCCTCAACTACTGACTGTCATATCCCGGTGTCTGTATGCTTGGACCTCTGGATCGCATCTTCTGCCGCGTAAATTCCTTGGAGGTGGTACGGCGCCAGCAATCGATTGGAGTTTGCCTGGCATTTGCCTTCAAATGTCAGAGCTTCGCATGGGAAGGGAAAAGATTCCTATGATGTAGCATACGTACCCGTCTTGCGCGCCCTTGAATGCACCAGCCGCTCCTGGCTTTTACGGTTTCACGTATGCTGGCAGTATCGCTTGGGCATGTGCGGTGTAATCCAATTCATTTACATCTAATTTCCAATTCATAACATCAATGTTTGAGCTCCTTTTGTAATCCATCTCCGCCAACATTCACACCTGCTCCACGCTTCGTCTTCGCTGCTTTCGTTCCCTCGCCCAAACTCAACCTCAACCAACTACACGGGCCCAGCTGCCCGCCGCATCCAGCCATTCCCCTTCTTTCTCCCTCTCCCAGCTGCACGACGTCCCCCACATCTCTCCGGACGACTTGGACACGACCTGTTCTCTACCCCCTCCACCCACCACAACGTTACAAAGATACACACACGCCGACATGTCACCAACCCGACGATTCTTAGACCCGCTGGTCACCTACCTGCTCCTCCTGCTACTCCGAGTGCTGCGCCCAGTTTGCGCGGGGCCCTGGGATCTGTCCACCTTCCGGCTCTGCAACACATTATACCTCCAGGAAATAGATTCCAATGCGTCGGGTACGCCCTTGCTCCTTCAATCGATCATAAACCTTCAACATTGGATAACTGTCCGAGACCTTTCCAAGGTCTATCACGTGGACGGGTGTATCATCCTTCCCCACTTCACCTTGCATCACCTCTTACCGTACAGGCGTGACGTATGTGCCGGAGAGCAACACACTGTGGATTGTGGTCAATAACCCCCCCGGGTAGATCCCCCGGGTTGGTAATAGGGTGTCGGGTGGTGAGGGGACAGGGGGTGGCAGGGTCAGAGCTGGGGCTTAGGAGGTACGGGCGACAAACCCTTTCATGTCTCCACCACACCCGTGTGGCGAATCCCGCACAAAGATACAGTTTCTTCTGTAAACACCTAATCAAGGCCATACGGCCATGTCGACTTTTACTTCGCAGCAAAATGCATGTGGTTGACCAACCGACCCATGCATCGACGGCCTGATAAGATGCGACGATGACAGCGAGTCCTGCGTGCGAATGCGTACGACAGGCTGTACGAGTACACCATGGAGGGCGCCCTGCAGCGGAAGATTAACTTGTGGTGGCTTCGGGATCCGGAAGGTGGGTCTCGAGTGGAGAGGTATGTTCCAGAGTATAACGGAACGAATATCGCGTGTGCTTCTGTGTCTTCTGCATGTGTCGGTTGGATTAGAGGCCCTGTGCGGGGTGGCGCCCTTCCTTTTACAAATTGGTTTGCATTGGTCCTTTTGTATGTCAGATGCGTCTTCAGTGTCGCGTTTTGTGTCGGCTTGCGTTTCTCCGCTTCGTATTAATCCAATACCGTTGTTTTATCCTTGTCTTGGAGGAGTTTTGCGGGGCCTGTCTATGGGGTCTGTGTGCGTATTAATCCAATACCGTTGTTTTATCCTTGTCTTGGAGGAGTTTTGCGGGGCCGGTCTATGGGGTCTGTGTGCCTGTCTGCGCAAGTTGGCTAAACGTATTGCGCCGGATTAAACTTCAATTTGCCACAACATCTTTCTTATTCCACTTCGATGTATTTTCTTGAAGAAAGATCTATTTCGCTTTAAACGGTTGGTTACAGCACAGCGATGGTCAGTTGTACGGCGCACCCTGCTTGGGACGCATGCTGCGTTGATGCTGCAGCCCAGAGCTGCCGATTGCTGATGGTTAACAGCGGCCAGTAACCCTGAAGCAAGCTACACTGACGGCCTAACGCGATAAAGTCCCGCACGGGACGCTTGATGTTTTAAAACGACCAGGAGCTCCTGGAGGATGGTTTAGGTCCTGGTCGTGTGCTCGGTTCCCGTATGCCTTATGTCCGGGTCCGCAGCTACGGACCCTTTTTAGAGCGCAGCCCAATCATGCGACACTGCACCCCTTAAACTTAAGACGTACGAACTCATGCCCTTGACACTCTATTATGTCGCACGGCTCCTGGTCCGGGTGCACGAGACCTCTTTGGGTTGGGTCTCAGCTGGGGTTTTGTTTCCTTTGGCTTGTTTGTTTGCGCGCCTCCTTTACCATGCCAGTAAGCATCCTTCTGGAGAAAACGTCCGCACGTGCACCGCCGCCGCAGATGTGGTCTATGTGTCTCGCGACCGGGTGGCTGTCGTGGAGGAGCCGCCAGGGGGCGGCATAAGAGTGCTGGATGTCAGTCGTAGCGGCGGCGGAATGCAAACGGTTAGTCGAAGTTTGCTGCGATTTGGGGAGTCAAGGAGGCGACATGCGGCTTTAGTGCGGTGGCGCCGCCTCGCGAGTAGGCTCGGAAGTACCTAGGGGTGCTACTTAAGTACAGGAGTCCGTCGTACAGGCCCTGTCGTGTTCTTGATCAACGTCGCTAGCATTTGATTCATTTTGCATCGCAACCCACGTCCGCTTCGAGTGTTGACGATGAAGGAAGACGGCGGGCTGGGATTGATGCGTGGTGCTGCCGGTTTCACCCTGACCCGTACAGGAGTACATTTCCCTCATCTACTATCCTAGAAGTGGTGGTTCCGGAGCTGAGGGCCTCTCGTACGATCCACAGTAAGACAGTCCGTGACGCACTATCCTTATTCTGCTGCTCCACTGCTGCTCGTCCTATGTGCATGTCACCGGCGGCCTGTCGGCAATGTATGATGATGTTGTTACAGGGTGGTATAGCTTCACCAGCGGCCCCCTTTCCCGAGGCAGTTCCCTGCGAGAGGGGCACCCTGATCCATTCACCCACCGACTTCAGAATGTATTCGTTGGGTTCAGCAACTCACCACCAGCATCCAACCAAATCTAGCGGATCAACGGCGCCTAAACTTAGTTCCTGGTCAGCTCGCAAGTTAATATGATCATGCCCTACACCTTCCACAAGATGGGGGGCCACCTCCAAATGCCTGTGTTGGATACCCGTATGGGTCAGGTATCAGAATACGATGCACGAACCCGCACTCCATATCCTTCCGGCCGTTAACTGCCCCCGCCTAAACCCACCGAACTCACCTGAACCCAACAAATCACTTACTTGGCCTCCGGCTCGTACGGGCCCGTTACGCCTTCGGAAGAGTAATGCAACAAGGTGTAACACATACACGTGTATTACCGACTCATGCAGGGGCCAGGGGCAGGGGAAGAGGCAGAGGCAGGGGCTTTCCGTCGGGTTTGCGCTTTGTGGATCAGACTACGAAGGATGTGATGGTAGCGAATGACCAGCTGAAGTTGGCGAACGTAATCCACAGTACCTGGCTAAGGAGGATTTATTAAGCAAAATAGATTGATACATTTAGTTCGGTTTAGTATTTCGTATGATGGGAAGGTAGTTTACCTCATGCTTTATACTCATGTGGATGGGCTTCGACTGGCCCTTGGCGACCCGGCTCTTTTGAGCCCGTTTCACCTTTGGAGGGTAACGCGACCCCAGGCGGTGTAACACACACACATACACACACACTTTCACCTACCTGGCACAACACCATATCCACATTAAAGTACTTCGGCGCCGGCTATGCGCGCACGTGCATGCCACGATTCTGCCGGCCGCCCCTCCCAGGAGCGGCACGTTCTACGTAGCCCAGGAGAAGCGGCCCAAGGGCGTGTACGCCATCCGCAGGACCCGCTGGTACACCAACTGCACAAAGATTATTGATGGCGATGTGGCCTTTAACTCCGTGGGCGATTTATCGGCTATCAACTACATCCCGGATCTCAACGAGTTCTTTGTGTTGTCGCAGGTATTGGAGGGTTGGGGTAGGAGGCGGTTCGGATGAATCTAGTTCCGTGGTACTGGAGCCGAAACAGGATCGGCGTCAGCACGTGTACTGCATGTCGCACTGTATGTAGGTATGTAGGAAGCTGGAGTGATGTAACTAACACACACACACACACACACACACGCGCGCGTGCGCACACACGTTCCCGGACGCCAACCGTGGACCACCTGCTGAACTACTGCCATATGTCCAGGAGAGCAGCCGTGTACTGCGGACTACCCTGGAGGGCCAGGTGCTACAGGAGATTGGCGTTAAAGGATCCTCCGCTGAGGTATGGCAGTAAGGATTGCCGTACTGTACGACTAGTCCGATGTGGAGCTCTTCAGTACGGGATTCACGTGCATGGCGTTCTCAATGAACATACATTCCTCAGCATGTCCTATGGTGCATGCGCCGTTTTCATGTGTTTGGAGTTATATTTCTGAACGCACAGCATGTTTCGTTCGTGTGCGATGTAAATATGGAAGGTAGGCATCAAAGGAGCGAAGTTGCTAATTGCGCCCACTTAGACTGCTAAGCGTCGCTGGTTCGCAACCAACCCAATGAAGTGCCCACAAAACTGCCCGACGGCCGGCAGGGTCTACACATGATGTCGGACGGTTTGACCATGCTCGTCGTGAGCGAGGTGAGGGTTGCTTCATCGCTGACTGGGCCTGTCGCGTGTGCCGCTAACCAAGGAAACAGCTGGGGTGGCGTCGTTTCTGTCTACCTGGGCTGGGCAGGCCGTCCTGCTGGCTGTTTCCTGCTAGCGAGCTGGAGTTTGTGACCTAGTGATACATGCTGAAGTAACACCCTAGTGGTATACGCTGTATTACATACCTTTGGTTGGGGCATATCGGGCCAAACTAGGGCACGGCGCTATAAAACAGTAGTATAGTACATTGTGCCTTCTTCCAACGGCGGCATGCTCGTTGAGTTCATTTGCGACCTCGTCGCATGCACCACGCCCAACACTGTTTCACTAACAATGATATCACTCCAATTTCGATGCTCGTTTGTATCTCGCACAGCCCAACGTGATGAGGATATACAGGGCGGATGGTTGCGGAAATAAATGAGCTCCTGCCGACGGATGCCCACTGCTGTCTGTTCTGTTGGATAAAGCTGGTCAGCAGGGCTTTCGTCGAAGCTGCCGCTCTGTGGCAACATGCGGAGGTTCGGAGTTTGCACGCGTGGTGTGCGCTATGCGTTGCTCCGTGGGTTGTGAGGATGCACAGCGGTGGGGTTTGTCCGGCTTTGCTCAGTGGCTGTGAAACCAGAGTGCTCTAACTCCTGCTGCCTGACTGAAGGGGCCGCGGCCTGCGATGATTCCCACTGGTGCAATACGTGCGAAGGGCAATATGCGAAAAGTGAAATCTGGGACAGCATAACAACCTTAACGGATGTAACAGTACCAGAAAAAAATTACAAGGGGAACGAAGAACGCAGTAACATGTGCAGCAGTATTGGTCCAAACGAAGCAGGAACACGATGGAAGCTGATGACTGGTTGTCATCCAAATGAACCTCCATACATTTCTGATTTTCTGAGTATGCAATGCGCCAGCCAGCCTAGGTGTTGCGGATGTCAGAAACACGCACCACCGCGTACACACAGGCACAAAATGAACGAATACGCACAACCAAATTGCAGTAAGTGCACCTAGATTAATGCCGATTAGCTCTGCAGTTCACCTCTTGAGGGGCATTTCATGGTCCTGTTCTGGTTGAGCATGCGCTCTATACATGGGGCCCAAGGAGGACCTAAGGTCATGGCGGCATGTGTGTTGCCATCTTGGCAACAGGGCACGCCGTAAGCAAAAAACAAGTTTCTGCCGGTGCATATTACGTACCTGGGCTGCTTTGGCAGCCTATTAAACATAGGAGCATGCCATCCTTGCTGGCTGAAGGAAAAATCAGCGTCTGCACACTCGCACATAGGACTTAAAAGGAGTCATGAATCACGTCATCACGACAGGGGTTGAACGTTGACTCACACCCAGCGCCAAAACTCCGCCATATACACTGGCCCCTTCTGCAAAGCAGGAATCTGAAAGCAAGAAGCCCCCGTTCCAAAATCTTGGCGTCAGGATTGGCCAGATACCCTAATTTGCTTTCTAGGAGCTCGCCGCAACAGAATATTTACTATCTTATGATGATACGGTGGTAACGCGTGCGCTGCCTTGCGCGACACGTCACAGTAGCGGTATGTACAGAAACGCGGCTGCTAGATCTATTGAACTATGCATGAACAGTATAAATAGACACGAAAGTTGTGGCGGCAGCGACCGTTCTGTCAAGAGGATTATGTTGCGGAATGAACACGAGTGGCGCATTTCGTCCACTGCTGAGCTGCAGTCGACCTACGAGCGGCTATGCTATGAAGTCCCTAGCTTTGATCACCAATGCTTGCCCAATCACATCACGTTACCAAAGTTCGAACGCGTCTAACCTGTATATGACTGGTGAACCTTACGAAGGCGCAATGCCATCAAGCATCGCGATTACGCGCGATCATCCCAAACAAGTCGACGCAGTGTCCTGAAGCTTTCTGCCCATACAGGCGGTGCGCTACAGCACCCCCGCGCCGCTTCGCGCGCGCGTTTTATCTTTCGACAGCGACCAAAACTGTCGCATGCGTTCTAGAGCTGCCCTCGGCGAGAAGGCCCACAGCCAACTCTGCGGCGTCGCAGCCGTCATCCGTCACGGTATCACCAATGCCGCCAGAAGCGCTGCAACCGGAATCCCTTGCCAGCACGCCAGGGTGATCTGCATCGTTGTGACCGGCCAACGGCATCGTACAAGCAGGGTCCTCGGAGCCGCTGCACCTTGCACCCGGCAACGGTGCGGCAGGTGCTTCCCTGACCAAGCAGGGATTTGGCCCCTCAGTACCAGGGCAAGCTAGGTAGGAACCCTCATCGTGCACCTTGCCGCTATCATGGTCATGCTGCTGCAGCAGGATGGCGACGGCGTCACTGAAGGACTGGTCCAGGCCCGGCCCCACCGATGACGCAATGCCCGCTGCTCGAACGGCTGTGAGTTCCAGGGATTGCGCCTCGAGGCGTGCCTGGCACTCCTTGTACTGCAGTCCCAGCTCCTGGACCTGCGTAATTGAGTTGAGACAAAGGACATAGGTTGCGCGCTTCCGCACCTCTTTTGAGGCACAGACGGAGGAGTTGTGGCTGGAGCCTATCCAATGGCTGTAAACATATTGCCCTTATGGCAGTACCCCACCTGCTGCTGCAGCTCATCCACGCGCGCAGTTGCCTCCAAGGACGCTACGAAATATTTGGCCGCTCGGTCCAGCAGCAAACGCAGCGCTGTCCGTGCTAGGCCTAACGACGGCACGCACGCCCACCAGCCATCCAGGTCGTCGCGTTTCCTCGGGACGGATGCTGATTCCTGTGTCTCCGATATTTTCATGCTTAAGTACACAACCTCCGTGCATAGCACGTGTAGCTGAGATCATGAAGTGAAATTGGATGGGTTGGGTTGGTAAACGTTTATGAGTTAGGCGGAAAAGATGACAGGACAAGCATCTTAATTTCAGAAGCAACAGGTTAGCTTACCCGTTCCTTGAGGTTGGCTTTTAGGACCGAAAGTGCAGCCTTCTGAGATGCATCCGTCCCATTTCGCATCGCGCACATTGGCGGGGGCATCCACCCTGCGAACGACACCCCTGTGTCCCTGCTGCGCTGGCTGGGGTTAGTACCACGGCAATCCCACGCCATCGTTGTGTGGGGGGTTGTGCGAGTGACGTCGAACCCCTCCACGGCGACTGTCTCGGCAAGGATGTGGGGATTCTCCTCCAATTCCTGCAGGATAAGGAAGAAACACATTGCACGGGCGTCGCCATATTACAGCGTTGATGTACATGGCCACCGTACATATAATGGATACGTCGGATAAAATTCTACGCATACGGTACGCCCCTTGCCTGCCCCTGATCCCGGAGGCCTCACGTTCAATTGAGCATCCACCTCCTCCCGCTCCTGCAGCAGTTGGCAAGGATTGGCGTAGGGAGGGGTGAGATCATTTCAGAGATTTTTAAAGTACCTCGAAATAGCCCGAAAACTCGATACGCTTTCAGATAGCCTCTCGCATGCCTCCTCCTGCGTCCTTGCTGTAACACATGCTATGACTATGCTGACAAGAGGAGATGCTAGATCTCCCCTGACGCTAACAAAATGTTTGTTGCATTGGAGCATGCACACAGCGCACCTTCAACACGTCCTGGAGCACCTTGTTGTATTGCTCTAGCCGTGTCTCATAATCCAGAAGCGCGTCCAACCATTGGCCGACCTGACTCGTTTGGACCTGGGATCAAAACATTTATCAGCGTCGTCACAGAAACATATGTGTTACACCCCAAGTTGCGTAGCTGGTCATCCAGCCGGATCCACCTGAAACCCGACAGATATAAGGTCTGGTCTGGATTGACACTACTGCAATTAGCGGCTTAAGGTCCTGGATTCGATTCCTGGGGAGACCCCCGAATTAGTCGGGAGCGCGAGATAATGGCTAGCTGCTGAAATGTGGAGTTGAGATTACTGGACCAGATTCGCACGCTGGATTGGTGGCGAATGCCGAACCCTCCGTCTCTTCGGATGTTCGGGTGAGTGGATGAGGAGGGGTCCCTGAAGGCTGGATCCGCCGCCTTGGACTTATAGTTCGTATGGCGAAGACAGTGTGGTAGTGGTGGATGGTGCTATAAGGTGATAAATCGTAGAACTGACAATGTGATAAAGCGGCCCAGAAGCCTCCCACTCTGTAACATTACATTACATTACATACATAAGCTTACGCATGGAACATTCAACAAGAAGCCAAACCTTACCATTATTCGGCGCTGTGAGACACTATGGACTGACATACTGCCACTCCTGTGGTCTTGCGGCGGATGAGGCGGTGATGACACAGTGTCCTTGTTGCCGCCGCGAAGCCAGGTGCCCAGACTCTGCAAGACATCAGAACATTGGCCGAATCGGGAGAGGCACGGAAAGACTGCATTGGCGAACAACAATACTTCAAAGTAGGGGTACTGGAAGATAATGACGCGAAGGAGCGTGCATGTGGTGAACAATAATACTTCACGATCACGCGGTGGAGTGGAACCCCTTGTGCACAGGGAGGAACCCATTCTGAGAGGCGCAGCACAACTGATGATACCTATGCGGGTACAACAGAAGCTTCAACAGGAGGCGCATTTACTCTGCATGTGCCTTAGCTCACGCCGAATGGACCCGATAAAGTTATCTTGTTGCTGTTCACAAAGTTTTCTTATCACGCGTTTCCTTCCAGCCATCTTACCGGGAGATGTGAAAAGAACGAAAGGTTCTGCTGTGGCGCCGTATGCGGGCCGGTTGGCGGCAAGGGCGGCCTTCCCCATGACGTGGCTCCGAGACCGCTAGAGACAGCCACACCGGCCCTCGGTGTGGCAACTCCAGATGTGTGGTCAAGCTCTAGATTGTCTTCCTCCTCGCCGGCATCAGACGGACTATGACTGCTGACCATTCCTGCACCCCACGTCGTATACGACGCAACACTTGCGCTACGGAGAGATGTGGACAGCGCCAGCTGCGACGGACCCGACGGGCACGTCGTGGTGCTGCTGCCGCCGCTGCTGCAATCTCTGGTCTGCAGCAGCACTCCAAACTCCAGCGGTGTGGGAGGTTTGTTCAGCGCCTCCAGCTCATGAAGCTTCTCACGCGCGACGGCAGCATTCTGCATCCCACGGTTTATGAACCGGATGTTTAACGTGCAAACGATTAGGAATTACCCTCGGGGAGAAGTCATGGCCCCTTGGGTTCTGGTTTACATTCTGATGGGCAGCAGACTTTTGGACGCTCCATGTTGCTCACTTGCGCTGGTCGAGACATTGGACCATGCACACCCTGGCAATCATGCTCGTAACATCCAGCAATGGCGCACTTGCCTTTATTCTCTTTTGCGCCCGTTGTCGATAGAAGCTGCGTAGCCGTTGCTTTGCGGCCTCCGCGCCTGGAACCACTGCTGCTTGCACAGCAGACACCAGGTCTTCACGGCGGAGTCCCGCATAGACGGCTACCAGCATCTGCATCTCCCGGTGATGCGCAAGAGAGGCCTACAGGACGAGTACGCAGCCACGCAACGGTTACCGTGTGCACCTGAGCTGCTGCGTTGCTGCTAGTCTGGGCCTTCACTCCTTTTACGCTTTCTACTAGCCGATTTGCAAGCATCAGCCATCAGACGCTGGGTACATGGGCTGGGAACAGTATCGATCCTCCAATGCATGTTACCCGAAAGCATACCTCCAGCTTAGCCATGCGCTCGGCGCCCAGCTGGAGATCCTGCAAGCTATCCTTGCGGGCACGCAGCAACTCGAAGCTCCTATGGGCCGACAAGCCAGGTGGTGACGGCAGGCTGGTGAGAGGCAAGTTGCAGGAGTATGCTTCAGCACCCACAATGAGGCAGATCGCGCATTAGGATAGGGCTTGCGGCGCAACAACAAGAAATTCTCGACTTCCGTGCACTCCCCACCTGGTGATGTCTGATACAGTCGACTGGTTATCGCCGGGGCTAAGGCCGACGAGGCTTAGCTTTGCTAAGTCCGCCTCGATGCCTGCCAGCTTCGTGGTCGTAAAACCGTGTATCTTTCCAGGGGATGGCAACTCGTCGGCAGCAGAGCCGACTGTGACCCCCTGTTCGGATAGCATCTTGCGCAAAGCCGCCTTCTGTGCGTTAAGCAGGGATTCAGCTTCCTCCACGAGCTGGCGGGCCCTGTTGGGAGCCGTGCGTCGGAGGGATTTCTCGGGCGCTTTCGACCCATATGCTTTCAACCCAGACCCTTCGGTTCCTTAGACCAAATGCAGGCAATGCACACGTAAACTAGGCATGCCTCTCCGTCTTGCAGTACAGTTTCCAGACGGGAAGGTCACAAAAATGGCCCGCAAAAAGATACTAAGCCAAACCGTCGTTCATATCTCTGCAGGTGTCCGTAACCACCTACCGGGCGAGCATCGTGAGCAGCCAGTCTTCACTATCAGCACGCAATAAGGGGTTCCCTGCCAAGTTGAACACCTCATGTACCCCGCATGTCGACTCCAGGACCTCCTGCTGCTCCTGCGCTTCCTCCTCCGACTCCGACACGGCCAAAAGAGCCATAGCTTCACCACCACAATCAGCCTCGACGGCATCACATGCATCTGGTGCGTGTAACGGCAGATCCTCCTGTCCTCTCTGCCCCGTCTGGCATTCCGCAGGCGGCTCCTCTGTCACCTGGTATACTGCACAAACATCGGTGCACACACCTTCTGCCTGCGGGGTCGTCCCAGCAGCATTGAGGACGTGTCGACCAGCTACAGGCGCAGCCATGGGACTCGCGTCGGTGACGGTTCCGGCGGGGTCAGCAACAACAGCAGCCTCAGCTGGAGAAAGCTGTGGGGTTTGTTGCGCCATCTCCATACATACGGGCGACGGAGGTATGACAACGTTGTCGCTGGCGTGCTGATGCTGAGCTGCAAAGGGAGAGTCGATGCTGCCTGCATTCGCTCCTGCCCGACTGCCCCGATGCATTGGAGAATCCTGCGTGCGTGTGGCTGTTCCCTCCTGCACGGTTGCGTCCGTGCTATCTAGCTGCGGTCCCAAGCAAGCACCCGGGAAAGTGCCCTCACCGCAGGATCTCCGCATCCGGTTCCACATGGCAGGCGGCTTGTCTACGCTCGAATACGGGGAACAGAAGTACTGCGGTAAGGAGGTGGGCGTGCGGGACGACGAAGAGACACCACCGGCCGATGCAGCGAAACACTGTAGACGTGCCGCCGTTGCCGTGAGCATGGACTGGGCCCGGAGGCTGGCGCCGCTGGCACTGCTGCGGATGGGACGGGCCACACCCGGGGTGATGGACATGGCGCCAGGCGACGCGACACTTGCACATTGCGCTCCATCAAGCTGCGTCCGCAGCTCCGCGATAACTGCAGACAAATGGCCCTGAAAATAAGGCCAGTAGCCGAATTAATTGAGCATTGTACGTGAATCCTTATAAAAATCCTTTTCCACCGTGCAGCTGCTAAAATGGCTTTTAACCATAATAAGTTGTGCACGCGAAGCGTCGTAAATTGCATGGCGCAGGCCAGGAGATTCAGCAGCACATGTGACCGAGACATTGCATTGTTCGTAACCGCTCACCACTTTTTTCTTCAACTGTCCATTTTCTGCCTTCAGGTGTTCGTTTTCAGCTTCCAGCAGCACACATCGCTCCTGAAGCTGAACGCTGCCCTCCCATCCGTCATCCGAATCATCCAGACTCTCGTCGCATGAAGAGCTCATAAGAAGCCTGCAGCTACCCCCATCGCTGCCGCTCGAGTCCGCACTGCTGTTTGCGGAGTAGGATCGTTGCACCCGTGCGCTATCACCACTGGCCGAGTCCCTGCCGCTCCTGCAGGCACCGCCGTATTCGTCAACACGTTCAGCTCGCCGAAGTTGGGCCACCTTGCGCCGTCTGAAAGTGCGGCGCATGAAGCGACAAGGCTTGCCCGGCACGGCCATGGCATGGAGCAGACCCGGGGGCCCTGAAAGCGGGTGATCCACATCATCGTCAGTCGACACCTCATGTCTGTCCCCCCCAGCGCCCACTCGCTCTGAATGCAAACTCCCAACTTGTGCCTTGTTGGGCTCCTGCGATGTAGGCGTGCTGCCCGACCCAGTCTGTGCAACTAGCAATGGGTTACAGACCCGGCTGCCCGGCCCAGCCCATGCTTGCAACGCGCCAGGGGAGCTTGTTCGTCCCGCCATGGCCATTGCTGTACTACCGAGCGCCGAAGCAGCGCTGGATATGCCATGTCCCGACATTTGGAATGACATGGGTGGCAGCGAAATACCAGCCGTGGTCGTCGCGCCACTGTAGCTGCAGCCCACGGTAGGCTGCACAGACGCGGCAGCGTGAGCAGCCAAGTTGGGGCCAACCATTAGGAACGGGCTGCGTTGCGCAGTGGAGCCGGGCACCGCCTGCCGCCGCAACTGGTCCAGCTCATGCATCAGCCTGGGGGGTGTGGGGCAGAGAAGAGCAATGTCACTGGTCCCAGGGACGATGGAACTCCTTGGGCGCCTGCGTAAAGGCACGCGCCAATGCTTACGATGCAAGCTGCAAAGTGTTGGCTATCCCCAAGAGCGGCTCTAACACGCAAGTGACGTACACAGAGCCTAACCAGGACAGTGATAGCTTACTTAGAGACCAGACGTTGGAGTTCCAGCACTTGCACGCTACCATCGGCCCCGATGTTGACCGCAGGCTTTGTGCGAATTCTGCGCGCAGTCGTCGCAAACTCGAGGGTTGACACGGTCGTGACTGTGTTGGCATCGGCCGGGCTAACGCATGCCACAAAAAAAGTAGAGCTATTGCCCCCCAGTGCGTCGCGTAGAAGTGTGGTCAGCTTAGAGTTCCGGTACAACGTTTTGGCCTTGGACGCCTGTGATTCGCATTGCAGCGGTGAAGTCAGCTGCCTGACCCACTTTCATGAACATGACTCAGCAGTTCGAGTTGTCCTCATGTTCTGTCCTTCCATCGAACCCAAGAAGCTTGCCTTGGAGGTTGCCAACAGCTGGATGATTTCCCGCAGAGTCATAAGCGACTTGTTGATGCTGTTTCCCTCCCTTGCGGTCAGTCCAACAGCACCCGCTCTCCCCACGCTCTCCGACCCAGCCAGATCCACCAGGTGAAGCTTCGCCGCCAGCGGGGGTGCCGCCATGGCGGCGCTCAACCCCCCATCGCCGACACTGCCCACCGCAGCACACGTCCGCACGGGTGGCAACGGGGTTAACAGGGAGTTGGATTGCTCCGATGGGGTGCTCGACCCGGATGCTGCTCGGATATGTGCGGGTGTGCCGGTCCGAGAAGACGCGGAGGAGTGGAGCTCCTCAGCAGCGGAGCTTTGCACGTGGATTGTGAGTACTGCGTGGCTGCGACTGGACTGGTCGTTCTGAGCAGTACCCTTCGTAATCCGAGTGTCACTGCCGATCTGGTTTACGGTTAGGGAAAAGCACAGCCACATGTTGCACGTTTAGTAAGATAGGTGACGCCCTGGAGCATATGGGGACAATGCATAGAAGTCTGCGGCAGACAGAGGAGCCGGCGACAACAGCGCATGGAAGAAGCTACTTCGTGGCACCTCATCGTATAACTCATTATCGTATATCCATGTATGGGACATTCATCTTGGTTGTGTTTACCTGGGCAATGCGGAAACCCCCATTGCGGAAACGGTGGTGTACTATTCACCCTTCGACGGCAGGACAAGCTATTGTCAGCCATGTGCAGTTTGCATATTACCTGCAGTAAGCGGATGACATCTTCCATCCTTTCCACTGGGCGCAGCTTTGCTCCCACTAGCATGACCTCCCTGTCGTACCCGGTCATAGCTGACACAACCTTTCTTCCGTCGAGCAGGTCATAGAATTTCTCCTACAGTGTTCGAGGAGTTGGCGTGGTAAGCACAGGGCTCGGACAGGACGACACGCAGAAGCATTACTATGGCCAAGCCCACGTACCATGTACACCTCCACAAACGATACCAGCAACTTGAAGGTCCGCTTTCCCCGCGCTTCCTCCACGTTCCTTAGCAGCTCCCGCAGGGCGAAGGGTACGACCAGGCCTTCGACAGCCTGCTCATCGCCCTGCCGTAGCGCGTGAAGCTGTTCTTTCCCTATGCCCATGGTGAAGGTCTTGCCACTCGACGTTTGTCCGTATGCCAAGACCGCACAATTGACCCCGTTGCACACGTTGCGGACGAGCGGGCGTATGTACTGTTCGCACATACGTTGCCTGGAGTGAGCACCTTCACCAACGACACAGTCAAATGCATATTGGCGGCCTTGAACCTCTACCTGTGAAGTGTGAACGCTGATTTCATAAGGTTGACAGCAACCCTTGGGAAATTGCCATCAGGCAATGGGTATTCGTCCTCGCAGACAGGCAAACCTACCAGCATTCCTTACCGTTTCGTTCTCTCCTACGGCGACAATGTTTCGGCAAGCCTGTTCTGAAGACAGGAGCGGTCGGATGTTCAGAATGGAAACCACCGGTGTGGATTCCCCCGGTACTGTGCTGGAAGGTCTCCCTTCAGTCGCTTCAGCCATCTAGTTTATGCAGCTTTTGCTGCTTCTTTGATCTACCTTCTTGTCATTTGCGGCCTAGCCGGACGCTGAAGTGACAAAACGATCTGGACATGCAAATGTCTTTTTGTTATAAAATAGAAGCTATAGATGTGGGGCTTATAAAGGAGTATAGCTTTTACTGTGCAGCAAAAGTTGCTGTTCTGTGGTACCTTCGTTTTCATGCTGTCGTGCCGTGGATCCAGAGGAACGGCAGTTGGGTAAATTTCAGGGCGGTAAGTTTTCAGTTTGTGTGACTCAGGGCACAAGGCATGCCCACAGAAGTTCTCACATCTGCACATGTGCAATATAACAGCCATCCGACAGGTAATCCCAGTTTGTGCTGATAAGCTTTGAACGACATAACAAGAAGCTTATGGAGCATCTGCATCTACAAGCATCATGAAGCACTTGAGCTCCTGAAAACCCCCAATCCTATGCCAATATGCCAGAAGCGTTGTGACTTTCAAAACTCACCGCAAGGTAACCAACCGCCTGAATTTCATCATTAACTCATGTAGTGCTCCAACGTCATTTGGATTATGTCAAGTTCCCCAGGATCAAGACAAATAGGATAATACAGGACGTCAGCACTACGTGTAACCCAGATCACTTCTGCTGCAAGCAACCCAGGTCAATCCTCGGGGCCTCCGCGAACCATAACCTGAAGAGTCCGCGGTCCTCGGTAAACGTTTGGAGACGGTCGATCAAGGAGAGTATACACATCGTGTGCGTGCTCTCCATGTGGGTTTCCCTCCTTGTCCTGCGGCAGGGAGCCAACAAGACCATGCTTAGGTGCAAAGCCGGGCCAGGTTTGCGAGGGTTTCTCATTCCCATCCTGCCCAGCTACTTCTACATATCATGAGCTACACAGGACCGAGACGAAACTGCAGCCCATATTGCCGTCTCCCACGTCGGCGCCCTTTGGCAAGACCGGCACCCTGGGGCCCAAACTTTAAAATGTCATGCCCTGCCGGGATGCTTCTATGCGGTATGCCAGCCCCGCCGCTCACCTGGCGCTGCGAAAGATCATAGGCAAGGATCCTAAGCATTGCAACTTCTGACACGACCACAGCAGCCGTGTCGTGGCTCTCTATCCACATACCGTCTTCGTCCTGGCAAGCGGCACGGGGAGGGGCCCAAGTCATGCAGCGCGGAACAAGGCGTTGAGCTCCCTACCCGGATGAGCTCATGCAAAAGGGACGGCGGCCCCCTCATTCATCTGCCGCCGCGCTAAATGCTTGGCCCCCGGCCTCGCGGAGAGGGTCAAGTTCACAAGACTTCAACCGCTTTGACTGGTCATTCCTGAAGCCGCCATGACCGTAACCCGCCAAGCACCCGTATGGCCGGCGAACCAATTGGCCACCAACTCCATAACCCACCTCCTCTAGGGGTGCTAGCGTCACTCGCCCGTCCTCCACCTGCGCTCGGGGTGGTCGGCAGAAGCCACAACAGATATTAAGGACGCGAGGCGACACAGCCGCCAACACCAGACGACCACAAGTCCCGCCGCCGCCAGTGGAGCGCTGGTTGTAAACTGATTACGCTGGTACGCACGCGTCTTTTGGACGTCTAGTGACGTAGCTTGTGAGCACCTGGCATCCTAGCTCGCTCTTCCTCCGGAACTGAAAACCAGCCGGCCTGGTTACCATGCGCAGACAAATTCTAGGCTATTAGTGCGGCTGTAGAAGGGCCCAGTTTCGCGCGAGAATCAGATGGTTTTGCGGCCCCAGTTCAATGCAAGCAGCCGGATCACGGCAATAGCCGCCCTCGCGTTCCGAGCCCGTCCCCACCACCTACCAGGTCCACACGCCCAACACCCAGTTGTGCACCGCCCACTGGCCGTGGCATGTGGTACTCCACCACATCGTTCCATTGCGGCTCCAGCCTGGATGATTCCGTACCTGGGCCCCCAGGCCCCGATGCCCCTGCTGTAGCCTGGAACCGCGGCGCAGGACGTACTAGCTTGCAGGGCAGTCGCAGTGAGTTCCGAACCTGCGGCGAGGCAAAAGCGCACGAAGAAACCCTGGATCAATTGGGTTCTGTGCCACTGTGAGGTATTATCATTTTCTTGGCATTGCCATCGGGTTTGCATTCTGCGCGTGACCCACACCCTGCCGGTTGGCTCCCATTCAGGAGCGACACAACGTCACAGCCACAAGTGCACATTGTTCATAACGCATAGACATGCAATTGCACACACGCTCCTCCCAGCGAACCTGTGTTGCGCCGAGGTCCGGACGCGTGCAACACCTTCGACTGGGTAGCAGCTGGGCAGCAGGAAGCATAGGTACTGCACACTCAGGTTTCACTGTGAATAAGGTTTCCTAATTATAATTGGGGTTTGCGAGGTTGAATGCTGGCTGGAGAGCTTAGCGTGTGATGTCCTTGGAGTTGTTTTGTTGTAGGTTAGTTCCTCCCATAAATATACCAGTACACTACACCTGGCACACAATGCTCTTGTGACCTGCGTACTCTACGCATCTAATGAGCAACTTGTTGGGGAGTTGGACAAAGGCCAACTGCAACCGGCTGTACGGCAGCATCAAAAGCATATGTCATGCGGAAGCAGGATAGCATGTAGCGCTCATGCATATGCTTTTCCTGTTTTGTCTCCTTACTGTAATGTTATCGACACAGGCGACTTGAAGCGGGCCGGACAAAATGACTATTGTCGGATACCTGTTTGGGTTACCACAGCAATTCTTCGCTTCCGCTTCTGCACTAGGCGAGACAACCCAGGAGGCATCAGCATCGCAGGCCTCTCAGCAGCTTCCCGTCACCACCACACCCTCATCGCCAGCCCGGTGAGCACAGGGCACCTCAATACGCCCACGCAGATAGCGTTCTCTAAATTTGAGAAGCCAGGGTTATTTCGTTCGCGTCGGTATCCGAACTCACTGCCTACATCTGCCATGGGCACCTTCTCAGGCCAGCTTGGCGTGAAAGCGGCGCCGTATGCCTCACCTGCGGCATCGGCGTTGGTTGCCCAGGGTTCTCATCGCCGACAGAGCAGCGTGAGCACTTCAAAACGGACTGGCACCGGTGAGAGCCCACCTGCGCTCGCAGCAGTAAAGGGTACCCGTAGAGGGTACCCGTACCAGGTCCAGGCCGGCCAACCCTTTTGCCTTCTAAAGGACACGCCAGCTATGTTAATTACAGGCGCAAGGCACGGACCCACACACTGCGTCTGCTGTAGGTACAATGTGAAGCGCCGCTTGGTGAAGCAGCCTGCGATCAGCGAGGAACAGTTCGAGCGGATCCTGGAGCAGGACACCGAGGTACGTCCTCAATCCGCGCATGGGGATCGGGTCCAACCAACAAGGGAGGCGGAGGAGGGAGTTACAGGCACGCGTATCTAGGGGTCACCAAGGCAAGTGGCATCCCTTACACATGGCACACTATTACGAAGGTGCCAAAGGCTTACTGACCCAAGCCTTATTGTGTGCATTTTGGCGAGGGGGCGCTATCATCTACGCTAGAAGGAGTTTGACACCTTTACAGGTTCATGCATGGATAATAGCTCCGTGACGTCTCACTGGAGCTCCTAGGGATCTCCATCAGAGGCAGGAGGTTCATGTCCGGTCCAGGCTGCGCCTGTGGAAGTAGCCCTGGCTGCAGCCACAGCTGTGGCACAGCAGCAGCATTTTTAGCGGCTAGACTGTATCCGAGCATTTTGGCTGCCGTTTGTACTCCGAAGCGAAGCGAAGCCTGGCATTCCCGCCACTTCGCGCAGAGCCTGGCAGAGCCGACCGGCGCCTGACACGACCCGATGTCGACTTGTCGGGCCGGGACGTTTTCCGCACGGCACTGCCACCAGTAAGCCTGCGTTGCAACACACAACAAACGGCACCCACAGCCTCACCGTGGCAAGGTCTGGAGACGGCGGCACTTCTTGACGACACCGGTTTCCATTTCGGTTGCGTCCGCAGGTGTCCATTTCGGGATCCGAGTCAGGCTCATCCGAGGATGATGGCCTGGATGTGGAAGACGGCGAGGGTGGCAGAGGGGATGGTCTGGGGATGGCTGATGCCGGTCATGGGCGCAAAGGCACACAGGTGATGGGCGGGTGCGGGCGGGTGGCTCGGGTTTTCAACGAGTAGAAACGGTGCCGCAGAAATGGTGCATGGCGGCTGGCGTCACGTAAGGATGGCCATGTAAGCAAGTGGTCATCCATCCTGATCCCCAAACTCAAGTCCGTTTGTTCCTCGTTCCGCCGTTGTCGTGCAGGCAGCCGCCAGCACCATCCCCCGGGTGACCTTCCAGGCAGCAGGTGGGTCCGCCGCCGCAGAAGCAATGCATACATCGCCCGGCTGTATAGCGGCTGGAGCTACATGGCCCTCCCTGCATGTAACAGATGCACATGCAAGTCGCTTCGAACCATATTCTGGTTCTCCCTGTCTTTCCGCTAGTCTTAAAACATGCGATACATGCTGACGGCGCCTGTCAGTGCCTGCGGGGCCCGCCTGCTCCAGGCTGCGTTTACGACAACCCATGATATCCTCGCCAGCCGCTACGATGCTGCAGCTCTACAGCTGCGAATGACTTTACTTGCCTGTATCTTCAGAGCGCCTTGGGTTTACATGAACGGTGGGACCCGCAAACACTCGCCTCCTAAACATCCTTCCCTGCCCTCGCTGCCGGTCGCGCTGCTCCTGCCATGCCACTTCCTAAAACTACCTTATCCGCACAATTATCGCATCCGACGTGTGTACCCACATCCGGCACACCCCGTCCGACCATCCATGCGCAGACGGCTCTCTGTTTACGGTGTGGCGGTGCCTGCTGCGCCAGGACCACGTCAAGGCGCCACAGGGCCAGCCGTCGTCCCCGGGGGAGCTGCTGGGGGAGCTGCGGCGGCTGCGGGCCGCTTGTGGCTCGTGGATGGTGGTGCTGCTGCGCGGCGGCCACTTCGCGGCGACCGTGTTCAAGGTGGGATCGTGTCAGGAAAGAGCTGGGCCGCCGGGGAGAGGCTCCGCTTCTTTTGGGAAAGGAACGAAGACCTAGACACGAAACCCCGGTCGGAAAACTCGGAAGGGTACCTAAACGTGGATGCGGATAGCAGGAATTAGAATGTTGTGGCGTAGGACGGGACAGCCAGAGTGTTACAGATGGGATTTTCAAAATTGACTGTGCTGGTATTGTGACGCGATGTCTCAACTGGTGGCATCGCTGGCAGCTCTTACCCGTACCCCGTGCCGTGCGCTGCCCTGTTCTGCCCTACCCGATAAGGCCCGCGAGGCGCGCCCGCTCAACAGCGCCAAACACGACACTGACGGGCTAGACTGCTTTGACGTAACAGCCCACAAGACCTTCCACCGCTACGTAGTACGGTAAGCGCGTGTGGGGAACTTGCGTTTGCGCCTAGGTCCGGCTTGGAGGAGCTCTGTGTATGTACTGAACTAAAGCAGAACTGATCTGTGCGAGGAAATATCGCGGAAATGGTGGCGTTGCGTACGTTGGTTTGTTTTTGCCCTTGGTTTGTCCCTTCCGCGTTGCATGAGCTTGCACTGCACTGCAGCATGCCTGTCGGGTGGTTCGTCCGATGACAGTTGACCCTTTCCTCCGATGACAGTTGACCCTTTAGCTGCCGTCGCCTTTCGCGTCACGTCCATGTGGTTCCTCCACCCCGTCATTGGCCTTTGTCCTCTCCCTGTCCTCCCGCTCTGCTACCCAACCACTTGTGCGTTAAAGCGCCAAGGCGGGTGGCAAGCAGTCCACCAAGGATGCCACAGGCAAATATGCTAGGTCGGCTGGATCTCGTCTGCGCCGGTACAATGAGGTGGGTGACGTGGCGGGCCCTACCTGCAAGGGGGTTACGGCAAGTCATTAACGAGGGTAGTGCCGTGGGGCCTGCACAGGTACGCACGCTTAAACCGGGTGGGGAACTGTAAGGCTGGAAAGGGGGTTTCACGAAGGTGCCGTAACAACTGCGTTTCAAGCAGGACTTCCCGGGAGGACGATGGCAGGAGTAAATCAGTATATGAGCCGGAAAAACCGTAGGGGTGCTGCACTATTGCTGTCGGTAGGGAAGGATAGGCGAGGAAGGCACAAAGGGAAGAGCCATACCGGACGAAGCTTTTTCATACCTTCTATATGCCCCTGGTTTGCAGCCGGCGAGTTCCCAACCCAGTAAAACATCCTTTCCTCGTTGTCACACTGCCGTACCCAGGCCGCCCTGGTGCGCGACATCCAGGAGCTGCTGGCAAGTTGGGCAAATCATGTGGAGTCTGCAGACCTCATCTTCGTGCACGCGCCCGCCTCCAACGCGCGTTCCTTGTTTAGCGAGGGGCAGACGACGCTGCTGCCTTCCAATCCGCGTCTGCGCCGCGTGCCATTCGTAACACACCGGCCAACGTTCTCCGAAACCAAGCGCGTGCTGCGGCTGCTATGTGCGGTGTTCCGACCGGATGCGGTGGAGCAGCTACTGCAGGCGCAGCGCTCGGCGCACGCGGAGGTGCGTTGCGTCCCCGGAATAGGATTCTGGTGTCCTTCGGCGAGCGTGCTGTGAGTGTTGTGACGAGCCCAGCTGGGCTGGGTATTATGATGGGCAGGGCCTGGGACAGAGCAGGAGCATTAGGAGGGCTTTGGAGCTGTGGAGGGCCCTCCGTATTAGCAAGCCGTGCGGTGACCCGTGTGGCGCCAGATCGGACCCTCTTCCTCTGTTCATGCAGAAAGAGGCCGAGGCCGCAGCAGCGGCAGCAGCGGGGGCGCTCGAGGCTGCAAAACTAGGGTCAACGGCAGCGGTTGACAACACAGGACCGTCGACGTCTGGCACCTCGACAGGGCCCCATAAAGAGGAACAGCCGCAGCACGGAGCCGCAGAGGCGGCAGCAGCCTCAACAGGCACTGCTGCTGCTGGTGGTAATATTGCGACAGAGGGGCCGCTCCATAAGGCCGCCAAGGCAGGGGACGCGCCGCGTGTACAACGATTATTGGACTCTGGACACGACCCAAGCATACGGGACGCCAAGGGCCGTACGCCGTACGCCCTGGCGGCCGACAAGGACACGAGGGACGTGTTCCGGCGGTTCATGGCACAGAATATGGACAGGCAAGCTAGGGGCAACTCCTTTGGAACACTCGAGACCAGCCATTAAATGCATTATGGCATGACATCGGCGGATGATTGGTTGCGCGGCCACGGCTGCAACGTACTGAACGGCTTTGGGGCGTGGCACTGTGTGCCTTCTTCTGTGCTGACCTGGGGCCCCGGTCGCTTTTTGGGTCATGTGTATGTCACGGCATCTCTTTCTTTTTCCTTTCACTCGAGGAACCCAATTCATAACCACTGCAGGTGGAACTACGCTGCGGCCGGGATACCTTCGCCATTGACAGAGGAGATGGAGGCGGCGCAGCAGGCCAAGAAGGTGTGGTGTGGCGGTGGGTGGGAGGGACGGCCTAGAAGGCATGGGTGGAGGATACTGGTGCCGATGGTGCTTTCGACATATGCATTTCATTTTCCATGCGATCCCCCCCCATGTACAACAATGTCCCTTGTGCCGCCCTGAAGCAGGCAGCGCATAAGGCGAAGCTCAAGGCGAAGGACGCCGAGCGCAAGGCCGCCAAGGCGGCCGCAGGCGGGGGAGCAGGCAGCACGGGGCGAACGGAGTCAGCGGAAGAGCGCAAGCAGGCGTTGGAGGATGAGATTGCGAAGGCAGCGGCGGAGGCGGAGGCCATCGCTGCGAGGTGCGGGCGCGTGCTTGTACGTGGGGATACTGGTGAGCATCCGGAATGCAATGGCCTCAAACTGCGTGGTGGCGTTGCAGTAAAACGGGCGTACGGAATGACTTTTGTGATTCGGCACTGTGGTTGCGGGATGAAATGCACCAAGCGTCTTGCCATCGAACGCGCAAGTTTTACTTTATGCCTTGGCAGTAGGCATACGAAGGCATACGAAGTAGGGAGTTGCCCTTAGAAGTTGTGTGTTGCATTCCGTTGAAAGCAGTCGCAACGCCTTGAAGGAATCCGAAAGATGGGATGCGAAAGACATGAAACGGCGCACTACCAAAGTGGCAAGGGAAAGGCCCAATGGCGTTCTTTCACTGATGTATCGCCGTATGCGAGCTTGGTGTCGCCGCCTCTACATCTGGAGCAGGTCGTGATCCCTTGAGTTCTGGGCCTTCATACCGCATGCGGAGCAATCGTGCTAGGGCTAAAGGGAAGATCCTGATTAGTTATGAAGTGCTTGACTTGGACACCTGTTGCAACCCTGATGAAAGCTGAAACTCTTTTGGTGGCCCTTGACGACTATTAGGCTGACTGCATCCGCAAAGGCAGCAACGTCTTCGTCTGTGAGGGCCGCCGCCAGTAGCTCTGGAAGCGGCAAGGTGGGTGGTGGCGCCGGCGGCGGCAATGCTGGCAAGGCAGCGAAAGGACAGGGCCCCACGGCTGCAGCGCCGGGAGCAGGCCCCACGGCGGAAGAAATGGCACGACGGCGCGAGCTGATGGCAGCCGCGGCGGAGGCACGCCTCCGGGCCCTGACCCAGGTCTCACAGCAGCAGAAGCTCTGGTGACATGCCCAGGGGCGCTGTAATTGCGGGTCAGTCCATAAGCAGAAACATGTTACAGCGCGCGCTGCATGGGCATTCTGCTTCGCTTGAGGTGTACATACGCACCAATTTTCGCAAGGCCGGGTGTACCCCCTGCCGACAGCTCGCCTTCTCAACCGTCACGTATGCCATGGTACCACATATAGCATGACGCATTGTTTGCCACTCCTCCCCCGTAACAGCTTTCGGACGCGGACAACGGCCACAGCGGAGGCATCAATGACTGGGTGGGCCGATTTTGGCCCGTGATACTGCTGGGTGCCATGTTTACTTTGGCATCGCTGGCGGAGAGGCGGCGGTGCAGAACCTTGGCCACATCAGCTTTTGCTGCCGTTTCCTACAAGCCCCCAACTAGTCGATGATGAAGGAAGTCACGAATGGAACTTCAGCGCCTGTCGTTTTCATTGCTCCGTGTATAGGGCAAGGTTGTAGACGGTGAAACATGCTACCTGCTCAGCCGCAACTCGGAGAATGCTGTGGTTTAGAGCGCCCACTGTGCCAGATACGGGCGAAGATATAATGACGACGTAGTGTATGCAGGCGCCTGGAAGCGTTGCACTGAAAACATTGCATTAGGCGGGCGCCAGAGCAGGTGCACAACAGTGCACAGGACATGCTTGTTGGATGTGGCGGTCCACACAGGAGACTTCCACTGAACAGTTATACTCATGCATGCATCATGTTCACGACGCTCATGGTGCACGTCACAGCCTTGCACACCTTGCAGGATCAAGCAATGACAGCCGAAGTGGGCTCCGTATGACACACATATACTCGCCCACTCCAGCGCCGCATATCCACCTTGTCCCGCAAAACCGCACCAAATTCCAAACCATAGGTTGACGATTGTATGCTGCGGCAACCTTTGGTGAATCCCAGCATCCGCATCCAAGGGATCGCCTGGCTGTCTACTTCTTCCATGTGAAGAGTCTGGCCTTTCATTCCAACGGGTCTTGAGAATCCTAAAGGCCATTCCCGCATCTTGTTCCTAACTCAGCGGTTTTGCTACCCCAACCCAGCTGCAACCCCCGACATGCAACTAACTGCTTGGCACCCGCGTCCCGTTGAGTCCGTAGTATTGCAGGGTTGCCATCGGCAATTATTTTGCTACAGCCTGCACTTCTCGCACTGGCGATAAAAGCTTCTCCAGCTCGCCGCTATCGTGCATCCCCATCAGAATGTCACACCCACCAATGAACTCGCCGTTCACGAACACCTGCAGAGAAAGTGCAATAGCGCGAAGTACAGCACCTGACGCGTGGAACCCGCAGTCCCGCCACTACATGTGCGCAACAAGGCAAGTCAAGCCTGCAGAACATGCACTACCAGAGGTCTGCAGGAGGGCAGTAGCAAAACGCTGGGATTGCATTGATTGACGCCTGGACATGGGACACGCATGTAACAGCACTACAACCCCAAAGAGTGCCAAGGGGTATGCACTGTGAGGAGGCATGCAGGGGCAACACAACCAGTACATGCGTACGGAGGGGCAACACAACCAATACATGGAGTTGGAGTTTGCAAGTCCAAGGTTGGCACCCCGATCCAGACATGGGTTACCTGGGGGATGGTGGGCCAGCTAGTAAATTTTTTAATGCCCTCGCGCATCGCTGGATCTACCAGCACATTGGTCGCGCCGAACTTGACACCTGCAAGTGATTATAAAAGTGAGCGGGTTCGTCGTCATGCTGTGGACGCGGGTAGCAGGACGAACTCACCATATGCGTTTAGGACGACACAGGCCATGCGGCTAAACCCACACTGTGGTTGCTCTGGAGTTCCCTGCAGTGTGGGACGGGAGGGGAATCAAGGGGAGCTCACACATGTAGGGAGAGCCTTCGGCATTAAATCAGCTCTCAGTCTTCCCTGACTAGAAACACGAGCTCTGCTCACTTTCGCACCTTCATGAAGACGTGCACCTTGTCCTTCATAATGGACTCCTTAATCTGCTCTTCGACGCTGGAGTTCGTTTGGGGAGCCGCGAACTTCGGTTTGAAATCATCATGCGAGTCCGGGTCTGTCGCGAAATGTCTTTGGAGCAGCCATGCAGGCGTCGGAACTGCGTTCGCGAAAGACAGGCCTTGCTACCTGCTAGACCCATAAAGGCTGACAGATGTATGTGAGAATGGCACATGTTTACCTGCCTGCCTCGTCCGTGACAAACTGTTCACAACAAATTTTGCCAGCATTTGTATTGATATGAGGTCGGGTCGTCCTAAGGGCCGATTGAAAGCAGTGTAAAGCGCTGGATGATGAGTCGACCTTGCAGATATCCAAGGCTACAGGTGGTCTCGGACTTATCCTCATTTTTCAAGAACCTGCCATCAAGTCCGGATGTACGTGGCAGTTGGACATACTGCCTGGCTCCCTCCAGAGTAAAAACACAGTCATCACAAAACTTTAGTCCAAGTAACCACTTTATACCTGAGAAGCTTCATAACGCTGACCTTTAATACCTCCTGACCGCTGACGATTGACTCCGATCGGTGCACGTTTGGCAATGGCAGAGCACTTTCACCATAATGAGTCTTGAAATCTGCGACAAAAGGCACCAAATAACTTGCCCCGCGGCTATTTCGCCAAGTCTATAAAAACTGGCTCAAAGCACCGGAATGCCGCGCGGCGTTGCGCCTGCTGAGGTGAGATGCATCTGCATTCCGCCGTCGGGGGTCATACCTTTTCTAAATGGGTATGACTGTGAGTCCAGGCCCTAAAGGGTTAGCTGGTACCAGGGAATGACGCCTCCAACGCGTAACTTCTGAGCTCGGGGCATACGTATAATGTAACTCTTTGCACGCGGGCCAAACGGGAGCTGGGCAGGAACACATGGTATTGGAGGAAAGGGGCTTCTCCTAAGCTCCGGCTTGCCTAACCCCTGCAGCAGGGCCAGTGTCCAACCCTTCGAACCAGCGTGCGGACCCAATGAAAGTCATAGGTTGGGAAAACATCAAAACAATCACGAGGGCCTCTCAGACACCAGCATCTTACTCCTTTCAGGCTAGGCCTCTTTTCAGGGGGCTGTGTAGGAATCCCCCAAACCCTGGGCGTACACCCATTTAGCTACCGGGTACCTCTTGCCCCCAAATCCCTGGGTGGCAGGTGCTGGCGCCGCCCGCGGATGTTCACGCTTATGAGGACTGGCGCAGAGCGGACACATTACGGGCGCCTTACAAGTGAGGTCCCTGTAGTTTTCGGACGGGCAGGGTAGGGGGTTGATCGCGTGGTATTACGCCGGGTTAGGTTAAGGGTAGGCGCGTTGAGGAAGTGAGAAGGGAAGGACAGGGGTGAAAGGGAGTATACCGGGTAGCTGATTGTCTTTCAGAGTAGCCGAATGGATGACTGGCTGTAAAGCATACTTCCATGGCCCCTGTGGGCCGGCTTGCCACGTCTGACAGCTGCATCTGCATGTCTTTGCTTTTGGCCGACCACCCATGCGACCGGAGAGATGCTCCGTCTTATGGGGGCGGGGATGCCGACTGCGGTGGCCCCGCATGACGTGAGACAGCAAGACATGCGACCTGCTGCCATAGGCATATGGCCCTGGCCCCCCAACCGGACTTTGGCCGCCGGCAGTTCATTTCTGGTTTCCTTGCATGTGATTCCCCCCAACCAGCAGCCGCCACACCCGGTTACTCCTGCTTTGGCGCTGGCGTGCTCGCGTGCCGGCCTTGGAGCAGGGCCAGCTGTATCAGCTTCTGTTCGACGTGCAGCGGCCACACACGTTGTGCGACCTCTGTTTTCCCGTCCTGTCTCGTCCTGTCTCGTCGGTTCTGCCCCGGGTGCAGGGTTCCCAGCGCCTTCCTCCGGGGCATCCGTGTGGACGCGGTGGAGTCAGCGATGGAGTGTCCGCTGCTGTGCTTCGTGAATGCCCGTTCCGGAGGCCAGCAGGGCGCCCAGCTGGCCCTGCTGCTGAGCCAGGCTGTGGGGCGCGTGCAGGTACGCCAGGGGGAGGGCAACAGCGGGGCCAGGTGAGGGGGCAGTGGAGGCATATTGGGCGCGGGTGGGGTGTTCAGGGGTCGGGATGATGGTGTTGCGTCGGGTTGGGGACAAGCTCGGGTTCCCCTTCGTTTGGAGACTGGACCGGAGATGTGGATTGGGATGGTTGCCCGCGTGGGTGTGGGCCGTATTGAGGGTGGGTTGGGGTTTAGGGTCCATTTTGGCGGGACTGGCATTAGCAACATGGCGATACCGTGATACCCATGCCTCTCATCGTAACGGACCGCACGCCAGGTATTCGATATTGGTGACAAGGACTACCGACCGGACAAGGTGCTGAACAGGTTTTACGACAACCTGCGGGGGCTGGAGGCTGCGGGTGACCCACGGGCCGTCGCCGTACGGCATCGGTTGCGGCTGCTGGTGTGCGGCGGCGACGGCACCATTGCCTGGGTGATGGGGGTCATAAAGAAGCTCAAGCTGCAACCGGAGCCTCCCATCGCCATCATGCCATTGGGAACGGGTACGTGCTCGCGCGTGCGTGGGTCGCGCGTGCGTGGGTTGCGTGCGTAAAGCTGTGGTCCTGTGCGTTGTATGATCTGAGTCTCGGGCAAGAATTGGCGAGGATGATACACTTGTAGTTTTTTTACTGAAATATTTCCTGTGTATGCATGTACACGGGAGTGTTGGCTTAGGTAGATGAAGGGTTTTTGGGGTGGGTAAGAGTTGAAAGCGACAGCTGGAGCGAAAGTTGGATGTGGATTGTGGATTCAGATAGCCGACAGGACGTCGGAGGTTTTGGAGCAAGAATCGCCCCGGTCTCAGACTAGGGCTTTTGTATGCAAGGCTGGACAAGGGCACACCCATATAATTTTGCAATCACCCATGACGTGTCTCTTGCAGATGCCGTCAATGTGTGTGCCCCATAACCTGCATTGCGTTGAATTGCTGATTGTTTGGCACCCTGTGGGGCCGCCTAACAAAGCCCAGCCAGCCGGCCCAGCGCAGTTTTGGAGGGCTGGACGGGTGCTCACGCACCTTCCAAGACCAGATTGGCCCATGTTATGTTGATGAAACGTCGTTAGACAGTAAATTGCCCGCGAGGCATTGAGCAGCTCCGAAACCTAGATTTCCGTCCCTCTTTCTTGTGAGTGTCGTGCCCCTCATGTAACGGCCCGCTGCCCTGGCCGCCGCATCAATCACTCATCACCATTAACATCACCGTCCACGACGCTGTTGCTGCTGTTGTTGCTGCTGTTGCCGCAGGCAATGACTTATCCCGCAGCTTTTTATGGGGCCCGGCGTATAGTAGCAGATGGCTAAAAGACCACAAGTCCATGTACGACACGTTTAATAGGGTGAGGCGGTGGTCGCGCAGGCGGGAGCAGCTGAGTGCCGCCCTGCGGGGTTAAGTTCCCCGAAAGAGGCCTAGGACCTGGTGACTCGGGGGAGTGAGGATGGTGATTGTGGTAGTGCTGGTGACATCGCTTCGGGGTGAGAGCGGTGTCATCTGAAGGCGCAGACGCAGACATTAGGTGCACATCTAGGGCCGTGTACCCCGACTAACCCCCGGATTCCAATCCCTCAGTCCGGGTCCGGGTCCAGGTCGCTGTGTTCTCTACACCCCTCTCCCGCCTTCTTATCCCATCTCGCATCTCTGCCCTCTTGATGAGCAATCGAACGGCCTCTCCAGCTACTAATCGACAACTGTCCTTGAACCACCTTACAGTTGACAATCGCCTCCCCCAAACTCGTGCAAGCCGTCAGATCTCAACCGCCACCGAGGACCAATTAGACTGCTGGGCCATCACCATCACCTCGCCCCGCAAAGCCATGTTCAGCCATGGCGTTCCGCACTGCTTGTCGTCACCGCAGCCGCCCGGCGCGGCAACCGCGTTGCCACCCGGCCAGCAGACACCTCACGGCCGCCTCTCCTTTGCGCCGCCCTCGACCGCCGGCATCGTCACAGCCTCCGCCTCCAACACCGGCGGCGGTGGCTACAACCGCGGCCAGAGCAGCGGCCTTAATGCCGTAATCCCCGGCGGCGGCGGCTCTAACGCCGGCTTGCACATCTCCTCTGCGCGTGACACATCGGCTGCTGGCGCCTTGGCCAGTGATAGGTCCGTGGCGATGAGCGTCATGGCGACCTTTGGGTCGGCGACGCCGCTACAAAACATCGCGACGAGCTCTGTGGGCTCCGCCGCCACCACCTTCACCACGGCGACCAATATGTCCATGCACACGGGCGCGGCGCAGGCGGGCACGTCGGTACCACCCACCATCGTGTCCGGCGCTGTCAGCACCTCGGCAGAGGACGAGACTGGCATTGGGGTTGTGGGGGTGAGCGGGGTTGGGTGCGTGCGGGTGTGTGCATGTGTGTGTGTTTTTAATGATATGAGCCGCGATGAGCCCAAAGAAAGAGCGTGTGTGTATGTGTCGGGTATGTGGTGAATGGAACTTGGAGTTCTGCGTTACTGCCTTGCTTATGTAACCCTGCCTCTGGATCGTGATAGTGCCGTACAATTGCCGTACTTTTGAACTTGAACACCACTACCGTCGTGCTGATCTTGCGTCCTAATTCCATCCTCAGGGACACCTTTGGAACTACTTCAGCGTGGGTCTGGACGCCAAGGCCGCCTGGGGCTTCCACTCGCTGCGGGAGGAGCAGCCCAGTCTCACAAGCTCCCGACTGGCCAACCAGTTCTGGTACACGTTCTTCAGCTGCACCTCGGGTGAGGGGGCCGCGGCGGGGGCCCAGGGCATTGGTGGGCCGGCATAACGGAGCGGCCTCCTGGGAAGCTACTGGGATGGTGTGGGGGTCAGGAGGAGCCTCGGAAATCATAGGGACCTGGAGACGGGTTCTAGCCCCTGGGGCAGGTGCCAATGCCGGTGCAGTCAGGGGGACTCGCGCTGTGCCCGTCGGCTTGAACGGCAACTCTCAATGCTGTCGTTTTATTCGCAGGGGCAAATGTGTCGTCTTTCGTCGTTCCATAGCCCGAGCGTGCCGTCTGTGCGGCAATAGCAGCTGTGTGTGAGGGTTGAGGTCATTCCCAGTCTTTCAGTCGTTGGGGGGCCAACCGGGTGCCGTATGCATTAACCGCATCACAGCTCTTCCGTAATGCTCCGTTCCTTATACTGTGGTTTCCCCTTCCCCCCCCTTTTGCGGCCTGCTAGGGTGGTTTTGCTGCGCCCAGCCGGTTAACCTAAAGGTGACGTTGGAGGTTCTCAAGCCCGGCCCAGCGGGGGAGGCGGCGGGCTGGCAGCCAGTGAAGCTGCCCTCCAATGTCAAGGCCCTCATCGTGCTCAATTTGCAGGTAGGTTGGTGTGGTGGTGGGCAGGAAATCCAATTACTAATAACCACTCTGATGCGCACCGACGAAGCGCGCGAATGCAGCACCAAGCCGTTGGTGGTAATTATGGTTTGACCACTACGGTTATGGCGGTGGTGATGATGGTCTTGGTGTTGCGAAGAGGGGCTATGGGGGAAGGAGAATGCATGGGAGGGACGGGCGGAGAGTTATTGATGGGACCTCAGGTGTTTGGAAGGGAAATGGAAGGGAAATGGAAGGGCGGGAGGGAGGGAGGGAGGGAGGAGGCATATGCCTGTGTACCTGTCGGGAACAGGCGATGTCCGTGAACAAGTTCGTTAGCTTCTGTTTCCGCTCCTTCACAGACCGACCATCATGTCATCAAACAGATCTGTCAACTCAGAAACGTGATGTGGTGCTCCGCGTGGCCATCGGGGCCCTTTGGAAATGGAAGGGAAATGGAAGGGAAGTGGAAGGGAAGAGCGAAGTGGAAGGGAGGGCCGACACTAATCGCCGGCTGCAGGCGGACCACACAGGCGGGCGCTTCCCCCGGGGAAGGCATTGGACAGATGAAGGGATAAACACTTGGCGACGGCCGCAGCTGGTTGCTGACGGCGGCTGTTCCGTTTCGCCACCATCCGCTGAATCATCTAGCACGCACGTTGGCGTCACGGCCTCGATAACTAAAAACCTTTCCAGGCGCGGAAGAGAAGCGCGGGAAAGGGCGCCAGTGGCCTGCTGCCAGTTTGCGGCCTTTCTTGGCATGCCCCGTCCTATGTTCGTAGTTCATCCAGCACAAATCATTCAGCCGAAACCGTAACTCGTGCTTACCATCCGACCGCAACTACTTGAATGGCTGTCCGGTGCTGTGTTCATAGAGTTACGCGGGCGGCCGCAACCTGTGGGGTCCCTTCACAACGGAAGAGGATGGGAAAAAGCACGGCTACAAGAGGCCCTCGTACAATGACGGCTTGCTGGAGGTGAGGGGTGGGGCTGCGTTGGGGAGCAGAGCAGCTTGATGCCCTTTGTTATTTTGCCCGTGTCCTGGAACTTTATTGTGGAGGCATCGCAACTGGTTGTGTGCCCCATTATGTCCCTTGTTAAGGAGTCCCGTCCGGGGCTCCTTCAGGCTGCCGACTTTCGGCGCGCTTCCTAAATCATTTTCGCCGCGCCCTATGACTCACTTTTATAACACGCTGTTTTTGGCCTCCTACTCTTTGCCTTCCAATCCTTCGCTCTCGTCCTCGCGCATACATATGGCCAAGCCATGCAGGACAAACCCGTTTCCCACCGGCTCACTCTCACATGCACCCTCCTTCCCTGACAGGTGGTGGGGTTGCGCAGCGGGTGGCACACGGGCATCGTGATGGGCACCAAGGGCGCAGTGCTGCATGCCAAGCGCATCTGCCAGGTTGCAGGAGTGCGGCTAGTGATTAGCGTAAGTAGACGCGCTAGAGGGCGGGTGGGGCTGGACGGAAGGGGACAGTGAAGGCCGATGCCGCGGGTGTAGCTTGCAACGGGTTGGGATGGGGGAATGCACAAAAGCGCAAGCGACATTACGTCAAAAGGAAAAGAGCTCGAGGACGGGATGGGGCATGAGGGCATTGCCACGCGGGGCCCGGCCCGCATCTCAGCGTGTGTTTGGACAATGCGCTGGTCGGAATTTGCGATGTGCATTTGCGCCGTCGCGCCTCCCATGGTGCGAAGGGTTGATTGTCGCTTTGTTAGCAACGCGGGGCAGGCGCTTACCTGGCATGAGGGGGTGAAAAGGCACCTGGGAGGTGAATCAATTAGATGAGGTAAAGGCGTACGGCACGTGAGGGGCCATATGTTGAGTGAGGTACCTCTTATCCCTAAGAATGTCGGCTGCAGTCTCATCCTAACCTTTGTTGCCTGTTTCATTACTGCAGGCGCCGTATGTTCGGAGCGACGGCGAACCCAGCCACTGCTACATGCAGATCGATGGAGAGCCTTGGAAGCAGGACATCCCTGTCAAGGGCCAGGAATCTCCAGTGCGGGTGAGGGGCCCTGGGGCTTGAATGGAACACCGAAGCAGACGCCGCGCGCGAAGGCCACCTAATAAGGGACCGCCAGAATACAGGGATGAGCCGATGTACATACAATGTGAATTCAAACCATACCACTATCCGTAACAGCGGTACCGCGCACCTTCACCGCCAACCACCCCACCGGAACCACACTCCAGCATCATCAACCGAGCAGAACGCCGATGTTAGCGGACTGTGGTTAACTGAAAAGCGCAGACGCATGGACAGCATGTACGGGCAGTACAACAAGTCCATGGCCGGTTCATGCCAGAGCCCTGCTGTGTCTAGCCGTGTCTAATTGATGCACTTTATATCAAAGCTAGAAATCAGCTTACGTCCTACCTATAACGCGGCTTAGCGGTTGCCTGCCTTGTACTTATAAGGTCTCAACGCTGCACCTGAATTACGCTAAACACCGGCCGATCACCACGGACCCTCCAAACGCCAGGTGGAGATTGTGCACGCGGGGGTGAGCAGAGTGCTCCGGAACGAGCCCCGGGAGCAATCCTTGGGCGCCTCCAAATCGCCTCGCAAAGTCGCAGCGCCGCGGATTGTGGGCCCGACTGTAAGCGCGGTTCCGGAGGCCGTATCGCCGCCCATGGTGTCGCCACAATCGCAGTCTTACATGCAGCTCCCGGCGGCCGTGTCGGTATCTCAGCCTGCTGTGCAAATGGGGTCGCTTGCGGGGCCTAGCATCGCTGCCGCGAGCGGGCCCACGGCGTCGGTGTCCGGCGCGTTGCCGCACCAGATGGCCTACGGGTCACAGTCCATGTCGGGTCTGGGCCATAGCGGCTGGACGCGAATTGGTTCTGCCGGGCGGCCGTCCACAGCTTCCGTTGCCGGCAGCTCATCTGCCGCGGGCCTAGAGGCCCTGGCAACAGTCGAGGGAGGCGGCTTGGTGGCTAGTGGAGGAGCTGCCATGCGCGGTGCAACGGTGATTGCGAAACAAGGTGAGCGAGTTGCGGACGGCCTCGCGCGCGCAGCCGTCCCCTGTAATAAGTTTAAGCGAGAAAGAGCCTCACAGCGTTGTTCAGCACTACCTCATGTTTTGATGCGCTGTCGTCCTTAAGGGTGTTTTTTCCTGGGTGCTGTCGCCATCGCTTTTTATTCCGGGGCGATGTCGTGGCCTTGTCAAGCAGATTGCCGCGCTTTGCACTTGACCAGTCTTTGCCTGGCCCCGAACTTCCACGGACCGCCAGGCGATGCCCCGGATGGTGGGAGCACGGCCCCGGGCGACTCGCAGTTCCCTCCTATCGATGCACCAACGCCCCGTACTCTGTCGACGGATCTGGGTTCTCAAGGGGCGCGCAGCATTGCCTTGCAGGAGTGATCCGCACAGCAGAGGGTGCAGATAGCTTGACTGTTGGACGCCGTGGGAGAGTTTTGGCTTGGTCCGTCTTCTTGTCGATGCGGCAGGGCTAGGTGCAACAACTTTGTGCGACCAATAGCGTGCATGTATCATGTCTGTACTTGGAAGTTGATAGGCTTATTAAGCTGATGTCCTTTGCATGTGTGTAGCCAAGTCCGCCAAGTCCATCGTGCATATATATACACACGTTAGAAGTGATGCTGCCAGAATGCGGGGCTGGACGTTTTTTACTCCGCGCAGGCGTCTGGTTTAGGGAAAAGACACTTATATGTTGACGGTCCTTGCGTGCTTCTTTCCCAACCTAGATTGCTGCTCTGAACATCATGGTTGGCCTATAAAACCTTATCCAAATTGTGACGGAATGCGGTCGTGCATGGAGCGCCGCTGGATGGCTTAGGGCTGGAGTTCAAATGTATCCGTGCCTTGTTGGATGATCACGTTGGTGTGCGTTGGTGTTGGCGCACAAATGTGCATTGAGAGCGTTAGGCCTATGAATCCAGCTCTCGTCCGACGGCTGGTATTCCTTCAATCGTGTTGCATTTGGGTGATTCGTATTCCAAACCGTTTCTTCATTCATTTCCTGATTCATCACAAAATTGTTATTCGATGACGCTGCGTGTGTATAGTTTTTTTCAATCAATTGTTGTTCCTATACACAATACTTACTGCACACGAAAGGGAAACCTCGATTGCACACCATCTTACATAGGAGAAAAAAGGAGAAAAAATCCTGCTGCAGTGAAATTCGCTGCTCATGCTTGCCCTCGACTTCCGCTCATTACACCGTCTTGTGCGATTGGATGAGGATGCTGACGAAGCAGCAATTTGTTCGCCGTTGCCTGCACCCCTATACTCGGGACCATCGGCACAAGTTCCCTACTCTACCTCGTAAAGGTATGGACAAAACAGCCAAGCAACACTGATGATGCGCAAACACAAGCAAAGAAAGGCCCACACAGTAGCTGCAGACGGTATTGCACCCGGCCGTGACGTGCCACCAAGTCAAAACGTATGCAATTCTTAATCCCCATACCAGAAGAGACTACCAAGGGTATTGGTCCCAACTGACTTCTTCGATCTCCGCGTCGAAGGCAGCTTCCTTCCACTCACGCTGTATCAAGGAGCATGCAATAGCACCGGGTTGTGTGCTACCTCGTCGCATCGGCCGCCAGACAATGCTCGTCCGCGTCGCCTTGAGCGGACAAGCGTCGCCTTGTCCGCTCAACAGCCTCAAAGCCAACGTGGACGGACCGCCGTAGGTCATGACGGCCGACGATCCCACGATTAACACAGGAAACATCGACAGCACGTGCCCTACACCAGAGCCTCTTATAGCCATCACACGCCAAACGACAAAAGAGCCAGACAGTATCACTGGTGCAACCTAAATGCCGTAATAACCCAGGAACACCCAGTGACACATGGCATTGCAAACCGGAAGCTACTGAACTCAGCAGTCGTGTCATCTACATGTTGACTCAACCTATAGCCATAAAATTTCTTAACATCCCCACAAACCGACACATACATCAGAACCATAGCAAACTACCGTGCCGGCTATGCGGACTGCCGCCGCATCAGACTTTGCGCCTACTAATACGGAAAAAAGCAAATAAGTTCTTCGTGGTCAAATCTCATTCATTGCCTTTTGCTCCCGCGCACGCAGCCAGCATCATCCATAAGACACTAGCGGTGATACCGTCTTCGTAACGGCATTTCCAGGTCGCCATACCGCGCGGAAACATCAAAGTCAAGGTTTACGGACAGAGTACCATGACAGCAACACGCACGCGTCTCCGACTATATTAGCAAGCCGCTGCGCTGGTACATCCTCTGGAGGAGGGGACGTGCGCTTTAGGTGGTCATCCCAGCCGGTAAGCGCCTTAACGTTACAGACCGAGAGGAGCAGCGGCGGCAACACAGACCGCGGCTTCCGCAGCCACACAGGACACATCGGTCTCGCTCTAGACAGAGTTAGCACTCGACACCCCTTCGGGACATCCCACCTGCAGACGTTAGGACGTTAGGCACCAGCAAGTACCAGAAGTAATGGAGGTCCTATCAGTCCGGCAACCGAGCGTAGTAAAGCAATCAACCCGACGCGAGTGGTCAACGCCGCACAGCGTCGACGAACCACTTGTCTACGCACGGTGAAACTTTACCGCTGCTACCTGCCATATATGGACGCTCCGGTTGCAAGTGCTCTTAGCGCTGCCCCACACACGTTCATGTCTGATTTGTCGTCTGCAATCACTAACCCAGCTCAGTCCTTCTTGTTGCCTTTGCGGCGGGCCATGTAGAATGAGCTGTACATGTTTACACGATCCATATAGCCCTGGTCGGCGCGGCTGATGCAGCGCACGTCAAACCCGGCCTTGCGAATAACGTCCGCGTAGGGCGGGCACAGAGACGCCGAGCGCCAAATAACAATGCCACCGGGCGCCACCTGGCGCGCCAGCAGCTCAGCCAGCTCCTGGGCCACGTGCAGGTCGAGCCAGTCCACGTGGTCCATCAGAATCACTTTCGTGTAGGTGCGAGCTTTGAGCTCTTCCATGAAGAAGTTGGTCGACACCGTGAGGTTCTCCACTAGACCACCTTTGAGCGCTGCAAAACCGGCCTCGCGCAGGTACGTGGGGCAGTTATCCCGAAGGAACTTGCCCGTAAGGCAGTTGTAGTAAAAGTAGTTGTGCTTGCGCACGTGGCTGTTCTCAGCAACGCCGTCCATCGTCCGGGCAATGTAGCGCTCAATCGGGATCCCGTCCGCCTTGATGAGAGCGTATTGCTTCCCTGTTAAACAATGACGCAGGTTCAGCATTCAGCAGCTCGCGAGGGTGAAGGCCAGACAAACAGGACGCAAGGCAGTGCAGTAATGCGTGTATGCTTGTTAGACCTCCTGGAGTTGCGTTTCGCTCCACGGCCCCTTCCGGGCCCTGCAGGACCCAAGGCCAGCCGAACGCTGTCCGGAACAGATATATATGCCGAGTTCAGCTGATCATCCGCCACCATAGTTTGACCCACCTGAACCTGACAGAAAACCTGCATATGTACATGCTGGACAGGCAAAGTACTATATACTATGGCAGGATCATTAGTTTTGCTACCAACTTTATTTATGATCTGCTCGCCCGCGATCCCCCCATACGCTCTATTTGCTTCTGGCGGCCCGCAACATAAACGAAAACGTGATATCAACCGAAACATATCCACACTTGGCAGGCGGCAACCAGCTTGGCCCAGCAGTAATACATCCCGCAAGCACGTTGACCACATCCACGCAAGACCACAGCGAAACAATTTAGCAAATTTACGTCCTCCAAAGGGCCCTAACGGCCCAGGTTCACCGCAAAAAGCTTCTATATGTTAGACCCGTGTCGTCTTCTTACCCGGCACGCCGCCGCCGAACCAGAGGACAGCCTTGTTGAAGAGGACCAGGCTGACGAACTTGACAAAAAGCCATACCAGCAGCTTAGGCCCGTGCTTCACGAAGTGAATGATGAAGTTCGAGTCCCAGACGCGACGCTGCTCGTCCAGCGTTGGGGCGTTGGCCAGACGCTTGACAGTCTTGCCCAAACCCACCACGACTGCTAGGCACTGTAGGACCCAACACAACTTGCCCATACCGCCCTGGTAGTAGAGGCCGTGCTGGAAGTACCAGAGCCGCCGCGACCAGAAGTTGTGGCTCGTCTGACTCAAGAACGGCGCCAACTTCCTCTCGTACAGATCCTCAATGCGCGGGTGCACCCCCTCACCGAACATCTAAGGATACAGTGTGACCGCACCGAAGGGAAAAACACAAAGATAGGCAGCCATTAGAACAGCATTCCATATTGCCGGACGTAGAAGTGGCATGCCAGCATGCTTTAGCAATTGGGCACTGCATCTCCTTTCAACAATTCGGGCTTTAAAATTGCCGAGCGCATGTTATCCTTAACATGGTGCCACGCGTAAAAACCCAACAATGGAAAAGAACAGGCCACTTAGCCAGGAAAATTGAATGCATGACCGGCTCACGCACTAACCTGCCAAACGTCCTCGAATTCCAACTGCTGGATCGCGACCTTCTTCAGCTCCAGAAGGGCTGACTGGGCCGGGTTGCAATCAACAGACACCACCTGCACACATTGCACCATAGCGTTTTTCAGGAATTTGCTTTTGAAAACACCCTCCATTTAAGCCTCCACCGATCCACAATGATGGCCCAAGCCGTTTTCGAAGTACTACCATGATCCCATACAGCAACTGGTCAGACCTCCGCGTAGGGCGGGAACATCTGCGGCCAAGGGCCGGTTTCCGTGTGCCTCAGGTATTAGTCTCCGTGCTGCATTTTTCAAAGCCACCTCTCAGAACTCTTCCGAGAGCAGTCGCCCGTACCCGAACACTAACAGCAAGCCCTTTCTAACCTCACCTGGCCGGCTCCCTGGACCAGCAGGTTGAGGGCGTTGCAGCCCCCGCTGGTGAGCGTGAGCACCGTGTCGTTCCCGTTAATCTCCATAACCTGTACAGGAGAACCGAGGCGAAGAAAAATTACTCAGTTGCCAGAAATGAACATCCAGCGAGCGCGCTATGAAATCAGTTCGGAGGAGGCGATAAGAAAATAGAGTTCCAGGAAAAACAGTCAGCAGGTGAAATGTGCCCGAAAGTTATCGTCAAAAGAACTGAACTTCTTTGCACCACCCCTCCCATCCCTGTATCCTCCAAGAGCACCGACTCTCGATTCTCCCCCAGTTCCATCGGCAACTTTGCCCTACCTCCATGTCAGGTTCCGGGTCCTCCCACGACTGCGTGTACAGGAATGTCGGGGGAAACATGGGAGGCCGCTCCACCCGCTCCTCATGTAACGCGTCTGTGGGATAACGTGTCGAGCGATGGCGGGTAATGCTCATTATCGTATAATTACCCAAAGGGCTCATTTCCACGTCGCTACGCCAAAATATGGCACATATACATGAAGCAAAAGTGAAACCAGCGACGGCACAGGTCACAGGTGTTTCGCGGCAAGGACACACATGCAAGCACCAAGTGTACTCACGTCCGACAGTCGGATGGCGGCCGATCCAAACGTAGTACGGCGCACGCAGCCATGGAACGTACGGGATTGAGCCCTATGGCAGGAGGGTAAACGTCCAGGGTATGGAATACGCTGTTAGGCACAACTTGCGGCTGAAAACCTACAGCGTGCCTTCAGACCTTCTGGGTATCTCCAATACGTCAGTATCACCCACCCCCGGGAATAGCTGCAGTGCTGTGGCGGCGAGGCCAGGTAAATGCAAAGTAAGCACATGCCGAGCAGGTAAGGCTTAAGAACACGTGATTCCAGGGCCTTGCTGGGAGTGCTGGTTTCGCCAGGTACGTCGGAGGTACAAGCTGAGGATTGCACGTTAGAGGGTGTTGATGGATAGCGGCAGACTAGGGCTTATGGGATAATGACCACGTGCACAGCTGCTCTAAGGCCCGACAACCTCGAACAACGATTTAGCTGCAGGTTAGTCCTTAGCCACCGTGACACAGGTTCCTGACCCCACCTGGCTGTTTTGCTCCCAGACCCGCTCGAGCTTCTGCTCCAGGTAAGCTCGCCGCTCCGGCCCAATGTCGATATTGTCGATGTCAAAGATTGACCTGCGAACACGTTGCAACAACGTTGTGCCACAATCGACTGTGCCATCGGACTGCAGATTATTACAAGGGTCACTGCTAGTATTCAACATAAATTCATGCCGCACGGCCCGCGCGTGAGACAGGCCTGGTCAAGAAGCTGGGCTGTGCTTCGGAATGTGCACGCATTAGGGGGCCTTCTAGGTCCCCCGTACGAGGGTTGCGAGATATTACACGGTACAGCTATTGTCATTGTTAGAACATTCCCTTCGATCTCATCGGATCCTAATTCCTGTCACGGGCAGACCTACCTCCAAAAGAAGCGGCGCGCCCATGGCATCTGCCGCATGGGCAGGTCGTACTTGCCGCTCACATAGAAATCTGCTACACCGACCAGACCATCGGCCGACAGGTATGAAATAGCCTGATCAATGACGCCGTGGAAGGGTGGAATCACTGCGATGGCAGCGCAGCGTGATTGCTTAGTGGATTATGGGTGTCGGCCGCACAAAACCGAAAGCAACAATATCTTACTCGTGAGTGAATAAGAAAACGTGACGAGAGTTGCCATGCCTTCTGGGGGCGAAAACTTGCAGGCATCCGCTTCAACGACATGCACATTCTTCCAGCCCTTGGCCTTTGCCTTGCGCTTGGCAACTTCACAGAGCGAGTGGCAGAGGTCCACAACATAAATTGCCTTGAAAGACGCCAGGTCGATGTACTTAGCCATCATGTCCACGTTTTCCTGCGCGCACGGCAGATCGGCCAAACTTGGCGCCACCATCTGCACCGTTGCGGCGTGTCGCTAGAACTTCACTCACCCCGGTGCCACCGCCAAGGTCCACCCAGATCATATTTGACCGGTCCGCAAGGCGTGCAGCGCATGCGGCGAGCATGGGCTTGCGGCCCCAGAGGAACCTGGCGCGGAACGCATCATCTGCACAAGTACAAAGGAACTGGAGTGGATGCTGCAAAGTTTTGAAGGCAACTACAAGAGAGTAACAAAGCTTAGCAACCCGCTCACAAGCAGCTGCTTGGGGTCCGTAAAAGCTCTCCAGCCGCGCGGCGTGATCGTCGCCCTTCTTGCTGCCAAACCACATGTGGCGAAGCACCGTGAGGTCATTCTTGACGCTGGAAATGTTCTTCAGCTTATCAAGAGAAAAGTTCTTCTTCATGTAGTTGTCGCGGACAGGACGCCCATCTTTGCCGGCTCCCATCCTTCGTCAATACGATCGCCACAGCGCTACTGTAAGGGTTCCCAGCGCTAAGACTACGAACAAGCAAGCATGCGCCTAAGGGACGACTTTGTAACAATGGCGCGAACATAAAGGCACCCTGACGCCGTACTGCATTGCCGTTATGGCTCATTCAGCCTGATTGTGGAATATCTGTCCGAATCTCAAACTGGAATTTTATGACAGGATAGTTTTATGTACACATGCTGTCTTTTGAGCTTTTATGATCACCAAAGTAACATAGTTTGCTTGATAGGATGTTGACAACAGTTCTAGCAGGGTCGGCCCGACTAGATAAGAGCAATAACATGCTGTACATAAGCGTAGCTATGCAGGATCTGAACAGCGCCCTTTGAAATAGACCTGTGTATGTACACCGCAATTTCGAATCTGGTGACAACGAAGAATGTGGCTTCCATAGTTCTTTCAATTAAGGGCTTAAACTTGTCACATATTTTCTGGCCTGCATATTAGATCACGCGGTGCATAACCTGAAGTTTTAATGCAAAACTACAGATATAATTGCTTCGTTTGGCGTGCGCTACTGATGCCAGCGCGCAACGTTAACTGGCTTCTAGTTCATAGTAGTGCATAGTCAACGCTTGGTACACCCACGGGTGTGAGTGTACGCTATGCAACGCGCCTTACTTCTTGCAAACTAGCTGCACGGATTGCAGCCGCAACCCGTCGGTTCTCGCCGTATGGTGCTACATTGTCGACCTTCGCGCGCGTCTGGCACTATACTTCCATGCCTGGTTAGTGGCTTCTGGTGCGTATGCTGCTCACGCAGGACTAATGCCCCCATGCCATAAAATAGGACCGATGCTTGGTGGGCGGAGGTGGTTTGGATTACCAGACCAGCACGAAAGCCAGCTGCAGCTTATTCATGCCCGTGCTGCTGTACGTGCCCGTGCTGCGGCCACTGATAACGTAATGATACAGATATTGGGAAGCTCATGGGATCCAATAACTCAAATTCCTTAGGAAACGCAGACGGGCAATTGGAAAGGAGGACAGGAGGGTAGTGGCGATGAGGAGGAACTGATTTTCATCGTTCGAGATGAACTCCCCCAGCTATACATGCAGGCTGCCAAAGCCTGTCATTTACCTCATCTCATTCAGGTCCGACAGAGATGCGGGTTTGCCAGGGCTGGCCACATCAGAAAAAAACATGTGGCCAGTCTCCATTTGGGCTTGCTTGGCACCTGCGCTGCGCGATGTCTGTGATGGGAGCCGTACCGAGAAGCAACGTGGTGATCAGGGGGTGGCCATGATAGTTTGCGCGCAGGGCACTATTTGCTTGTTTCTAATAAGTTGTCAACGTTTTCCGTTCTCACATTATCCTCGTGTTTCTACGTTCTATGAGCTAGTCAACCATCCCTCAAGTTTGCATGCTTGCGCCCAATTTCAGTTAGTGGCAGGATTTTCCCTATGGCAGTCGTTGCGCACTGGACAATTTCTCTCTCCCAAGCTGAGCGCCAAGATTGCAAGCCTGTCGAGCGCGCCATCACCGCGTGCCGACAGACATGGTGCTCTGTCGCCGTACAATCCCTCTCAAAGATGCTTGAAAGTAGCAAACAGCTGCCCTGCTTTGCGTCCTCCGGCCGGTTCAATGACCCTTGGGGAATGGAATGTAAGATTGCTGTTCCAGTTGAAGGATGCTTGCCTCTTTCGGGGATGCAGCGTTCCCATACCGCATATGCCCCTATGGCAGTTACACGTACCAAGCATACTTTCGCTTCGCTTCCTAGTGCAAAAGAAAGCGCCTTAAGGTACGGGGCCAAAGAAGAGATGGATCCAGATTCATGCGAATATATCCGCCTACATCCGCCAGCCGCCATAGTACTCTGCCGCAACCGAACCAGTAAACACCCCAGTCTACTCACCAATGCACGATAAACACGTGGATCAAAACCTCCGCTAAGGAAAAAAACAAAGGATTCCGAAGGGTCATTGGCAAAGCACCTGTGGGGTCCAGGGTTCTCTCGACACGGAGACCTGACGGTGAATAGCCCAGCATCTGAAACTCATTCTAATGCCACCCCAACAAAACTACCCAACAAAACGATCCTGAAACCTCTGTGATTTGGCATACGACTCCCACCCCAAGCACGCTGTCCTCCTCCCGACATGATTCCAGCGTTTCCTCAGCATATGGCGGGAGACTATGGGCCTTGGACACGAAGCAGAGTTGGGATGGCATACTATCCTCGACCCGGCGGCGCACAAAGAGCATGATCAGAAGCCACCCCGGAAAAGACCCACACATCGGGAGTTGCAGCCAGCTCACGGCGCCTACCTGGCGCCCGCTCATTCCAAACCGTCACAAATGACCTCATGGAAACTGCGCTACTCAAACCTTAAAGCCACCCCAAGGGCTCCTTGACCTATGACACTCGGTATTACCTCTTGTCTGTCTTGTGAAGGTATTCCACGCAAGTTGAGACCTGTAAACTCGCCTAAGTTTGCTGCCCTGTTTAAGGTCCTTGGGTACAACAGCAGGTTATGGCAGCCTTCTTCCATAAGACCATGACAATAAGCCATGACAAGCGTACCAGCATGACAAAAAATCATGGCCAGCCTGTCACCAGAATATAAGGCCCGTCTACACATAAAACACACGCTGTAACTGAACACGCTTCTTAAAAGCTGCGATCCAGGCCATCCACACGCACACAGCCTGACCCATAGGCATAAAAAATCCACACTCATGCAAGCGGTGTGGTGCGGTAAAGGATTTCCCCTGATAGACCAAGGGCCCTACCCTCGCCATCCCCTGAGCTTTCTGAACGTTTCCAGAGCAGCACAATATCAACAACCAACCTGCGTCCGCAATGTAATGACCTACATCAACTGTCGACCCGGCCTCCCAGTCCATTGGCGCCGCAAAGCCGCCATTGGCATGAAAGCCCAACTACATTGGGCCACCAGGCCGTTCACGTTGTCTGCAACACCACTCGCCCTCTAACCAAAACCGGGTGCAGCAGACCTGCAAGCATCCTACCGACTGGCTCCACCACTCCAGGTCACTCCAGACAGTCGCCGGGTCGCCCAACTGGAATCCTGGAAGGGAGTCTGTGCTTCTTGGGGGGATAACACCGAAACCCGTCTGGCCACAACCAACAAACCACGGTTTTGACAAGTAAACCTCGACAGGCAAACCGGTCAATCGGAAATGTAAACCTGCACGCCTTCAACCAATTGCATGGGCTTCGGCTCGGTCAGCACTCGCGCCCGCCGCCAGCCGCGTTCACTCAACGGCACCGGCCCCATGCGGAAAGAAGTACCGAGGATGGGTACTCTTAGGTCCACGTCAGGAACCCAGACCCTGTCATGGACAGCGGCGCGGCACGTCCCACAGGCAGCAGCACACATGGCTACCCCTCCACCCTCATTTTAGATCCTCGCATGCGAGGCCGCTGTTGACGTGGCCCAAACCCATGAAAATCAACCCCCTCCGCGTCCTCAGGCCCCATAAACCGTCGTACGTCCCTTCAACTTCTCCTCCTGCCCTCCGCTCTTCAGCGGGTGCATGTGTCAACTGCTCGCCTCACCACTGTGCCCATGCAGCGCCCTTCAGCTTGCCCTTACCCCAGGTTCCACAGGCTGTTCCATGGCAAGGAATCCGGCCCCGAATCGTGCAGATGCCAGTTGCATGCATTCCCGAAACCCTCACAAATCTTCCGCATGTCGGTCTCCACACCGTCCAGATCAATCCCAGCGAAAGATATTCCGATCATGGCCATCAAGCCTGGCACCAGTCCATGCGCGAGGCTAAGCACGAGATGTCAGGCCCTGTCCAAACGCGTGAGACCGGACACTTTCATAACGCAGCCCGGCGACCGGTACCCAGGTACATACGGAGACTCCAAGCTTACCTAGGCTGCGAGATGCCTGGCAGAGGTGCTTGGTCGCAGGTGTAGGACAAGGTGCGTTGATGCAATTGGCGCTCAGGTGGCTGCCACCCATGACGGCGCATCGTATGGCGCGCCCTCATTCAGCACGGCAAGAGCACAGCATAGCATCTGCCCTTCCGGCCCTCATGCCACGTAGGTATAAAACTTCCGGTCATTCTCATCGCGGGCGAGGAACTCTCGTTCGATGAGGCTCTCAATGCGCTTCTTGATGGTGGCCGGGTTGGGCACGAAGCGGGCAGACAACTGGCGGGTGACCTCCGTAATAATGGTGTTATGGTCGAGCCGCTGCCGGGCCTGCACATCGCGTTGGTGATCGCGTGGTTTGCGAAATAACAGAAAACCGCGTCCATGACGGCGTCCACGGGTGGCGAAATGAGATAAACCGATGTGCGCACGATGCAGGACGCCTAACTGCCCGGGCAAAAGAACATCCCATTCCGTCCAAAGGAATAATTGTGCATTTCAAACAAACCAACTCATACCACTGTCTATTGCACACAACAAGATCATACCACTGTCTATTGCAAGGCTGCGATGCGCTGAGTGCGCGCTGCGTGTCTGCCGCTGTGTGCGTTGTTTGTGTCGCTGGCTGAACAGCTGGGTTACACGGTACGGGCATACTCTGGATGTCATCAGGTAGACCGCCTACCAATAAGCACATGCCAGCGCCTACCTTCATAATGCGCACGATAGCAGCCTCAATTTGCGGCTTGCGATCCTCCTCCACCTTTTGCCGCGTCTCCGCCTTTTCGCTCTCGCCTTCCTGCAGCCGTGCAGAGGGACGAAGGCGTAGCCGATATACCAGAGGCCAAAGATACTTGCATCATTATCATCCCGGCGGACGGAAGAAAGAGCAACCAAGCGCATCTCTAACGCAGCTATAGGTGTACAGTAGCGGCGGTGGCAGGCGAAGTCAGATCCAGTTCTGTTCACTGAGCACCATGCAGGGGCTAAAAGTCTCCGGTACTTTAACAGTCACCCACTTGTGACCACTTAATCCCAGCAAAGCTAGCACAGACCTGTCTGCAGACATATTCGCAACACCTCTGCCATCTGCCGCACCTTGGTGGCAGCGACAGTGGAAATCTTGACCTTAATGAGCTTGGATGTGAACTTGTCGTTGAAGTAGAACACGTCCGTGTCCAGCACATCCTTGGAGGCCGGCTCCTGAAGCACACGAGGGACGAATCGGTCAGGTTAGGCCTGGCACAGTCGAAGTTGGAGGCACGTCACTACGCTACTAAAAGGATGAAGTATTGGACAAGACACATGTCCGAGGGTAAGACAGCGAGAAGTCCGGGGCCTGCCCCTCTCCGGGTCGGTGCAAGTCCCATGGGTTAGATATTGTAAGCATGCGCGTACGCCGCCAGGTGGCAGTTGCGGGATCCTCGGGGAAAGTAGAGCTGTTGATGGATCACAAATTAAGTCAGGTCCCTGACTATGCAGGGGCCGCATGGCTGCTAAAGGAACCAGCATGGACCACCGTCGTTGCAGGCCTTTGGCGCCGTACCTTTCGAAGCACGTTACGGCCCTTAACGCACGCTAGCGACTGAAGCGCGCGCTTCAGGTCGGTTGTCGGGATCTCCGTAGCCTGCAGCGATACAGAGGAGCGAGGAACTTAGGAACAAAACAAGGACGAAGTTAATGGTGTATTTGGCGGTGAACAAGGGCCCGGCAGAAGTCAATCCAAGACCAGGCGAGAATCGCATCCACCGATGGAGGTTCCAGACTGGCGAAAGCCACCTGTCCTCCGGACGACGGCCCATACGGTACCTGTGCAATCTCCCGGTACATCAGCGAGTCCTGCTCGTTGAAGAGCAGCAAGATGCACATCTGGTACGTAGACACATTGAGCTCGTGGCGGCGGCCGGCCCCAAACACGGCGCGCAGGTCGGCGGTGCCCATGTTCGGTTGGAACGTCAGGCGGCGGCCGCTGTGGGTAGTGAGGTAAAAGTTGCGGAATGCCTCGCAGGCGGCCTGTGGAGGATCGGGCGGGAGGGGACGCGGAATGAGGCCACGCGTTACACGTAAGCTAATGCGGACCACAAATAGCGTGGTCCCAAACAGGCAAGAAAATATGCACAACGTTGTGACGCGGCCTGACTCGGGAACGAGAGAAGAAGTGCGCTCGTAAATCCTGCCGAGCCCTGTACAAAGATGGACGATTAAGGTGGACTGTCTTAAGCAATTTCCGCAACATCAATGATAGCACTGGGGCCTTGCACCAGGGGGAGCAACGCTTCCACAGCCACTGCGGCAACCAAAAAAGCTATCTGCTCTTGGTTAACCGCTAGAAACAGCACTTACCTCCAGTTCTCGGGGCAAGTTGCACTTGGAGGGTGTTTGCGTGGGCCATGACCCCGTGGTCAGGACCTGAAAGGCAAAGAATCGCGGCATGAGAGGCAGTAAGATGTGACCTGCATGCATTTGCAATGGGGTTGGTCAGGATGCAAGCCGGTCCGCGCCAGGGCCCGCCCTCTCCTAGCTCCGGGCTATTTTGCCTGTACCCCTCGTTGCAGGCTCTACATCGCAAACCCAGACCAAGGCATTATTCTCAGCCGGCACCCAAGCTCACAGGCCGCTCGGGGCGTAGCAGAATCAAGGCGGAGGGCTTGGCACCCATAGTGAGACTTTGAATCCATGCATGTTAAGACACCTATAGTGTCTATCCACCCCAAAACTTGCCGCAGCAACACCACTAACCTGCACTTGCAAGTCGATTCCGCCCAGTTCGTCCAGCCGCCCACTTTCCACTAGCTTTGTTCGGAAGTCCGCCATCGTGTCCCGGCTGGTCTTGATATCCGTAAACATGCTCTCTAGCTTGCTGGTGAACTGCGGAATGTGATACGTGAGGGTAAGGGACTCCTTAGTAAGGTAAAGGGCAAGCATGCATGAAAACCAGTCACGCATAGTAACAAACGACAACGCCGTTCGTCCTTCAAATTTCTCCGTAAACTTTGGGCGAATTGCGGTGCCGTGTGGCCTTATCCTGAGCTGTTACTGGACCCGGACCGGATCCACAAAGATGGCCAGGGTAGGACATCCAACCGTAGCTCCGCCGTGCCTCTCCACTCCTTACTTGGCGCCACCATGAGGATTGACCGTCCATGATCTCCCGGGCTTTACAAACGGCCTCCGCAATCGTGCGAAACTTGTAAGTTCTAACACTGCCGCCATGCCTTCCCTGTCCATCGCTTTCAGCCTCGCACCACGTGCTGTGCTATCCGCCGTACCTCGTCCCTGGATCTGACCTCCACGCAGCACCATCGGTATAAAGTTTAACCCTTCAGGAGGCAGTCTCAAAAACTATCTGCCTGCCTGCCGTCTGTACAATTCCCTGGCCCACCTGGTAGCCGCATTCCGTCTTGAGCTTGACCAGCAGGTTACGCTCGGCGTCATCAGAGGTGGTTCGGCCCGACAGCAGGCGCTTGGCAAGGTGCTGCTTATAGTACTTTTCAAACACATCCTTCTCTTGGAGGTACCTGCGGACGCCAGGACAAAGCAGATGGTTAGCAGGTCGTGGTGGTGGCGGGGCCGAAATCAGAGCTTTGGAAAGCTTGCGGAACAGGGATCATCACGAGTTATGCAGTAGCACCGCAGTAGGTCCGGGCACGGGAAGGCGCACGAGGCAAGGCAAAAAGGCTGCAACGGAGCGGTTGAAGCAGAGACCAGACATCCACGGCTCACTCACTTGAAGCTAGCAAAAAGCCACCAAGTTTCCTATACTTTCAAGAGGTTTGAGAAGCCTAGGCGTGTTGCCATTCCATACCTCGCCCAGAACAAGGGCGTGGGAGCTTAGGAATGCTTCTGGCTGGCCTCTAGCTCACCTGAACAGCGCCATGACCTTATCCAGGACGCCCTCCACGTCCGTGTCACTGAGCCCCTTAATGCCGCGCCGCAGCTTATCGTCGATGAACAACGAGATGAACTCAGGGGAGCGCACGTTAAGATTTACAAAGTGCTCAAAAGCCTGTTGCAATGAATTGGGCAGTAGTCGGGTACGTAGTTCGACTTGGCTAAGCGTCGCGTCTACTTGTGGGTCAAAACAGGTCCTCAGACGAGTAGGTGGGTCGGGTGGTGCTGGATCATGCAGGCGAGAAATAACATCGTGGAGAAAGGCATCTGACAGGAAAGGCAGCTAGTCCTGCAGGTTGGCAGCAGCGCCCGAAGAGTGCACAAACACGCAAGTCATGGCGTGCAATTGCACAAGGCCCCCCAAAACATTCCGTCCTATTTTCCCTTCGCTTTGCTATATGTTTCCTGCAGCTCTGCCGAAGATCCTCCGGAGGATAAAAGTTGCACGATCAAATTGCATGGTCTAGGGTTGACCATGCCTGCCGCTCCCATGCTTGAGCATGGCGTCCACTACTGCCCACCTGGTTTAGGGCGTTTCGGAAGGTCTTATCGTCCGAGAAAGCCTGCGTGCAAGTGGGGAGTGAAATGCGCGAAACGTGTGACTCTCCGTACACATCCAGGATCCGGACCTGAGCAAAGCGACCGTCCATTGGAGGAAACCACTGTGCATTATGGTCTAATCTTTGCCAAGTCCTGCTACATCTTCATGGATACCCCATGTTTCCCAAACGTGCCTGCGTGATGATCTTCTCGTACTTGTCCCGCATGTCAAGCAGCGCCTGCACGTACTCCACCGGGTCCTTGGTGCGCTCGGGATCCGTCACCAGCGCGCGACCCACGTCCTTGACGTGTTCGCACAGCATACTGCGCACCTGTCGAGGAAGGATGGGGCGACAGTAGGTCGCAGGACATGGCGCCCGCGACGATAGGGCAGGGGCACGCCAGGATAAATTCAGATTGCCGTGAAACCCACAATGGAGCTCGGATGCCCGATTCGGTTCTCAGCGGAGCCTGACCACACGGGCGCAATGACACGTGCGGTGAAGCACGTGTCACTTAGGCAGGTAGGTATTACCGGCAAGAACCTTCCTCATGGTCACGTTGCCATGACCAAAGGCGTCTTCCAAACGCGCGTCAGACGGTACAAGGACATCTAGGTTACATAGCCTTATTCACCATTGGCAACATACACTTACCCGCCCGGCTAAAACGAGTGATCATCCCCGGTGCAGCACCCTCACCTTAGGGCGACACTCTCCCGCTGTCGTGGCCCTTCATGCCGAATCCCAGTAACGCCCTCCCAGCACCATTTCCCGTTCTACTCACCGTCGCCAAGCCATGGTCAACTCGCCGCATAAGGCAATAAAGCCGCGACAGATCGTCGTATTTGTCGTCCCGCAACAATGCGATGAGACCGCTGTTCTCCATCTCCAACAACGCCGTCATCTGATGAGGCGTCATGGGAAAACCACCATAAGGTACAAGCGACATGGCAAAGGGGTGCATACACCACACAAATGCCGTGGGCGCGGGTAGGTATAACGGGGCTCTGGAAGCTCGTGTACCAAACCCACGTTTTTTTGAATGCAGAGCCTCCTTGCTACGTACCCATGTCCGCACAATCTGCTACCAGCAACCAGCTGGGGCCCACCCTGTCCCTTGCTCGCTTTCGGTGTTCCGTTCAGTCGCGCCCTTCCCGCCTGCATGGGAGCCCACCTGGCTCTTGAGCAACTCCGCCTCCACTACCCGCGTAATCTTAGGCTCTGTACTAGCATCCAAGTAAGCTGCACAGCGCTCCTGCTCCTCGTGCAGCCGCTGCTCCGCCTTGCGAAGGTAGTCAGGGCAATCTGATGTGGTAATAAAAGCGTGTGCCTCAGTCTGTGGATGGAAATACGGAAAATGTAGACCAAGCGCAAAATGTCAACCTGTGGCTGCGTCAGAAGCAATCCATACTAGCGTTAGGCGTGTCGGAAGGCAGCGGCACCACATGGGAAGACAAGCACGAATAGGAAGCAGCACCAGCCCGGAGACAGAACAAAAGTCGGTGCCGAAGGACGCGACGAACACCAGGCGCGTTAAATGGCAGCATTGGCAGGATGCCCCTTCAGGCGCCCAATTACCATTCCTTCCATCCTTTGGCCATGCGGGACGCACCAGGAAAGAAGAGCTCCATTATGGGCAGTCACCCCAATATACACCATCACCAGCTCCGCACTATGCCATAACCTGACCCTGCACCCAACCCATTCCGAATTCCCATTCCGAATTCTGGCCTCAGAACCCAGCCTCTTGGCTTTGGTGCCATCCGCCAACCCCGCACGATAGGCCCCCGTCCCGAGCCCCTACCCGGTAGAACTCGGCCGCTGCCGCCAGGAAGGGCTTTTCAAAGTCCTCCACATACACTTGATGCCCCAGCTCCACCAGCATCTGAGTCACGGACTTAATAAGCCCACGCTCAATCACCTCGCCCTGTCAGCACATGGACGGGCAGGGCACAAAAAACATTGGGTGTCCGGCCCGGCGATACCATCCCAGTACGCGTAGGGCACGCACGCATCACGGCCCCGGGTGCCAAGAGAGCAAGGCCAGTTAGCACCACCCGAGCAGCGACAAGGCGAGCGGGGCCGGATTGGCAAGGCCTGCGCAGCATAACATCTTGACGGAAGGAGAGCAGGCAAAAGCCGCCAACAAACCCTATAATGCACCGAACGAATTCAAGACCGCAACATGAGCTGGTCCACTAGACATCGTCACTCGGGCTTTTAAGCCTTACTTTTAAGTGCATTAAACAAGCAGGGACGCAAATTAATTATGGCTCCCTTCATAGATTGACGATACTTGAAAACTGCAAAGTCAACAGCTCAGGGTCACAGGCTCATTGCCCTCCAGGAATGCATGCCAACACTTCAGTGCTCCAGGACACACAGCATAACGCTGACGCCAACCTCCAACGACACAAGGACTACTATGGTACCCGCCATGGCCTGCCGCCGAATCCAGCCGCCGTCTGCACACAAACTGTCCCTACAACCGACTGCTTTAAGCGTGACCCCGCAGCGCCAAGCGTTTGTGTGCGCCGCTCACTACGGCACATGCAGCATCCCAACAACGAAATGACAGCATGGATCATGGGCACCGCCTACTCCGCCATTTGAAACAGGGACACCCAGGGGATTAACCTACGCGGGGGATCGTGCTGACCATCGCAACCACAACACCGCCCTCAAATCTCCTGACCCGAGCCCCACCTGACGCTCCTTCGTTATCAATTGCATCAGGATCGAGAGCAGCCGCTCTGAAATTTTCCGGTTGCGAACCACCACATCCCGCCACAGCTCCAGACCCAGCGCAAACACTGGCGTCTTTTGCTGTTGCACGACAAACGTCCTGTCCATGTACTGCAAGGCATAACCAGGGTCCGCATACGTTGTAGGTTATGTCAGCTGAGCCACATGTCTTGTTCGCAGCCTTAGTACTTGCCGATGAAGCCGTACACACGTGCTAGCGTTCCGGTAATTGGCATGGGTTAAACTTTGCAGGTTACTAGGCGCACCCACTCCTCTTCATGCCGTACCATGAGAATGTCGCGGATCATTTGCGTAGACTTGTTGTGCTCATCCCATCGCTTCTTCAGCTCCTTGAGGAAAGGAGAACCCTCCTTCCCCTCGACTTTGCTGGCTATGTCGGTAAGGTGCGAACTCAGCGTGACAATGAGCCCGTCATAGAGGCGCGGGCCGTACTTATGCAGCACCATGTTGTACGCATTCCTGTACCGACGCATGCAAACACAACCGGGGGCGTGACAAGGCTGGAGTAGTTCCGCAACGTGCAAGTAGAGCACCCTTGAAATCCACAACGACTCCCTCTTGCCTCCCCGTCACAGCATCACCTGTAAAGCTCCTCAAAGCTCAGGCCGCTGGCGTTCTGGTTGTGGATTTCCCGGATGGCATCCTCAAGGACCTTCCACGTCTTATCTGCAATTGTAAAACCGACACCCGCTTCTTTGAGTCCGAGACAAGCAACAAAACCGCTTGCCCGGCAAACAGAAGCGAAACGCAGGTCGCACCTGCATACTGCGGGTCGACGCTGATAGGATGCCTGAACGGCTCGATTTTTATCTGCGTCGGCCCAGCGTTATAACTATTTGGCCATAAAAAATGACACGCTTTCCAAGTTGCACGCACCTGTGGTTTCTTTACGTTCATGGGGCCCTTGCTGAAGCACTACGCTATGACACACCACCCAAGAAGCTTCCTGAAGCGATTTCCAGTATTGACGTGCTTCCAGCAGCTTTGGAGGCTACCTAGCCGGCAACGCCACGGCTATTGTATTTCACAAGGTGCCAGTGCCCCAACTCCTGCCGGATGCCCGTTAAATTAGGTATTACAAGTTTCTGTTTGCCTGCCTCAAGCTCACAGAGATGGCTGTTCTTAGCGTGACTTGTTGTGGATGTCAAGTGTCTTCACACTTCCGGTTGTGCAGAAAGACAAGTAGGCTATATGGAAAAGACGGAATGCAGCAAGGGTTTCAGCTAAGCAACTACAAGCGGCATGGCAGCGTAAGCAGCATCTGTTACAAACGCTGCATACGACACATTTTGGGAGGGAACGGAGAGGACAGAGGAGGCTGGCGAATGATGCAGTGATTGATTTACCTGATCGATCGTCTTACACCTCTTCGTGCATAACTATTTCGTTCGCTTGCTGGTTTCACGATGTGCCGCCATTTCCGAAAATGACCTTAATGTCTGACATCTTCTAACGAATTAGCCAAACACATGCCTGGTTAAAAGCCAAGATGAGCAGCCTGAGTCCCGCATTAAGACAGGAGACGGCATTTGTGTGCTCCCCGCAGCCGCAGCGGACACTGACGCCAGCATGGGCAAGCCAAAACCCGGGGGCTATTATCAGTGCTTACAATTTTACGCTTCGGAGTGTTGGCAGCGTGCTGTTCCTTGAGGACTGCGTTCCTGGGGCTCCGTCGGAGCGCGGGATTCACTGGCAAATTGAAAACAGCTCCACTGGCGCTCTGCATCTGACGGAGTTTACTGTTCATGGGGGGACCATCGGTCCGCGCGTCACAGTCGAAGCCTGCTTCCACCTCTTCCCGGCACTTGCCGCCACCGGCACAGCTGACGGTCAACTCCTCCTCGCTGGGCTACTGAGCAACGGCTACCTACTTCACACGCAGATTGGGCTTCCAACCACTAACGACTCCGCCCTTGCGGGCCTTTCAGCTGAGGTACTCCGTCCGCTGGACCTTACGCAGCACCTCGCGCCCCTTGGCACGCCCACGTCCTTAGCCGCAACACCCGAAGCCGTGCTCATAGGGGGCAGCAACGGCTCCGTGCTGTGCGTGCCCCTTATCACCCTTGAGGATGGAAACACCACTCGTTGCTTTGAACTGCGGGACAGCAGCTGGGCCCTTACAAAGCTCATCCCGGGCGTGCTGTATCGGCCGCGGCAGCCTGCAGCCCTCGCATGTTTGCCCATTACTCTTGCTCACCGCCAGCTTCTCCTTGTGTCTTATGACGACAGCATGCTGCGCGTTTTCAATATCAGTCGACGCCAACAAGTCGCCACTCTGGAGCTGGAAGCGCAGGTGGCCACAGGTGGCCAAGCCAGCGCTGCCAGCCCAACTGAAGGCCGACAGCACAGCAGCGGGTCCCGGCACCTTGCGCCGACCTACATAACGGCCGAAAGCCCGCAGTACTCAGTGGCTGCCTCGCCCTCGCAGTCTGGTGGCGCTTCCGAGGTGACAGTCGTGGTGCAGTTCGAGGCTGCGGACACTCTCAGCCGCTACACCTTTGCATACACGCTGTCCTCCTCGTCGAGCGGCCGGCTATCTCTGTCGAACAGGATGGAATTGGCGCTGGAACCGAATGCCGTGGTCTTGGAGGCACGCGTGTCAGGAGATACGGTCTGGTTGCTGGTCAAAGCGCAGAACAGGACAAAGGTGAGCTTGCGCCTATGTTTGCCGTACAGCCCTGGCTGGCGTACCCCGTCTCATAATGGCTGGTGCGCTGGCGTTTGTCCTACCGAAGGTACTGGGCTTTGCGCGCAATAACGGCGCCCTAGTTTCCAGCGCTGTGCTGGCGGAGACTGCGGCCGAGCACGCGAGCAGCACTGCAGGGACAGCGAGCAATGGCGTCGAGGTCGACCAGGTGAGAAAAATAACCCCGCAACCATGGGCTGGATCTAACGAGGATGATGTCCGGGCTGCTGACTGCCAAATCTGGATTTCCAGACGGATAATAAGTGCAGGCTTCTGCTTGTTGATTTTATGGACTGCAGGAGCTTTGGGAATGGCTGCTGGAGGCCTTCCCGGAAAACCTCACCGCGGAGGAGCAGGTGTGCCAGCAGGTCCTGGCACCCGGTCAGACCTGCAGGTGAGGTTCGAGGCGGTGGGAAGTGGTTTTCTGTGGGGAAGGAAGAGACGACGGAGCATGAGCGCAGCCGAATGGGCTCAAGGGTGTTGTGGGCCTAGGTCACAGCGTGGGTTGTATGGGGTTTGCAGCGGCATGGTAACTTGCGCCGGCGGTACTTGACATGAGCCTCGAAGGCCCACCAGAGCTTGCCGGGAGCGCTTCGGAAAAACGTGCACTAACGGTCAGCGCGCCAAGGGCCAGCTTAAGCGGCGCCAGGGCGCCCGGCGCCGGGCCTGCGAAGCATTTGCCGTTTCGTGTGGCCTTGTGATAGTTAGCCCAAACCTCCAACGGGACAGGGAAATAGGGAAAGCAGAAGACGAAGTGCATTTACACCGGGGTCGCACGAGAGCGAGGCGGGATTGTCTGATACCTGTCGGCTCTTTTGTGATGGGGCAACATTCTTGATTGGATGTTGCTCAATTTTATGGTGCAGGGCTTCATTGCGGGATGCGTTGTCGTACCTTGGCGCACAGTTCAGTTCGTCCGAAGTGGACGCCGCGCCGCATACCGTGTTGCGGAGCTGGGTCCAAGCAGCTGTGCTTGCTGTGCAGAGAAGGTACGGCTGGCTTGCTGGCTGCTCTTAACTGTCCCGTTGGATCCCACATCCCCTTTCCCGACGCACATACGGCGCTTTTGTCGTTCCGCATCGTGATCATTCATTCTGCGCGCTTTGTACACATCACAAAGCCCCGTCAACAGTGTCCTCCTTATCTTCCCTTCTCTCGCCCTTGGCTGACCGTTTGAGTTTATTGCGCACCGACAATCCTTGCATGTATGTTTCGGCCTGCTTTCGCGCTAGGACACCCACTGCCACCATACTTCAGTGCTGGCAGTCTTTTCTATCCACCTACCGCGCCGCCTGGGCGCGCCGCCACCCGCCGCTTGGTCTGGTGCTTCATCGCGGCTCAGCTGAGTGGCTGGGCCTGGCGCGCGGCGGCGCGATGCTGTGCATGCTGCGCCGTGGCACGGTGGTGGAGGCGCTGCAGAGCGCCGATGCTGTGGGTACCATGGAGCTGCCTCCGCACCTGGATGCCGTGCACCGCTGCGCTGTCGAGGCTGGCGCACTGCTGGGATCTCTGGTACAGGAGGCCTGCTTGGCGCTGCTGGTGGCAGGTGAGCAGGTCGAAGGTGGAGGGTTGGAAAGCAACGGAATTGGGAAATCAGTTCTGACTTGTTAGGTGCAGGCATGCGTATTTACTACAGCTGGTGAAAGAGAGCCGCGGCACCATTGTACGGAGACGGACCTGCTTTTGTAAGTGACCATCGTACTTCTTGGTGTTAGTCGGCGTACCGATACCGCATGCGCTAGTTTCTCCAACACAGTGTAATACCGTGTGTTGACGTGGTTTGGCGTTTTGCTTGGATTTGCCCTCGCAGGTGTGGATCCGTTAGAGCGACTGATTCCCCGGCTGACCGAGCTGTGGCTCTTTGGGCCGGCGGCCACCGTAGGAGCTGGGGCTCGGAGCTGCAGCGCGGGCAGCGGCGCCCGCTCCGCTGCGCTGACGGATAAAGCCCGGGAGGCACAACAGCGGTGGCGGCAGCGGCGGCAGCAGCTTATGATCGTCATGGGCCAGCGCCTGGGGGCACTCAGCGACCCGGCTAGCGCCGTGCAGTGAGTGCAAAGACAAGACGTGGTCTCCCGGCATGTCGCGCATGGTCGTACGTAGCTAGGGTCTGGTTTCGGGGAACGTGTCTGTGTTTGTGGCAAACTGACTCCAGGGCTGAAGACCTTGACTTTTGATATCACCTCCGTAATTGTTAATCCTCCTGTAGCTCATGGCACGGTATCGTCTCGCAGTTGCAATGCATCTCTACGGCGGATGCATTATGGCTTATGAGGACTCAGTTTTTTGCGCATTTGGATGGGCTAATGCTAATGGAGAGGTTATGCCATGGCGTGATGCGGCCGGGGGTGGTTGCTAGAAGTTTTTCGATATCTGCTAAAGTTGTACACCACCACATCCCTTCAGTTCGCTGCCCCCTGTTGTTAATGAAAACCATAGCCATAGACTAAACTGCGCGTGCCCCATCCTTCCCTGCTCAACCTACTTGCGCAGTGCCTACCTTAGTTTGCTACGCCTTGTGAGTAGTCAGGCCTCAGCGGAGCTGGCGGCAGCTACACGGGCGGGACCGAGGAGCGCCCCAGGAGGATTGACGCCTAGCAGGGCCGCTATCGCTTTCCTTGCTTCAACTTGTCGTCAGGTGAGCAAGATGAGCAGGATGCTTTCTAAGGGTGCGCGGGGACGGGGTGCGGATTGGGTCGCTCTGATGCTGGACAACATGTGGAACGCAGTAGATGATCATCATACTGCATACAAGGTCCCTACTGAACAGCAGCCATGAATCATGGACAATGTCACCTGCAGTTAGTGCGCTTGTCCGCGTAACGAATTGCCGGCATGCTGGTGCCCTTGCACGTAGGTTTCCCGTGCGGCTGCCTCAGCTGCACGCGATGCAGCACTGCTTCTAGGCCTGGTGGTCCAGCAGGGCGCGCTCGGGACGGCGCCATTGACCCGTGGGTCGCTGGTATCTCTGGAGAGCGTGTTGCTGCCGGAGGCCTGCGGGCTGCTGCAGTGCGCTGCCCTGGGTCTGTGGTTGACGGGAATGCCATCATCGCCAGGTGGGTGGGCTGACGGATAGAAAAGCTATGGGAGCCGATGAAATTGGATTGATAGATGACGAGGAGGTTAGCGGCGGAATCCGATACCCAAGTATGTTTCTTTAGCTTTTTAGCGTGATGCAGCGGTGCACGGGTAAGGGGCACATATGCCGTGGTCATCAAGGTGACGATCCCGGGATTACCAGCCCGTCCGACATATCCATGGCATATCCGCTGCTCTAGTTGTTTGCCATGTATGTTATTTCTTGAACACGTGGCTTCAGCTCCGTCCCTCTCCCGCTACAAGAAAAGCCAGTAAGTCGCTGCCTCGTCAACGCCACCCTTAAATTCGGTTACGTCCTCCACCCACCTGCCCTGCCGTGTTTTGCTGTGTGCACCTCCAGATGAAGCCGTAGACATGGAGCCGGCACTCTCAGCAATGCAGCACCTCCGGCTGGACAGCCCTCGCTCCCGGCGCAACGGGGCAGCAGGGGCTTCCGCAGCGTCCTCCTCTCAGCCAGGCGATGTTTCCCTCGCAGCCCGCCTGCTGCCGGCTTTCTGCGCGTCCTATGACGGCGGCCGCAGCACCCGCCTCGACTTGCTGGACGGCGCAGAGCCTGCTGGGCTGCTGTTCACGCTCTACCTGCAGTATGGTGGGTTTGGGGATGGTCGAGGGTGATTCCGCGGTTCAGTGTCTTTGGGTACAGTGTATGGAGCAGTGCCGTGCTTCCCAGGGAGTGATGAGGGATGGTAGCTTTTTCACATGTACGCGCACGTTGCCTCATGCCATCTTTTGCCTGGCGCCGTACGTGCGTCGAAACGTGGTTCATCCCCATTGGGCCTCACAATCCTCCATCCGAATGCTGCTGAGCACCCACCTGCGCATTGGGCAATAACGCCACCTTTCCCGTCCGTCGCCCCAGTTCTTTCCTTCCGCTTGACGTTGTCTGCAACTCTGTATGCCTTACGGCCTCCAGCCTTCACCGTCGTGCGTTAGCCAGAAGTTGTCGCAACCTGCCTATCTGAGCAGGTGACAAGCCTGGGGCGTCTCTGGCGGCCAGGGTCCTTCAGCTGGGCTATCAGCTGTTCCAGGTGGGGGCCCTCTCCATGAAAATATTAGAAGCTTGCGAGGATCAGCGACATATGCCCACGACATGCACGGCTGGGTTACATCCCCATTCACATGCACCTACCTTTCCTCACTACCGACCATCTAAGCGTGAAAGCCTTGCAACCTGTTAGCGGCTATGTGCATCGATGCATATGGATGCAGGTACGCGAGTACGGCTGCTTGGCTGAGCTGGCGGCGCTCGCGGGTGCTACCGGCGGCTCTGAGGCTGGTCCGCAGTTTCTGCGTGGACTTGGCATCACATGTGCGCTGGCTCTGGACCGGCAGCTGGGCCGTGACGTGGTGGCCGTGACCGAGCGTGGCGTCGGAGCTGGGGTCGCTGCGGCTGGGTCTCGGAGAGCGGAGCGAATCTCTGAGGCCGCGGGCTGCTTCTTCCGGGCGGCTGCCAGTTTAGCATCGGGTGAGTCATGGGAGAAATGGGAGCTTGGAGCCGCGATGGTAATACTGTAAGATGTCTCCGGAGGATAAGAGAATTCTGAAGGTCTCTGCTGCCGACTCCGAGCTTTGAGCTGCTCCTTGAGAGGCTTCGAGCTGCGTAGCGATTGTGTAAGTTTTCAGAAAACTTTTAAGCCGTGAAAAGCTAAGCGTCCCCTCTCTCATCATGGCAAAGTTCGCGTTGTGCTGCAATCACACATGAAATGCCATCTTTAATAACCCCCGATGCAGATGCCGGTGAGACACTGCGGACTATCCTGGGCGATCTCCGTGTGGAGCTGGCGGGGGGCATCAAGCAGCACCTGACACAACACAAGGGCCCCGCGTCCACGGCGGCTGGCCCACAGAGCTCCCAGCAACAGCAGCGGCGCGAGGTGGCGATGCTGCAGTTACAGTTTTGTGAGGCTGTCATGCAGCTGTTCGAGCGGGAACGTGCACCCGAGGGCGCTGTCATATTCGCGGAGGCGGCTTTGGAGCATCTGCGCACGGCGTACGGGTGCGTGTGCTGGTGGGACCTACTTAACGGGGCTGGTTGCAGTGCAATGAACCTCGCTTCAGGCTGAGGGGTTTATTTGGAGACGGGGTTACAACTATGGCAACACCTTAAAACAAGACGACCTGGGAAGAGGAAGGGATTGGTTGCCGTTGCTTCAGACTTTCCGGTGTTTAAAATCCCCAGCTTTGGAAGCCCCCTCTTGATTCCCGGTGATTGATTACATGTGCATGCATGCAATGCATGGATGCTGTCCAACCTTTTTGCCCACCTTTTGGTGAAAAGGAGCCGCCTTCCGTTCGTTGTGCCACATTACAGCCCCGCAGTAGCCCCGGCCGCCGCATCCGCGGCAGCTGTCGCTGTGGTGGACCCGTCCGCGCCGCTCCTGCCCGGTGAAGACAGGCTGCTGCAGGAGGCCGCAGTGGCCACTGCCGCTGAGCGGGGAGCTCGGGAGGCCCGACTGTGGAGCAACATTTATTACTATTGCGTCGAAATGCGGCAGTACGACAAGGCGTACGGTGCACTGCTGGCCAACCCGCTGCACGAGGCGCGTCTGCAGAATCTGCGACACCTGGTGCATGCGCTGGCGCAGGAGGGCCAGCTGCAGGTGGGGAGAGATAGTCGCACTCCGTGTAAGATACTGACTACTGAGGTGGCGGGAAGGGGGCATGGAAGATGTCCCCAGGCCCTTCTGTTTGCTCGTGGCTTTGGATGTCGGCAAGCGCCATTTTGCTTATTGCATATGATTCCCCATTGCCATCCCGCCTGTGCGATGCTAGGGCACGCATGGCCTCCCAGCCGCCTGATGCTAGCGCAAGAGAGTCGCCATTGGCCCGTTCGGCTAGCTACACCATGAAGAGAAGGGACATGTGCGCAAGCAAGGTAGCATAGCATGCGCGGTGTAGCCAAGGACTCCGATTTACAATGCCCTACCCCGCAGACACTCTGTACGCTGCCGTTCGCGGGCGTGGCGGTGCTATCAGTCCCACACGTTTCCAAGGCCAAAGCAAGTGTCCGCGCATCTGGATCCGGAATGCAGTCGGAGCCAGTGCTCGGGGGGCCTGGATCTGGGCCTGGGTCATACCGGACCGTGTCGCTGCTCTCTGAGGTCCTGGACATGTTGCACCGCCGTGCACACAACTCCGACTTGTCTGAGCGCCCGCAGCCATATCAGGTGCGGCATAGTGGTCGACGAACAGGTCCCAGTGGACGTTTTTTTTGCCATCCCTAAATCAGTTGAATTGTGGCGTCGTTTGGTGACAGGATGCAAGGATATATGCACCACTGTGTTAAATTGCCGGCATAGCAGAATTCCGCATGTGCGCGCAGTGGGAACAATATGTTCCTGTGGTTGAATCCCCTTCGACACAGGTGTTGTACGACTTCCTGGTTTGTCGCGGGGACTTCAAGGGTGCGGCGCGTGCCATGAGCGCTTATGCCTGGAGACTGCGCGCGGAAGCCCCAAGCACGGCGGCGGCGGTGGCGGAGGCGCTGCGCGCTTACGGTACTTGGCAAAGGCTGCATGGGTGACCGCCGTCGCCAGGCTTGCCTGGCTGTCAGTTTGTCTGTCTGTTGTCTGCCCATCCGGTGCTCTCGTCTGTCCCCAGGTTGCGCTCTTACGTAACGTACGTCCTGAATGGTGCTGGCGAGCAGCTCGCCTGGATGATGTTGCGCTGTTTGTGTCTAGCTGTCCGCCCGTGACCATGCCAGACCATCCTTGCTCCAAGTTTTTGCCTGTGCCACCGATGCGTTATGGAAACTCATGCTCACATACCGCATATGGCGCACTTGCATTGAGCAGTGTGCCTTTTTCCGCCCATAACCTGTATCGTCCTTTCCCGTCTCGTACGAAGACGACGCGATCAACTGCCTATCGCTGCTGGACGCCAAAGACGCCTGGCTGGACCTGACGGACCCCTGGCTCGAGAACCTCGCGCCACACAACCGCACACAGCCCCCTGTGGCTGCGCGGCCGTCTTCCGGCCCCAGCGCCACAGCCGACGCAGCCAGCCCAGCGAGTGCTACTGTGGCGGCTGCCCCCGCGGCCAGCGCAGACAACGCCCTGCCGTTTGCCGTGGCTGGCCCAGGCGGCAACAATGGTTCCGGGTTGGGTGCACGCATGGGCAGGGCCGCTGCGTCCCGCGGGGTCCAGGCTGGCGAGAATGCGGCGCCGGTGGCCACTTTGCAGAGTCTGGAGCGTGAGCGGACCATGTTGCACTACTGTGCAATGGTGGCGGCGCGCGTCGCAGGTGCGCTTGGCGTGAGGGACTTCAAGCCAGGGCCGGGATTGTGCCTGGGGAGGCGGAACACATGAGCTTAGGGCGCTGTCCTGTATGGGTCCATTCCCGAGTCCCGAGGCTTTAACACACTACTTACAAAAGAATACTAACAAACACATGCAACTTGTGCGCCCTTGCCTTTGGTTCCAAACGAACAGTCTTCAACACGGGCAGGGTCTCTTAACTCTATGTCTCGTGTTTTACCGACCCTCTCTTTTTGGACATCCTATCATATTAAGGAGGGCATGTGGAGATTCCTGCCTACAGCGCTAATCAGCTGTGTGATTTGCCCAAGTCCCTGTCAACAGCACGCCGCAGCATCGCATGCTGCTGTTTTTGCAGATTGGGATTCTTCTGGGCCATTTGCACACATTTGGATCGTCACCTAGGATGGTTGAACACCGTATAAACAGCATACAGCACCATCCACCATTACCACACAGTACTACGCCATACGAGCTGCAAGCCTAAGGCGGTAGATTCTACCTTTTAGAATCCCTCCCCATCCTTTCACCCGGACATCCGTAGAGATAGAGGGTTCAGCGGTCGCCACCAATCCAACGTGCGGATTTAAGTTCATCAAATGTGACCTCAACTCCACATCTCAGCAGCTAGCCCTAATCTCATACTCCCAACAATGTCGGGGTCCACCCAATCCGGGACCTTAAACCGCGAACTGCAGTAGTGTCTCCAGACCAGACCGCTTGCGATTGCATATGCGGTCGCACTTGCTTCCCTTGGCGCGGAGGTCACAGCTGTTCCTTGCTCCTGTCATGTGGTGGTATCCTGTACCCAGGCCTGGAGCCGATGCGGCAGTGGGACAACGAGGATGCCATTCTGCGACAGCTGCTGCTCATGGGCCGCTATGAAGGCGCGCTGGCGCTTGTGGCTGGGTGCTACGGCGGCCAGGGTAGCGATGCATGGGCCAAGGCTCTCGAGGCGGTGGTTTCAGCGCTTGCAGCCCATTGCACAAGGCTGCAATTACAGGATGGAGGTGAGACGGGTTGTGCTGCTGGTTCTTTCCATGTACCTAATGAAGGTGGGGGAGCGGATTGAGGCTTGTTATTGGGGGCAGGAGCAGTCATGCCCAAGAAGTTGGCGGCCAGTCCTAGATCTTGCAACTGGTGAACCGCCTGGCGAGGGTCGCATGTGTGCTTACCAAGTACCAAAAAAAGCAGCCTCTGCAACGCGTTAATGGCTTTTTGCTGCAGATGTGCATGCCACGTTCAATGCAGCAACGGTGTTGTTCCGGTCTGGGTAGCCAGCATTGAGCTGCAGGCTTTCACCCGCCATGGCGACGTGCGTGCACTACAGGGTCTCAGGCACCACACACCCGCATTCATGCAGGTGTCCCAACCGGTGGTCCACCGCTGCCGCCCACGGACCTCTTCACGGAAGACCCCGACGGCGGTGACTCTGCCTCCGGCTTGGGCGCCGCCAGCGCCGCCGCAGTTGCCGCAACCTTGGGAGGCCGGGCCGCGCCGCTGTGGGCGAAACTACGGCAGCTGCTGATGCAGGTGGCTGAAGCGGACGCCGCTGCGGAGCAATACGGCGGCGGGATACGCGTAGCCTGGCTGTTGCGTGACGCCGCGGCGGAGGCTGTGCTGCGTACTGATCCACGGGCCGATCTGCCTCAGTGGCTGCTGGACATGTTCCTGGTGGGACCCTGGCTTACTTGCGTCCTGATCGTGTGCTGTAAGGCGGGGCCGGTACATGCATGCGCCGTGCCGTATGCATACCGTTTTGTCCTCCTCCCTCGATATCACAGCCCCAAACCCCCGTTCCGGCTCTTCCTTGCTCTCCTGCCTCGCCTTTCATCCATGCCGCTTGTCCGAACAGCCTGTTCCGGTACTCTTCCTCCGCTCCTTGCGGTTCTTGAAAATTTATATAGCCGATATTCTCCGCGTCCTGTGCATGCTACGTCTGTCCCAATCGCCAACACCGGCAGGCTGAGCCCGGCAGCGGCATGGCGGCGGCGCCATCGTCTATGGGCTCCTGGGCGTGCGGACCTGCATTTCTGCTATCGCTGTACCTCCGACATGACCGACTCGTAGCGGCAGTGGAAATGGTGACTTCCCAGGTGGAGATGTGGAATGGCGAGGATGTGCTTAAGCGTCGCCGACATTGCGCAGCATGGATGCCGTACCCGCAGGTAATAACCACGTCAATCCGCGGTGCTCCCGTCGCACCTGCTGGCTGATCGGTTTCTCGCTCCCCCGGCAGGCAAATAGTGCTGTGCTGAACTGCTGGTTCCAGCCTAGGATGCTTCTCTCTTTTTTTCCCATGTGCGCGCCGAGGCCAAGCTGAGCCGACCGCTTGTTTCGGCGCCTGCATGTGCCCATGTGGCCCGGATCAGATATTAGATACCGCTAGGGGTAGCTCGGGTGGGCTCGGGCGGTCCATATTTAACTTGTCCGTCAATGACGGACCCCCACTGCCGCTCTTCACGACACACCCCGGCATCAGAAGCAACCCCCTTGCCATGGTGCGGAACCACCTTGCCCTGTATTACGCGGCTCCACAGCTGGAGCTGCTCCACACCAAGCTCACCATTGCGCAGCAGTTGGGTCAGGAACGCTCCGTGGCGCTGCTGGAGCAGCTGAACGCGGCAGTAGCGACCCACTTGGAGCTGGTGGGTACGGATACGGAGGGTCTGCAGGAGGCGCTCCGGATCGAGGGTGGCGGCGGTAGCGGTGGTGGTGATGGCTTTGGGGCTTTGGAGCCCCGGGGCGGTTTGCCGCTTCTGCTGCCTGGGCTTTCCCCTAGAGCGTCGCCAGCTATCGGCGCGGCGTCGCCGATGTTTGGGTTGGCAGTGGGTGGGGGCTTGCGGTTGTTTGGGATGTCGTAAGCGGAAACTGCTTCTTGTAGTGGCGGGGTGACTAATTGTGGTGCTTGGTGTTGAGCATAGAAAGTGGGGTAGGGAAATATAGTAAGCTTCAATAGTGGGCAGGGGGTCGTAGGCGAAGGGATGTAGGTCAGATGGTGACAGGTTAGTTACGGCGAATAGCGAAACGAGGAACCTCCAATACTTGACTCCCACATGATCCGCGTGTGCTTTAGTGCCTTTAATCGTTTAGCATTGCGGCAGGCAGCCCACATGCCGGGGCACTCGGGCTCACCGGCCGCTGCTCTCCTGACGTGAAGAGTTTGCTTGAGGCAGGGGAAGCTGTCCAGAGATTGTAGCTAATACTTGATGGCATTTGCTTCGTTTTGGACAGGCCCTCACTTGTTCGCGTAGATACGGGTATTGATATGTTGTAGTGTGGGGCGGACTTGTTTAATCATGCGGCGCAGCCGCGGGGCTAGGAGGACTTGGGTGTCGCATGAAGTATTTCTGGGGACAAGATCTTCGGGTACATAATCCATGGGAACTTAGGCTTGGCCAAAACTGGGTTGTGGAAATGGGTTGAACGCCGACCGGGCTGCGGACTTTCGCTTCGGGGTTGGGTTTCCTGCCTGGGGAAGGAAAAATGTTTAGGAAGGACCCATTAAAGACGGTCGCGAACTGATTGTGAGGGGGAAGGTACGCATCCCTGTTTTGTTTGTGCAACATGTGCATGAGTTGTTCTGGTTCTTGGAGTGTGTCAACATCTTTCTTGTGGGGCATAGAGCCGCTTGCTCGACAAATGCTGCCCGCAACCCAAATTAAGGCATTATATGTTTGTTCCTGCCTGCAGTACGCCACGTACTGCATACCAAGGACGGTGTGAAACACGGTACCTCGCCACCTAGCTCCAAGGACCGCTGCCTCTATGACTCAACGCGGTGTGCATGTGACATGGTGGTACTGCCGCTTGTAGCTCAAGGCCTGCGTTTTCACAGGCGAAAGTTCTCACCAATGACTTCGCGTCTCGTTACCAGTACCAAACCAGGCTGGAAGGCGTAGCAGGCAATCGCACTTTTGAACGGAGTATGCGCGTAATTTTCGCGAGTATTTTCGCGAGTACACTCGTTTTTGATAACCCGATTCCCAATGGTCAGATGCTGCCCATCACGGATTCACTTCCCTCAAACAGCGATAAGGTCCACGTTGCCAGCATCCTCATGATACCCTTTATAAAGTAGCTTCAGTAGTTAGGCACCGATCCCTTCCGTTTTTATTCTTCAGCTCAGCCCCTAGTTCCCCTACCAGGGGCCAGCAGCAGGCTACTCTATCCATCAGTTGACTGTCCATGCTCAGCAAACTAGGGTAGCCAGCTTCTCCTTGGCCAAAAAGGGTTCGGCCCAGTCGCCCCATAGTAACTGGAGGGTCACCGATCGGTAACCTTACCGGCCGGTAATCACCAACCGGTAACCTTATCGGTCGGTGAATCCCCAGTTACTGGGTCGTTATATCGGTTCCCTTACCGGCCAGATACTGAAGCGACTAGTTACCGACCGTTTTGGTAGGGTTGCCGACTGGTGACAAGCAAGGATGATCCGAATGATCTCCATAAAGGAACTTGGCGACAAACGCAGAGGAGTAACTGCCTCCCAGCCATCGCTTGTCGCCAGGCTTGCAGCGGCATAAATAAGAGCCGATTGTATAAAATTCAACCTTTATATTTCGAGTTGCTTTTTCCGGGATGTGAATTCCCGCGCGAACACGGTGCACAAGGTTTTTATAGCGTACTCCTATATACATCAAGTTGCGGCCACGAAATTGTATGTTATGTAGCTCTTCACTAAGACTACTTTTGGGCCGACTCGCGCATGAATGGCTTCAAGTGGAAACGCCCTGTCAGGGAACCTAAAACTTTCGTAAACTTGACCCAAGCTTTAAAATTTAATTATGTGTACAGAGTATGTTAAGTAAATCAAATATACATGGGCAGTCTGGCTAGGAGTTGAGCAGTCTTGCTTGAGCAGTTGGAATGGATGGGCTGAAGTTTCACGGAGTTGCGGAGTGTGGCAGAGCCGAGCGGTGTATATTTCATTATTGCTGATAATATTTAATTTGTATGGTATTCGCGATGGTGAGTTGAGGATGCGTTTTGAGGCCGGGGCCGCCTGGGAAGCCAAGGCACGGGCCCCGAAAGCTACTTACGCACAGATGTATGTTAATTAGTTCTTCAGGGATTGATGGAGAGATGTATTAGCTTCTAGATGCAAACCTTCGCTATGAGCAATCTTCGCGCACAGATGTACATGAAGAATTCGATTCTTTGGTGAATCGAATGGGAATTGTAACAGCCTTTAAATGCAATTCTCAGTTCAGCGTTCACGCGAGTTCATCATGAGACACGACGACGACTGACTCACTGACTGACAGCTGTGAACCCCGGGGCCCGTGGTATTTGCTAACGTCAGAGTCTGACGCCACAGAATTGCGCCACTGTTGATGTTAAGGCGGGGAAGGATGCTGGCGAAAAGCCGCCGTAAGCATAACACAATGACTGGTGTGTATGCCCACGGCATGCCAGCCAGAGCGAGCAGACGCACATGGTCCAAATCCTAAGCATGGGCGGATTGCCGCTCACTGCAGCAAGCTGGATGGCAGAGTCGGGCGTTTTCCTTGGCCCATAATGTGGACAACAACAGTACTGATTACAACAGGTGGAACAGGTGCAGATTTTCCAGCCAGCCGCAACTCTCGCCTCCTTTTGGCAAGAACCACCTGTTTTATGCCATAGAATATGGCGTATCAGCTCGGACGCAATCTTGGACCCCAAGGCGAAGACGTCTTTGGTGACCGACCGTTCATCCCGGGAATTGAAATGACGCTCCGTGCAGGAATAGAGAGAAAGGCGTTCCAATGGTATAAAAAATTACGCATAGGATAATATGGATCCGTCTGCAACCCAATTTCATTCAATTAATAAATAAACAAAAACGATAATCTCCTCTATACACCACCGGTGTTTGTTCAATCACAGTGAACTATTTCTTCTTCTCTTCGATAGCATTGTGTGGCAGCTCATCCTTGCCAAAGCGAGCCCAGCGATGTCCCATCACCGAGCGTTAGCCGCCACCCTTGTAATTTTGATAATGCTTCTGGTATTTGCGGGGTTCCAGGTGTTAGGTGGTAGGTGAAAAAGGGCGCGCAGGACCCGGGGTCCTGTGACGGCATGTGCGCGGCCGAATACTGCACATGATGCACATCGTAGCCGCTGCGGCACAAGCAGTGCACAGTCTGTGAACGTATGTATGACCTGGTTTCCACAAAACCATATGAAGACCCGCGCCATGCGTGTTTCGCCAGTGGCTACGCGGTTTTTTATTTTCGGGCTGCGTACAGCCTTAGCCGACAGATAGACCCGCGGGTCACTCGCTTAAATAAAATCTCGTATCGCACATGTTAAAGCCGAGGTGGCCGTTTTCTTTTTAAAGCCCCGAAGGACTACCTGCCGATGTCCCACCCAAAACACTTCAGTCTGTTATCAATCCTTACATAGATACTTCTCACCGCCATTGCAGATTGGAAACATAATCCGCCTGATGATGCACTGACATTTCAATATTTACTTTAACACCACCGCGCAATTGTTTCGGAGCGTCATTATTGTAGCCCCGCCCGTGCAGCATGCGCACAGCACTGCATGCGACCCCAAGACCATTTCCAACTCCAGGCTGCTCCCCGGGAGCCATAATGGGGAGCCATCCTGTGTGAAATACGTACACAGTGCCACAAGTAAGAATTCACCCAAGGCCTGTCGCGTTCCCTTCCCACATCTCACCGTTCCTAACCGTTTCTAACCGTCCCACTACTTCTACCCGTTACCCGCTGCCCCCAACTGCCACAGTTGTGGACATCGCTCTTTGCGAGGAGGCCCGGCAGAACCTCCCCGATAACCCGGAAGTACAGGCCTTCACGCAGTGCGCTAGGGGGAGCAGAAACTTGAGCGCCAGCTGCTGCCGTAAGGTGCGCTGCCAAGAAGGGGGAGCCTCTGCATAAGGAGCAGCGTGGAAGTCTGAGGAGAGGATACGATGAGTGTTGTTTTTCCAAAAAGAGGGTTTTCGCTGCCGACGGTGTTCAAAGGAAAAGCGTAACCGATGAAAAGGGGAGAGAACCCAACCCGCCGCAACTCCGCAACCGGGAACCAATTCTCCCAACCAACCGGCACCCACATAAGGCTAACCACCCGTGTTACAACTCACCTGTCCTTGCCGCACTCGCCTTGCGTCTCCTATCGACACACTCCTGCTGCAGCTGCTTCCCTTCGTCAGGTACTACGACTGCCTGGACGAACCAATCTACAGGGCGGCGGCTGAGGGTTACCTCCGCGGTGTGACCACAGTGCAGACCATTTTGGACCAGTGCGCCCGGAAGTAGGCAGCAGGGGAGCAAGAGCGGCGGCAGCAGAGCGTAGGCGACAGCCCGGCGGTCGCTTTTGCGATCCTGCTACTGCTTCTGCTACTGCTACCACTGGACAGAACAGGTAAGAATTCTAGGTGATGCGGTTTCTGTAGCCGCGCACGCGCGTAGCTGTATATGATATGTATAGTTGTACATATGAGCCAAACCAAATGCCCGTGTATACTTGCTTTGCTCAGTTCCTGGATCCGTTTTCTATCCTTATTATAAAGCGGGAGTGGGAGATGGTCTTTACTGCATGGTTAGTACTACCACATAAACGTCGGCGTTGCTGCCTATTTGAAGTCGACTTAATGACATTCTGGTAGCTGTTTGAATGGCTTTCTTAAACCAGAGCGTGCCTGCCGTAAACCTATCAAGCAATATTTTACAGCTATTCTCTGCTTCCATGATTCTAGAAGAAAGTCAGAGACTTACCGAAGCTGTTATGCTTACGTAATGGTTCCACCAAATGATTTTTGCGTTACATGTCCGGTGGGCCCACTCCACGCCACTCATTGAACACGGGTCCCACCTCGCTGTCCTTCGCAGGGGCCATACACCCCACCAATCGACATGGCCGGACGTCGTGTGAATCAGCAGAGTCGTTCATTGACGTTGGCGAAGGAGAGGTTAACAGTATCTCTAGCCAGCACGTAGGAAATTACTTTGGAGGGTGGCGGGAACATGCTGAACATGGGAACATGCGGGAACATGCTGAACATGTGCTCTGGGCGGCCGCGGTCTGGCTATGAAATGTGAGACTGCCGTTGGGAGGGTGTTGGGCTGCTGTTACTTGGTCGTTGATCGTTGGCCGTTGTAATATTCGGCATGTTTTCATGGCTTCCATCTCAATCAATTCCCGCAGCGTACGCTGCTCTGCTGCCTTGTGACTGGCAGGCAGGCGTGATTTCCTCGCGGGATACCATTTTTCCTTTGCGAACAGCTAGTGCGTGCGGACTGCATGCAATGCTCCTGACTATTCAAGCCCCTCCACAAATGGAAAGACCTCGACTGATGGGTTGTGAGCAGTCGTAACGGCTGCTCACTGACGGAAGCACGACAAAGCGCAAGGGATTAACCGAGGCGAATACCGAGGCGGATAGGAAAGCGAGACAGTGTAACGGCGCATGCTCTTTACGCTGCCTGAACAGGCACCGAATGCGCTGACCAACGGCCACTATTCTAAGTGCGCAGCAGCGCCGCGTCCTCTTCCTAACGCCAGTTTGTTTCCACGTGCACCACATTACATAAACTCCCGCCGCATATACGTACGTGTTCCATCACATCGTCAGCTCTCTCCATCACTTTCACCCGCAGATCGGGATCTACTGCCGCACTCAAATCTCTATATTTTATTTGAACTTGTCCTAAGGGTAAAAGAAGACCTAGAGCCTTGGGGGAGGCCTACCTGCTCAGGGATCACATCTATCCTGGAAACAAATAAAGCTGCTATGACTGAGAAAGGTAATTGTAACGACAACCAACCCGGGAGCAAGCGAACCGAAATTGCTTCAATCCAACTCTTAAGGAAGTTTTCATTTAACTCGGAAATTTTCTTAGGAGCAAAGGGAGGCAAGAAAATCCGCACACTGACGCAGTCATCGTAACACACATCCTCATTAGGAGAACGTCGGGAATCGACGGGAGAGCGAAGGACGGAAGGCGCGACGCGCATACGGCCGATGCCTGCCGCAAAGACAATCAGAGCAGAGCCAGGCCGTACTAACTTCACTGGACACAAACCCTCAGCTAGTACGCTTATACAAAAACGATGAGGCCAGAGGGGTGCAAAGTGGTCCTAATCCTCTAATCCAGGGGGTGGGTACCGGTCAGCAATCCTCTAATCTCAACAGGGGTGGACCACTTCTAATCCCTAATCCAGAGTGGTGGTCTAATCCATATCCTAGGGTCGGGGTTCTAATCCTAATCCTGTGGCCGGGTCCCAATCCCAATCCTGGGGGGGGTCCCAATCCTAATCCTGGGGCCGGACCGTATTCCTAACTCTGAGGCTGGGGTCCCAATCCGAATCCTCTTGGTCGTGTCGTAATCCTTATCGTGGAGCTGTTATCGTGTGACTGATTCGGTAAAACCTTAATTTCGGCTGGGGGGCCCAATCCTAATAGAAGGGTGCCGTGACACGGAAACACACAGTGCCATACAGGCGCGAGGCGATGGCAATGCAAGTGCGTAAAAAACCAATGCAATTTTACAGCGGGTATATGATCAAACGAAGTAAAACTTGAAACATAAAAAGCAGGCTGACGAAGCTGCGCATCCTGGCCATTTCTGCAGTATCGTGCCATACGAAGAGTTTAAGCAGGGATACTGCGTCTAAACACCTTGATTCAAGCATCTGCAGATGCGACTGTGGGGCGGTCGAAGATGAAATGCACGTTGAGAGAGGTGATCCAATCCACACTTGCAGCGTTGAGAGAGGTGATCCAATCCACACTTGGATCACCATCCACACTTGCAGCGCGCCAGAGATCTTCCATGCCATAAATACCAGGGGCTTTCACAGCTATGAAGCACAACCCAACAAGCAGGACATGCCTCGTGAAACGATGTCTACGTATGATATTGAGCCAAAAGATGTTAACATGTGCGCATAACAATAGGCTCATTCAAAAAAAGCCCGAAGCCCGAGAATTAACAACAAGCAGGCAGAGCAAACACGTCCTTGGAAGGAGTAGCTGAGAGAGGTGATCCAATGGACCACCATCCACAATGGCAGCGAAGCAGAGACCTTCAATGCCATAAATACCAGGGGCTTTCGCAGCTATGAAGTACAACCCAATAAGCAGGACATGCCTCGTAACACGATGTCGACCTATGATGTTGAGCCAGTAATGTTAGCACGTGCGCATAGTAGAAAAATTATTCATAAAGTTTCCGACATTTAACCTACTAATATTTTATAAGGACGCATACCACGCGACTGCCTTTGGAAGCGTCCCTCAATGTCGTGCAGTTGGTTCCGGAGGAGGCGCGGACGCCATCCATACGTCTTCGTGTCTAGACCGTCCTCGTCAATTTTTGCAGATTGTTTTATCGCAATTTTACTGATCAGCAGACGCCTGTCAGAAGCATGGCTGGAGCGTATGGCTTCCGTGATCAGGAGCATGAGCGCACACATCACACGCGACATCACTTAGTATGACTAAGTGATGCCAGCTGGCCCGATGGCTCTACTCTTCGGGAGTCTGGAGCCCACTGTAACAACCACACACAGTATGACATGGCATAGCAACTTTCTAACCCAGTCTGAACGGTAGCTGGATTTGATAGTCCTCCTACATAGCAGTATCCTAATTGCCAATTATTGCGGTGCCCTAATCTTAATCCAATACCAGTGTACTAATCGTAATCCTGGATATAGGTATTTATCCTAATCCTGGGGCCGGGTCCCAATCCTAATCCTGGGGCCGGGTCCCAATCCTAATCCTACACTCGGGTCCTCATCCTAAACCTGGCCTCAACTTTGTATCCTAATCCTGCCCCTCATTCCAAATCCTAATTCCTGCCTGACCGGTACCCGAACCCAATCCCTAATCTTTGCATCCCTCTGATGAGGCTGAGACATGAGTCCCCAACACCGGTAAACGGCAAAGTACCTTGTTTACATCGTTGACATACAAGAAAGGGTGGTTGTGTGGCACGTCTTCCCAACGTTTTGGCAGGTTAACCCGTGTCGCAAAAGCAGTTAAGCAGACCCAAAATCAGAGATGACATCGTAAGTGTTGCGGTTAAGATCTGACGTCGATAGACCCATGTTGGCCTGAAGACCTTCACAAAACAACAAACGGCGACCAAGATTGAGTGAGCTGATGGCCGCAAGGCACACAACCTCCCACACACACCCATCAGAGGGATGCAAAGATTAGGGATTGGGTTCGGGTACCGGTCAGGCAGGAATTAGGATTTGGAATGAGGGGCAGGATTAGGATACAAAGTTGAGGCCAGGTTTAGGATGAGGACCCGAGTGTAGGATTAGGATTGGGACCCGGCCCCAGGATTAGGATTGCGACCCGGCCCCAGGATTAGGATTGGGACCCGGCCCCAGGATTAGGATAAATACCTATATCCAGGGTTACGATTAGTACACTGGTATTGGATTAAGATTAGGGCACCGCAATAATTGGCAATTAGGATACTGCTATGTAGGAGGACTATCAAATCCAGCTACCGTTCAGACTGGATTAGAAAGTTGCTATGCCATGTCATACTAAGTGATGTCGCGTGTGATGTGTGCGCTCATGCTCCTGATCACGGAAGCCATACGCTCCAGGAGCTCCAGCCATGCTTCTGACAGGCGTCTGCTGATCAGTAAAATTGCGATAAAACAATCTGCAAAAATTGACGAGGACGGTCTAGACACGAAGACGTATGGATGGCGTCCGCGCCTCCTCCGGAACCAACTGCACGACATTGAGGGACGCTTCCAAAGGCAGTCGCGTGGTATGCGTCCTTATAAAATATTAGTAGGTTAAATGTCGGAAACTTTATGAATAATTTTTCTACTATGCGCACGTGCTAACATTACTGGCTCAACATCATAGGTCGACATCGTGTTACGAGGCATGTCCTGCTTATTGGGTTGTACTTCATAGCTGCGAAAGCCCCTGGTATTTATGGCATTGAAGGTCTCTGCTTCGCTGCCAGTGTGGATGGTGGTCCATTGGATCACCTCTCTCAGCTACTCCTTCGAAGGACGTGTTTGCTCTGCCTGCTTGTTGTTAATTCTCGGGCTTCGGGCTTTTTATGAATGAGCCTATTGTTATGCGCACATGTTAACATCTTTTGGCTCAATATCATACGTAGACATCGTTTCACGAGGCATGTCCTGCTTGTTGGGTTGTGCTTCATAGCTGTGAAAGCCCCTGGTATTTATGGCATGGAAGATCTCTGGCGCGCTGCAAGTGTGGATGGTGATCCATTGGATCACCTCTCTCAACTTGTAGCTTAGATGCGGCAGGAGCAAAGCGAGTATAGCCTCTAAGCTAGGTTATGTACGGCAGCCGTATGGCTTGCTGAGAATTCGAATTTACTATTTCAGCTGACAGCTCCATAGTTCCGGCATTCTGCCTACACTATTGGAGCTTATTATTATTGTTGCTCTCACTTTTATCCAAGACCTTACCGACTACCCTCAAGCCTCATCGACGCTCTACCACAACGAATCGACATCGCCGCGGACCTGTCACTCTCCGAGGAACAACCAGGAGCTCCGTCACAAAAATCAAAAAATGACGGGTAAGAGGACAAAGGCAACGGGAGATAACCTGGTCAACGCAGGAGCGGCCGAAGCAGCCGGCGAAGGGGGATCGGGCCAGATGCTGCCAGCCAACCAAAACGACATAGAAGCCGCCAGGGATACTTTGAGCGGGAACATAGACCAGCCGACTCTTCACCAGCTGCTGCTGGGCGTCCTGTCAGCAGCGCAGGCCAACGCGCCAAAAGCGCCAGCCAGGGATCCCCGGACAGCACCGCCTCGGGATCGCTCTCCTGACGTTGTCATCAC